GAGTAGAAGTCACACGCCATCTCCGCTTTTCCTTCCTCCTCTGTGACCCACCCTCCATTCTCTGCTTGCAACCGGGAGATGAAGTTTCGACGACGACGAGTGCGAGTAACCGTGTGAAAGTAAGCAGAATTCTTATCCCCTCCCTGCAGCCAATGGACTCACGATTTCTTCCTCCAGTAAATTTCCTCATTTGTCCAAGATATATGAAGCTCCGCCTCCAATTCCCTAATACGAAACCAATCCACCCAAGCTTCAGCTCTAATTCGATCAATCTCCCTCTCCAAAGTGCGGATATGTCTGCTTGAGTTTGAAGTCCCGCCCTTCGACCAATCAAAAAGTAAGTGGCATACATTCTTCAATTTACACAAGACTTTATACATAGGGGACCCAATAACCTCCAAGTCCCAGGCATACTTAATCAAATTCCGCACCTCTAGGTTTTCAGCCCACCTAGCATCAAAGCGAAACAAGTGCTTGTGAGGCCGTGAAACTGCCTCTGTTGCTAAGAGAAGGGCACGATGGTCTGATTCCTTGTCGGAAAGATGATGCACAATCGAGTCTGGAAATTGACGGAACCAGCCCTCCGAGGCTAGAGCTCGGTCCAACCTCTCTTGAACAACGTCGGTCGGATTGCGCCTATTTGTCCAAGTAAACGCCGGTCCTTCAAACGGGACTTCCTGAAGAGCAAGATCGTCTATAAAAAGCCTAAAATTATTCGCACGGCTGGGGCGCCAAGGGAGGCCACCCTCCTTTTCATGGGACGCCAAAATAGCATTAAAATCCCCAACTACCAAGTAATGGACACATAACATGGAGCAAAAGTGCTCAAGTCTCTCTAATTGCCGAGTCTTAGTGGCATAATCACAACTTAAATACACACACACACACACGTAATCAAGACCCTCTTTATTCAATTTGAAAGCAACATAAAAGGAATCACTACAAAGAACTGAAATCGAAGTTCCAGTGGACCAACCTACAGCAAGTCCGCCGGCAGCTTGGACGACATCCACTAAAAACATCTCAAAATTGCTAAATCCTAACTGCCGCATACGGCCAACTACAATTTTCCTAGAAGACAAAGTTTCAGAAATGCAAATAACATCGGGAACAAACTGGTCTTTCAACCCTACTAGCTGCTGAATTGTCGAAGCCGGTCCAATTCCTCGACAATTCCAGAATAATATTCTCATTTATCCGCTGGGGGCCATTCGCGGCTTGCTTCCTCCACCGACACATCTCCCATACCACCATCATCCTCAACTGGTTCTTCTTGCTCCTGTATTGGCTGCATCTCCCTAGCTTCCACCAGGTCAGGGGTCTCCTCAACTTCTGCTTCCTTTTCCAGAACCTGCACACATTCAGCCTCAAAACACAATTTTTTCTTTGTTGAGGAACGCGACAGCATAGTATCTTCATCCATCATTTCTGAGCTTGAACGCTTCCTGTCAAACAACATTTCCTCCAGCTCCCCAAGTCCCATCTTGAATCCAGGCTTTGAACGCTTTGGAGTAGTCGTTTTGGCCCGCACCTTCAGCTTAGGGGCAGATGCCTGCTGCACAGCTGTTTGACCAGGTTTTGTAGACCACTGTTGGGGTTCCGGGACATCCCGGGTCACGATTCTAGAAGACCTCTGCCTAGGACGCTGTTGAGGCTTACTTGGTTCCATCATAACACCTTTGCCCTTCTCCGACGCAGTATATTTCCTAGCACCCTTTTCCCCCTTCTCCCCAGCTTCACTTTCATCACCAGGAATAGCTCGCACTTGGTTCCTAGGCACAACCTGCCCACGAATCATACCAGCATCTAGCACCTCCTGCAAGTGAGTATAATTGGGAATTGTCCCTTTAATTAAAGCCAACTCAACATCCCCAAATTTCAAGTCATATGAACTATTATAACTACGAACTAACACCCACCCATATTACACTCTCATTGTTTATGATTACCTCCTGAGCAACATTCTGCCCCAGATCCTGAGGGAGGTCCTCCTCTTCTGGCGCAATCTCAAGGTTCTCCACTTTTGCCATCACCTCATCAATTTGATTGGGATTTACCCAAACAGCACGCAGCGGCTGCAGAGTCGCCTCATCCAACCTGAACCCAAGCGGTTCAGTTGCCAATTCTGGCCCATACACTTCATTTCCCTGGTGTCAAGGAAAAGAACACACCCTTTTCACCATGGCCAACACGCCCACATTTGTAGCAGAATAGGGGAAGTCGCTCATAGGCCAGCACCACTTTGAAGTCACCAATCCTCGGATTTCTTGCCGTCAATCGAGTAAGCAGCTGGCGCTCTATGTTCATCCTTGTTCGAGTTTTGATGAAGTAGCCAAAATCACCACGGGTTCCAGACAGACCTGTCTCAATTTCCTCACCCAGCTTCACAGCCAACCTTCTCCCTAGCTTAACGGTTCTGCACTGAGCGAGAATCTCCCACATCTGAATCCAGAAAGGGATCCAGGCCAGCTCATGGAACACCCTCTCAGTGACTGGCTCCCATTCCTTTAGCATCAAGACGTGATCCTTGATGATCCAATGAGCTCTTTGCAGCACACGATCTCTGTCGCTTTCATCGCTGAATAGGAATTGCAGCAATCCCAAGTCTGCCTCAAGCACCACCACCGGAGCTTTGCATCGCCAGAGGTTGTTCACGATCCATTGCAGAAGAGCCACAACCATGTTCTCCATAAAAGTCTCCCGATCAGGCTAAGGCGAGTGCGAGCCATGCTTTCCTCCACATCATCATCAGAGAACTCAAAAATTTGATCCTCATCATTGTTGTGACCCATTTCTTTGCGGCAACAGCACAATAGCTAGCAAAAAGGACTTGCGATTTGGAGTAGCTGGGAATCGCCAGGTACGTCTATTGCCTCTACTCGAGAATGAGTGGTGTCTTTCTGTGCATGCATCAGATCCTTTTATAATAGCCAAAGGTCCTTGCATGACCCAGAGACAGAACCGGAAAGGATACTCCCTCGAACCCAGATTTGGATTCCAACGGCGCTCCCCAATCGTAATCCCAAACAGATCATAGATCCGGCAAATCCACTTTGATTTGGCGGTGCCGCACGGCTCTTGGGTCCAAGGGGGCTTCTTTCTAACTGCTGAGAGATACGCAGATCGATCTACCCTTCTTATCATGCTTATCCCAAAATTGGGTTTCTAAAACATCTCGAGAATGGGTAAACTTAGTATCCCTCCAATTGAGGTTTGAAACGGCCCGAATCTGGGCTTGAGATTGGAAATATGGATTAGATTCCATTGAGACTTACCTGGATCTCTCCGAGCCGAAGGAGTTTGGGAGAGCAGATGGGAGGCGACGTCTCCCTGGTTCCCCTTCGCGAAGAGAGGAAAGCACCGCATTTTTTTTCTGAATTCAAATGTGATTAGTCAATCGATGGTTTATTAAAGATTCTTCATTTTAAATCAATACATCAATCTAGACGTTTGTAACTATAGATGTGTTTGGTTTGGATATCTCAACTAACACACTATTGTTGTTTATTGCCTCAATCGCCGGATTTAGTTTGCTCTGCCAAGACATACAAATATTAAATGAAAATAATCAAAATTTATTTTATCAATGTTCAGGTCAGTGGTTGATGAAACATAATATTTAACGTACATCCTTAACAAAGATTTCTCTAACTTTTTCGTGTGTCATTTTTCAATGTATCTTATGTCTCATCTAAGGATATGAAGTCAAAGTTCGTCAACTATCTTACTTAAGTCATTTTGAAAACTTTGATTTATAATCCTCAACAATTAGTAACTCAAAATCTAAAAGAAAAAATTCTTAGCATCTAACGTAAGACCTCAACAAAGTTCGCTTAATTAACACGATCTAGAGCAAATATTAGTAATATGAATTCCAAATCGATCATATTTCTTTTACTCGATAGTATCTATATTATCCCCTGCTTATCCGTAGACTTATTGGTCAACGAGTGCAAATTGCTAGATTAAATATTTTGTTTCTGCGCAAAGTCCAATTTCATTTATCAGCAAGTGCAAACTGCCAGAATAATTATTTTTTGCACTAAGTCCAATTTCAGGATTTGAGACAATCCATTTTATTCCCATAGCTCAGAATTATAGTGTTTTGATGAGAGTTTGGCTCATTTATCTATTCACAATATTGATGAATTGTATTATCTAAGTTTCAATCTTCTAATAAAAAATAATGGCCACATATTTTGTATTCGTTTACCCATGTGTTAACATTTTATTGGTCCATTCTTCTTTTATTTCTTTTAAGATATTTCACATTATTTTCGTTTACTTCTTTGAGTCTCATATGCTAATCTTGTATTTTCCCTATTTTTCTTTTATTTTATTTCCTTGGTCTTTTTTCTGTCGTCTCTGTTCATATATGATTTTGTATCATTATTCATCTATTTGCTCGAGCTCGAATATGCTGGCAACGGAAAAATTGTTCATTCCCCATCGAAGAGGATGGAATTGGTAGCGGAACCAATGAAGCCTTCTTTCGTCTTTCTCTTATGCTTTTGTCAATTTTTTATATTCTCTATGTATCTTTATCTTTTTCTATGTATATATCATTCGATAATTAAGGGTTAATTATTGAGTTTACCTTTTTGTTTGTTGTGTGAAAAAGATGAATACTAAAAAAATGTTAGGATTTTGCTACGGTGATGACATGCATGTCACCGTGACATGGACTTTTCGGTCGACCTAATCCAACATGCGGTCGACCGGACTGACTATTTCATGTATGTGAGGTTCCGAGACGCGGTCGACCTCTTTGGTGGACTAACAAAATGAAAGGTCGACCCAAATACCTCATAGGGCGACCATTGTGCACCTAACAGGTCGACCGCATTAGAAAGCGGTCGACCGCATTCACACCGTATCCGTATTGGATAAGGATTCCAACACCAGAAAGGTTCCACAATTGGACAAGGAAACGAATTGGGTCGGCCCATTCATGTCCTAAATCTCTATAAATACGAATATAAGTCCCCTTCAACGCCACCAAGTCTGAATTAGGTTTTTTTTCCGATTTAGAGCCTATGTGAAGAAGATCGTTCGCGGTTGCTGTTGTACATGTTGGAAGTGGTCGACCAGGTCGAAGGTGAGGTCGACCTAATGTAGCATTCACCGTCATCTTTTGTAATGCGTTCTTTCCACCGTCTAATTTGATATATTGTTGCGTGCAGAATTCCATTCGGTCGGCCGTGACATCAACCAGGTCGACCTGACGAGACAATTCTTCATATTTGAATTTAGGGCACAACACTTGGACTTCTGTACTTGCGAGGTAACGAAGATCAACCCAAGTGGTCGACCTAATGTGTTTCAAGGTCGACCGTTTCTGTTTGTTTTGGTTATTCAACCTGAATGTCGACTTTGTCTTTGTTTGTATGACTATGTTGTGCTTGAAAAGGTCGACCGCGCCAGATATCTGGTCGACCTATCCTTTTTTCGCTTTAATTTTGAACTTACTTTTTGTTGTTAATTGTTATTTTTCCTGCTGGATAGGTTGACCTAGGAAGAACAAAGGTCGACCTCAACGGTTGTGGTAGTCACTATTTGTCTTCCAGGTCGACCTAATACTTTGTCAGTTCGACCACGTCTTTGTTTTTTGGTCAATTGTAGAAATTTGTAGTTGAATTATGATTTGAAGTTTTCTTTAAATTGTTTAGACGATGACGCATGATGAGAGACTGCATCAAGATTTGGGTGAAATCATGAAATTGTTGAAAGCCACACAAGAGAAGCTGGTGGTGTCTCAAACACAAGTCAATGACTTTCAGAAGTCCATGCGTGATAGAGTGGAGCAATTGTCAGTTCGACTGACAGATATGACTGGGATGATGCATGACGGGTTTGAGAGGCTAGAAGGTGTTATCAAAGATATAAGTGCAGAACGAATGGAGAATGGCGAAAGAGATGGTAAAGGAAAGAAATTTGACTTTGGTAAAGAGGAGGAAGAACATGATGACTCTGAAAATTGCTACCAGAGCATAGACGATTTATTGAAAGAGCACATTTTAAAGGTATCCAAGTATATTCATATGTGATTGAAGATATTAGTATTACTATCATTAGTGCTAATTTGTTTTGTTTATATGTTTGACAGAGTGAAACAACGAATGGCAGCAAGGGTTCCTCTCCTAAGTACAAGAGACCGCGATATGAAAGTGACTCCTACACCACTCCACAGAAGGATCAATTTGTAAGAAAAGGATTATTTAGTGCTGATAGCAATGAAGATGAATCTAAGAGTCCTTTCGAAAAGCATGGGGTAAGTTTACGTTACATATTCATTTATAATGTGTGTTTGTGTTCATATGTTACTTTAATTTTAACTAAGATTTGTAGGTCATTGATGCAATATCGACTAGCACGATATTTAATTCCCGTGGTCCAAAAATGAAGATTCAAATTCGACTATTTAAGAATCAATTGGGAGCGTATTTAATGGATAAATGGAGCTTCAAATATCAAAGCTCACCTACGTGAACAGGTGGTATGCAAAGTGTGTTATTTGGCATGGAGTAATTAGGTCATTGATCTATTATTTGGATTGGGATGACCACGTGGAAGGCAATCTGGTTGCTTTGATTAATTCTCATTCATCAAAAGACAAGGCCACGTAATTAGGGAAGTAATGCATTGTTGGTTGGTGAGCTGGTTGGTTGATTGTTATGTTATCCGTCCAAGAAAAGGACAACAACTCGTATGAAGGCAAAGAAGGATTCCGCTGCAGCAAAGGAAAAGGAAAAGCGCCAGCGGTGGTTTGGGTTTTATGTAGTTTATTTATTTATTAAAAGTTACCTACTTAGTTTAGGATTTGTTTTCTTAGTTCTTTTAGGTTAGTTTTATGTTTTTGAGACCTCTATAAATAGAGGGTGTAAGACCTACGAATTTGGTACCCAATATTCAAGTTATCAATTAAGAGTTTTTACTCGTGTTCCTTTGTGAACGTTTGTGCAAGCTTCTGTCGAGAGTCTCCAGGAGTTTCACGTGTCTCTTATCAACTAGAGAACGCGTCTAGTTGTGGCGAGCATCTATCCTATATCAATTGCCCCTTTCCACGAGTTGATTCTGTCCGATTGGTTTAATATACCAATTGCCCTTTGTCACGAGTTGGGATTGTCCGATTGATTCCGCATCTATCTTTTATTTCAAGTTGGAGAAAAGCTTCGAAAATCCTTCAAAAGAAGGAAGGCTGCATACTTTGGTCATATAATCCGAGTTCGAGGATTCTCTTCGGATTTGGATCACATCAAGTGGTATCAGAGCCCGGTTCAAACTCAGCGGCGATTTGAAGACAATCGGTTCAAACTCAGCGGCGAATTGAAGATTACCGGTTCTCAGCGGCGAAAAAAAAAAAGGTGAACAAAGTTTTATTTTTATTTACTGTTCACGTGAAACAAAAAAATATCAATCTGTTTTCCGTTAAGGTGAGTTTAGAGCTTTTGTTTGTGTTATTATTTTTTTTCTTATTAATAGTACGTAACTAGAAAAGAGAAGTAAAAAAAAAAATTCCTTTTGTTACGTGAGCATAAAAGAAAGAAGGAAAAAAATAGTGGTAACGTGAGGATAAGGAGTTGTGTTTTTTTTATTTGTTTTTTCGTGTACTGTTCGTAAGTTAAGAAAAAAAAAATTGTTTAAGGCCACAAAGCCTCGGCAGTAAGAGGAAGAAAAAAAAATCTGTGTTTTTGTTTTTTGTGGTTCTTGATTGAGGCGCAAGAATGGAGCAAAATCGACGATTGGTGGAGATGATGCGGAAGTCGCTCAACGATCTTATCGAGGACTCTCTCACGACGATCGAAGTTATTCTTCAAGGGCAAGCACAAATGGGAGAACGAAGGGGTGCCAAACTTGCTCGATTGGAAGCTTTATTGGGAATTAATTCATCAGAGCAAGATCAAGACAAGGAGTATATTGAAATATCGCCTATGGAAGGTCCACTTTTCGATACTTGTTGTGAAGAGTATGAGGATTTTGATGATGAGGAGGCGATAGAAGATGTTCTTGTTGAAAAGCCAGCTTTGGGTACGCCGGATTGTGAGCAATACATGAAGAAACCAAAAATCAATGGAAGAGATGAATGCATGAAAATTATGGGGGATTCATCAATTGTTCCAGAATATGATCATATTGATTTCGTGGTTGGTGATGCAATTTTCGAAGAGGGAGCACGCATGAAAAAGCGACGAGAATTGCATAACTATGTGGAAGGTTTTCATCAAAATGGAGTCTCTACAATTCATGGACGAATTGTTCTTAAGAAGGGGGGAATGATACAATTCTCGCTACCACAACAATTTCGTTCGAAGGCCCAGAAGAATGGTGCTGATTGGAGATCAAAGTTCTATAAAGATTCGAGGTCGAATCTTCTTCAAGAGAGAGGGAATGATGCAATATCGACTAGCACGATATTTAATTCCCGTGGTCCAAAAATGAAGATTCGAATTCGACGATTTAAGAATCAATTGGGAGCGTATTTAATGGATTAATGGCGCTTCAAATATCAAAGCTCACCTACGTGAACAGGTGGTATGCAAAGTGTGTTATTTGGCATGGAGTAATTAGGTCATTGATCTATTATTTGGATTGGGATGACCACGTGGAAGGCAATCTGGTTGCTTTGATTAATTCTCATTCATCAAAAGACAAGGCCACGTAATTAGGGAAGTAATGCATTGTTGGTTGGTGAGCTGGTTGGTTGATTGTTATGTTATCCGTCCAAGAAAAGGACAACAACTCGTATGAAGGCAAAGAAGGATTCCGCTGCAGCAAAGGAAAAGGAAAAACGCCAGCGGTGGTTTGGGTTTTATGTAGTTTATTTATTTATTAAAAGTTACCTACTTAGTTTAGGATTTGTTTTCTTAGTTCTTTTAGGTTAGTTTTATGTTTTTGAGACCTCTATAAATAGAGGGTGTAAGACCTACGAATTTGGTACCCAATATTCAAGTTATCAATTAAGAGTTTTTACTCGTGTTCCTTTGTGAACGTTTGTGCAAGCTTCTGTCGAGAGTCTCCAGGAGTTTCACGTGTCTCTTATCAACTAGAGAACGCGTCTAGTTGTGGCGAGCATCTATCCTATATCAATTGCCCCTTTCCACGAGTTGGGATTGTCCGATTGATTCCGCATCTATCTTTTATCTCAAGTTGGAGAAAAGCTTCGAAAATCCTTCAAAAGAAGGAAGGCTGCGTACTTTGGTCATATAATCCGAGTTCGAGGATTCTCTTCGGATTTGGATCACATCAGTCATGAAAGTGGAGGGTCTAGAAGGATTCACCAAAAATCTTCAAAATCCAGTTGAAGACTTGTATTATGTTGTTACTAAAGAGAAGGCTGGGGACACGAATTGGGACTAGTAAGACGTTTTTTAGTACGTGTGGTCGACCGTTTAGGTCATGAGGTCGAGCGTTTGTCCAATAAGGTCGACCGTGACTGTGAACAGGTTGACCAGTACGTTGCAAATCACAATTGACATTTCTGTTATTTTGATTTTTGCAGTTTGACTGTTGTGGACTTTTTTCTGAAAACGTGCAACGACATTATTTGAGTTCAGTCATTAGCGAGAATAGCTAGGTTTGCTCATCAGTAAGTACTATACTACTACGACTTTCGTATGAATTGTGCACTATTTATGTTACGATTTACGATGATTTTGTGTTTGATTGTTGGATGGTAGGTAGTGGATTTGTGTGCAAGGGCACTAACAATGTCTGAAAAACATGATGTGAAAGAGCCAAATGTGTGGTATTTGCCAAATATGTTTTCGGTAAGAGCCGTAATGTCAAATTATTTTTCATAACCTAGTTATTTATATTGTACCATGTCAATTCATCTCAATTAAAACATGGTGCAGAAAATGGTACGCGCTAACATGAAGACCAGACAAATTCGTAACAAGTTGATGAATGATGGCGTGGTGTTTATGCCGAATGTTAGTGCATGCCAGAAGGTTAGTCTAGTCAATGTCCCTATATCATTAAATTTCGAAAGTGCATTTGTTTGTATTCGCTGTTTATAACATATAGTGAGTGTTTCGTTGCTAGATATTTATGCCAGTTCTTGACGATGAAGCACATCATTGGTTTCTGTATCTCGTCAATGTCCAGCAAAAAACTGCATTTTTGCTTGACAGTCTACCTTCAACTAGTGAGGCGAATCGTAGGCGTAAATCAACACTATGCAAGAAATTGGTAAGTGTTTCCTATAATTTTCTGACTGTTAAGCGTCACGTATTATGCTAGAAGCTTAAAATATTCGTTATTTGTGTGTAGTTGTCCAATTTGGATGATATTTTCAAACTGGAGCGCATGAGCAATGTAGTAGTACCAAATTTTGGAGATTTCAATTCTGATGAGTTACGAGTTCAACGGCAAAGGAATAGTACTGAGTGTGGTGTGCACGTCATGCAGTGGATGCGCTATGGATCCAAGGATCTGGATAGAGTGGTGAGTATATCGTCAAACAAATAACTTGTTTAATTTACACTTTTTTAAGTTGTAACGAAGTCTTACATGGCATAATGAAGATAGGAGAAGAACACAAATTACCGGCTCGAAAGGAGATTCTATGGTATCTGGCTACACATTTTGAAAAACGTGCACGAGAAAATCTTTTCGAGCATGTAGTAGATGAATGCATGGAACGAGGCAAAGAGAGACAGAGTTCAAACAAAAAAGCAAAGAAATGAAGTCGTTAAGTTACAATGTTGCATTATTGTGACAATACATTGAATTTGTATTTGCGAGATCGTTTCATTTTGGATTTTGAATGTTTATCGTTTATTAGATTTATTATACAATTATGGATGTGAGTGAATTTACGATTTCAATCGTCTAGAACAAGTGGTCGACCACATACTCAAAGCGGGCAAACCCAAAGGCAGAGCACAGGTCGACCTCGTGACGCTTAAGGTCAACCTATGATACCGTAGCAAAGTCAAAAACCATGTGGAATAAGGATGGAATCTCGCCTGTTTGGCCTTAATAAAATACGGTCGACCATTCGTGTCAAGAGGTCGACATGTTTCACATTTATAAACAACGGTCGACCATTTCAGTAAAAAGGTCGACCTGTTTCACATTTATAAACAACGGTCGACCATTTGTGTAAAGAAGTCAACCTGTTTCACATTTACCCAAGACGTCGACCATTTGTGCAAAGTGGTCGACCGTAATGATTCATGTCCTTGTACAATTAGGATTTTGTGTACTTGTCCTTGTCGAACTATGATTTTATATATCTTTCACCAATTGGATAAAGAATTCATCTACATTATCTATAAATAGATGGGAGTCTTAAGACTTTATTCGTACTTCGATTTATGCAATTTGTTGGAGTGAAGTTGTAATCTCATCGCTCTTATTGTGATCGGGTGTTGGTGGCGGTTTATTTTTATTCCGGTAGACCATAACAATAAGTGGTCGACCTCTTTGTTAAGGTATGTCTCGTATGTGCTTGTTAATGGTTGTATGTGGTTAAATTTTTCCCTAATTAGGTCGACCTTACAGTAAATTCAGGTCGACCTCATCTTTGTTATTTAGTAATAAGGTCGACCGTACAGTTCATTCATGTCAACCTGGCGAGAGCTAATTGTGTATGTTTTTTACATTAAATTTGTATTCTGATCGTTGCAGGATGGATAACAGAGATGATACAGATGATAGAGATGATGATGAGGTTAACTTCGATGAGGAACCTAAGGATGCTCGAGAAGGAGCTAAGGATAATTCAGATGATACAGATAATACGGATGATGAAGTGGTTGGGGATGATAATGAAACCGAGGGTGCTAAAGAAGAATTTATGGATGATGAAGAAGCTACTGAATATGAACAACAAATTCCTTCCATGGAGTTCCAAACATTAGAAGATGCAGAGAAATTTTACGATTCTTATGCTAAAGCGAAAGGATTTAGCGTTCGACGTAGAGATCTTCGGAGGAGTCGTCGAGGAGTAGCAATTGGGAGGACAATGGTATGTTCGAGAGAGGGGACTAGAGAGAAGATGCATATAGATAAAGAAGGTCGGACTCGACAACATCGTAAGATGACAAGACATTCTTGCAAGGCATCGTATACTGTACGCTTTGATCGGAATAAGAAAACGTGGGTTGTTTCTAAGTTTGATAGGAAGCACTCACATCGTTGCTGCAATGAAGAAGAAACTCAATTCCTTCGGTCTCATCAAAATGTGAGTGAAGGAGACAAGGCTCTGGCGATAGGGATGCGACAGTCAGGAATAAAACAACGCAACATTGTTCAATTCATGAAGAATAAAGTTGGAGGATATGAGAATCTGGGGTACACTCCAAAGGATTTGGACAATTCTGTTCACCAATCCCGAATAGTTGACGACGATCTAATAGGAGATGTTAACCGAACATTAGGTTACTTGCAAAGTAAACATACCTCTGATGCGGGCAGCTTCTTCAAGTACACAACCAACGATGAAGGTGAATTAGACAATCTCTTCTGGTCGGACTCCACATCTAGAGCAGATTACCATTTTTTTGGGGATGTCTTGGCGTTCGATGCATGCTACAAGCGCAACAAGTACAATCGACCATTTGTTATGATGGTTGGTGTAAATCACCACCACCGTAACATCATTTATGGTTTTTCCCAGTTGGATAACGAGACAATCCCCAACTATGTTTGGTTGTTGAATACTTTTCTGGAGTGTATGAACTCTAAGATTCCAACTTCAGTGATCACAGACGGAGACAAGTCTATGCGTGGTGCCATTGCTACTGTTCTGGTTGGAGTGCCTCACCGTCTGTGTATTTGGCATATTGAGACAAATGCGACAACGACCGTTCATAATAAGGAGTTCGTTAGCGCATTCACTTACTTGGAGAAAGCACGTATATCGATTGAGGAGTTTGAGAGGCGTTGGGAGCATTTGATTAGTGAGCATGGTTTGTCTGCAAATAAGTGGTTGCAGGATTTGTACGTTGACAAATTACTGTGGGCAGAGGCATACTTGAAGGATATTTATTTCGGTGGACTCCAATCAACCTCGCGATGTGAGTCATGTAACCATTTGATAAATGGGTATGTGGGAACTCAATACAGCTTGCAACGTTTTGTTCAGGGCATTGATGAAGCACCGGAGGGGATGCGTTTCACGGAGGTGCATGATGATTATACTTCTAGGCACACGAGGTTGGTCTGCAAGCATGCCCTTCGCACTTGGGAAATGCAAGCTGAAATTATCTACACACATCGTACATTTGCTATCTTCAAGTCTGAACTAGAGAATGAAGCTTCTTATGTATTAGCGGAGAGAAGAAATGAATCAGATGGGACAGAGACATTCATTCTGAAGAACTACATGAACCCAGATCGGATAAGGCGGTTAACATTTACCAATGTTCAAGAAGACGCTAGGCACTATCTAGACGAGGAGGCACCGCCCAGCGCCCATGCCGATTAATCGTTGTCTAGGCGAGATTAAACGTTGCAAAAAAATATGATAGATTAGCCATATTCCACAAAAACCCAAGTTTTCATATCATTATTCATCCATTCATATTCACATACAACCCTTTTCCACAATCCCAAACATCCCAAGTCGCCAACAATGAGGAGGGATCTCACTGCTGGTCGATGAGGGGGAGAGGCTGGTTGAATGGAAATGGGAAATAGAATACGGTTTGGGATTTTCAAAAAAAGGCTACACTTTCCCCCTTTATTAGTTGTTATGGGCGTCGCCCACTAGAGTGAAAACGCGCCTCCGAGTGCCTAGGTGCCTAGATCAATCGCCTAGGGCTAGACGGGGCGATTTCGTCCTGCCCAGCTATTAATCGCGCATAGGCGAGAGATTAATCGCGTCTTCTTGAACACTGACATTTACTACGTCCAATCAATATCTAAAATGCGAGTGTGCATTATTTGAATCTAAGGGGTTTCCATGCAGACATATGCTTACAGTAATAAAAAATATAGGATACACCGCACTACCCTCCTCGTGGTTCAAGCTTCGATGGACCCAAAATGCGAAGACAATGAATCGTTATCCTGGAGTTGGAGGTGATGTGGGAGAGAAAGTTGGTCGACTGATAAGACATGGAGGATTGGCTCTAAAGTGTAAGCGTTTGTGTGACATCGCGTGTGGTAGTGAAGCTGCTTTTAATCATGTCTCTAAGACGTTGGACGACCTAACTCAATGGGCAATTGAGTTCGCGAGGGAGAGAACGGACAACACCACACCGGCAAACCCTCCAGCACCCCTTCGAAGTGTGAAAGATCCAAAAATTGGGAAGACCAAGGGGACATTCAAGTCAGCACGAACTGCATCGGGCAAAAGTTTAAGAAAGTGTTCGAAATGTGGGAAATATGGTCATTTTCGCCATAAGTGCCCGAAACAAAGTCCCAAAAAAGGATCTTAAATTTCTACTATTGTTATTTAGGAGTTTATTTATTTTTTTATAACTGTGATTGCATTGTATTTTCTTCGAATTATCTTAATAATTTATGAGTTAATTGATTGTTGGTTGAAAAAAACAATAGCAATAAAACGGTCGACCTCATATAAATAACGGTCGACCTGACCATAAACGGTCGGCCGAACAAGTTACTGAGGTCGACCGCGTATTTAATTCGGCCGACCAAACCGGTTTGTTTGCAACATCCACCCAAACCTCCCCCAATCCTCTATTTAAGAAACCCTCCCCCATTCATTCTACACCACAATCAGACCCTATCCCACCACATCCACTCATTCTTCCTCTCCTTTCCCTTCTTCATCTTCTTCTCCAATTTCCAAAATCTCCATTTTCCAAAAACTCAAAGGAACCTCCATTTCATTCATCCTCATCACTTAGAAGAAGAACAAGGTATAACTTTCAATCTTCTTTTCATTTGATTCGATTTTTGTCTTCTTCTTTGGTAGATTAGATTGTTTTGAAAAAATATAAAGATGGAAAAGAGGGATTTTCCCTTCTGTTCGTCAGATGCGGTCGACCTGTTCATCATCGTGGTCGACCGCAACTGGCTTTCAATCGATTTTTTTTTCCTGTTTTATGGACTGAGGTCGACCTATGATGATATTGAGGTCGACCTATGAAGTTTTGCTACGATTTTATGGGTTTTTATTTAGATCTATAGCTTGAAAAGAGGGTTTTCCCTTCTGTTCGTCAGATGCGGTCGACCTGTTCATCATCGTGGTCGACCGCAATTGGCTTTCAATCGATTTTTTCCTGTTTTATATAGCTTGAAAAGAGGGATTTATCCTTCTGTTCGTCAGATGCGGTCGACCTTTTCATATTCGTGGTCGACCGCATCTGGCTTTCAATCGATTTTTTCTTTTGTTGTATAGACTGAGGTCGACCTGTGATGATATTGAGGTCGACCTGTGACGTTTTGCTACGAGTATTTGGGTTTTATTTAGATCTATAGCTTCAAAAGAGGGATTTACCCTTCTGTTCGTCAGATGCGGTCGACCTTTTCATCTTCGTGGTCGACCGCATTTGGCTTTCAATCGATTTATTCCTGTTTTATAGACTGAGGTCGACCTGTGATGTTTTGCTACGAGTATTTGGGCCATTTCGGACTCGTTTCAATTTAGCCGAGGTCGACCTATGATGCTTCTGAGGTCGACTATGAAGGTGAAGGCAAAAGTTCGAGTTGTGTCATTCTCTTACGAATTTTTTGTGCGAAACTAACTCTGGTCGACCTCTTCTATTTATGAGGTTGACCGGATCTATTTTGCATTCAACATTGAAAGCATTTGGGCCATTTCAGACTCATTTCAATCTAGCCGAGGTCGACCTATGATGCTTCTGAGGTCGACCGATGAAGGCAAAAGTTTGAGTTGTGCCATTCTCTTACGAATTATTTGTGCGAAACTAACTCTGGTCGACCTCTTCTATTTATGAGGTCGACCGGATCTGTTTCGCAATCAACATTGAAAGCATTTGGGCCATTTCAGACTCGTTTCAATCTAGCCGAGGTCGACCTATGATGCTTCTGAGGTCAACCTATGAAGGCAAAAGTTTGAGTTGTGTCATTCTCTTACAAATTATTTGTGCGAAATTAACTCTGGTCGACCTCTTCTATTTATGAGGTCGACCGGATCTGTTTTGAATTCAACATTGAAAGCATTTGGGCCATTTCAGACTCGTTTCAATTTAGCCGAGGTCGGCCTATGATGCTTCTGAGGTCGACCTATGAAGGCAAAAGTTCGAGTTGTGCCAATCTCTTACGAATTATTTGTGCGAAACTAACTCTGGTCGACCTCTTCTATTTATGAGGTCGACCGGATCTGTTTTGCATTCAACATTGAAAGCATTTGGGCCATTTCAAACTCGTTTCAAATTAGCCGAGGTCGACCTATGATGCTTCTGAGGTCGACCGATGAAGGCAAAAATTCGAGTTATTTGTGCTAAACTTATTGAGGTCGACCTGTGATGATATTGAGGTCGACCTCGGGCCATTTAAATCGATTGAAAGCCAGATGTTCATGGGGAGTGCAGTGCAGGACATTAGGCCACCTTGTAATGCACTCGAAGACACAAACGTCTGCTGTCTTCACCGAGTTCTCCTTTGCAACCCTATGTCGGCCACCGGCAAGCAAACAACAACAATATAACAAAGAAGACCCTAAAACCTAAACTCTCTTACATCCATAAGAACGGGACATGCGGGGCGGTCAGAATTGACCTATGCTCGTTTATGTCGACCCATTCTCGTTTTAAATTAACTGAGGTCGACCGCTTTATGGAGTGGTCGACCGCGTTTTGTTCATTTCGAAAATGTGACTAACGTGTATTCTTGCTTGTTTGATCGCATGATGTTTGGAAAAAATAAGAAAAGAAAGTCACAAAAAGCTGCTGCCTCAAGTTCGGAATGGGAAGAGTTCAGTCCCAAACTGTTCCAGACCAAGGAGCAAAGTGACAACTATGAAGAGAAGAGAATGCACAACCGCAGGGTGGCTCCTGGAAGGCCATTGACGATGGATGCGTATTCTCATTTCGAGAATTACGGGTTTTTGGGACCCTTCATCGAGCAAGAGTGGTTGAAGGTCATATCTCTCAATGTACCATACTATCCAAAACTGGTACAGTACTACTACAACAACATCGTCTACGAGCGCAATGCAAATAGATCCATTCACGCATTCAAATCCTATGTGAATGAGGTGGCGATGCGCATCAGCAAGAATGTGTTGGCGCAAGTACTAGAGGCTCCAAACGAGGGGAAGAGAATCCATTCTTACGGTGCTTGGAATGAAACGCATTTCACGAGAGCCAAGCAAATCCAGACGGTATGTGGTCTTGATGAAGAGAAAGATGCTCAGGGTCGCAATAGGCCAACGAGTAACCACCTGACAGTTCAAGCCAGAGTTCTTCACCACATGCTTTCCTACAACATTCTGCCAAAGGGTGGACATCGGGAGACAGTCACCTACTTCGACATGGAGCTCCTCACCAACCTACTGTTAAACGAGAAGGTGAACTTGCCATACTTGATCTTTAACCACATGCTTACTGCTGCAGAGAGTTCAAACAGGAATCTTCCCTATGGGATGATCCTCACTGTGCTATTTGAGCATTTTAATGTGAATTTAAGTGAAGAGGTGGGGTTAAGAATCACAAGGCAGGAGTTCTATACTGTTTCATCTCTGAAAAAGACGGGCTTTGAGCTGCGTAATGGTGAGTATGTCAGAATAAACAATGCTCATGGTGCCCATGGTACTGGTGATGATGATGATGATGACGATGGTGATGAAGGAGCCGGAGACGAGCCAATGGCGGAGGCACAAAGTTCAACTCCACCGATCACCTTAGAGCGTGTGTGGGAGCGCATGGATGGCATGTAAGAGTACATGGGCCAGATGTCCACACAGATGACTGGCATGTACGACTACATGGGGCAAATGACCGCCCAGATGATCACAATGCAGGTGACCGTGAATGAGATGCGAGATGAGTGGCGATCTTTCAGTGGAAGATACATGCATCCCACCACATCCGACCACCATCATGCTAGCACCACCAATGAAGAAAATGTGGATGAGGGAGAGAGGGGAGATGAGTAGGAGCGCGGAGATTTTAGATTGTGTGTTTTTATTGTTAAGTGGTCAAAACGATTGTTGATTGTTATTCTGTTGTTTTTTTAGTTTTATTTTTATGTGTGAACAATTATGATTTATGTTTTATTTTATTTCTTGTTAGTTTATTTAGTTGTTATGCTATGAATTGATGAGTCCTTGTTATCATTATTTATGACTATTTATGATGGTTTGAAACATAATTTATACTAGCAAAAGAACCACACAAATCGACATACATAAGCGAAAAAGACACGGGGCATAGGTTGACTTTCTTGTATTCGGTCGACCTCGTACCGGATTAGGTCGACCTCGAAACCAACACTTGATCTTCATTTTATGTCAAATGATTGGACACTTTGATAGAATACTTATCTTCTATCTGGTCGACCTCTTTCCTTATCCGGTCGACCATTTTGTTAATAACTGCCATCAAGTGGTCGACCTATATACCTTAGGTGGTCGACCATGTTGTTTCTGACGCCACGAAATGGCCGACCGAGGTTTTATTCTGGTCGACCAAAAATAACAACTTAAACTAAGTGCGGTCGACCAGGTGGTCGTTGAGGTCGACCGCAATGCTTTCTCGTGATGCCCAAATTAGTCAATTCGGGCGACCGCCTTCAGAAATAGGTCGACCGAAAAGTCCATGTCACGGTGACATGCATGTCATAGTAGGCATACCCAAAATGTTAACATTTTCAAGATGCAAAACATCCATAAAATTTCTAATTAACTGTTATCAATTTCCAAATCGAACATATCCTTTTTACTCAATTTTGTATCTATATTATTTCCAACTGATCTGTAGACTTATTGGTCAACGAGTGCAAAGTGCTAGAATAAATATTTTATTTGTGCGCAAAGTCCAATTTCATTGATGAGCGGTGCAAATCGCTAAAATAATTATCTTAAAAGTTTTCATTGATTTTTAAAGTTTTAAGATTTTTGGTTAATGTTTTTATTTTATTTTATTCTATACTTTTCACATTATATTCAGGTTTCGTATAGCAAGAGGCAAAAATCTCCATGCAACCGCTAGATCTAAGATTTTTTATTTTGCCCTTTTTGATTCGATGAGTTTGATATATGTGATTTTAAATGAACGACTCTTTGATCAATTAGTTGTACAATCTGCTCGTCGCCTCTTTTTATGTGTCTACAATCATCGATGAGAACGTGGTCGCCAAATTCATCAGCAACATCATTTAGTCGAACAACAATCTTTTTGAAGCGCGTCATCATTCCTCCTAGATTGTTGATAGGCTGCGCTGGAATATACCTTCCAGCACGCACCATTTGCTCTATAGAATGTGCGACTATCTTAATTCCGTTGTTGAGAATACAGTAGAGACTATTCGCCATATTGATGACGTCCACTAAGGCATGGGGTTCAAGCGTGGTGGCTTTATTGACACTTGTGGTGTTGAAGTATTTGATGAGTTAGTCCAATCTATCCTCGACAATCCGCACCAGGTCGCATGCGGAAATTTGTATCTCCGGAGCGTTGTTTGCTGCCCCAGCGTGATGACTCTCATCACAGTTGCAGCTGCCTGAAGCTGATACCGGGTAGAAACCTTGTGTATCATGAGGATTTAAGGGCCTCAACAATGTAAGGTATGTTTTTCGACGAGATGAATCCCAAACGCATAATTGGAGAGAAGAGCTTGTTATGAGTGACTGTGATTGATTTAGCTGATCTTGGTGATAGAGTTTCGGTCTAAAATATTTCAATTGGTTGCCTTGATTGCCTCCAATGATGCATGTCCATCCTACACATTGAGCAACTCCATATGATTGTACAGTGAATTTCTAACTAGGCGGGGTTGGAGTTGTTGATTAGAAGAGGAATCGGTTACACTACAAGAAAACAGATCTTTAATCACGTGTACTTTTGATTACGGGTATGCTCCTGTAATCAACGTATATTTTTTATCATGGGAAAATCTTCCTGTAACTGTTGTTTGTTAAAGAATAGCTTCTTGTGACAATTGATGGACAGGAGAAAAACACAGTGGGCGGGAGCCAAAACAAAGTTTGGCGCTATCTCCCTCTACGTTTTGGGTCCTGAAAAATTTCAACTTACCGTCCTCCATTATTTGGGGTTTTCAACTTCTTCTTGAAATGATTATAGCTTATTGCATAGTTTTCTTCGTGTAATGTTGACATTAGTGGGAATCAATGGTCTTTTTGATTTGTGCTTAACCATAATTTTGTTACTCTTTTATCGTGTACACATTGACATTTGTATCTTTTTATTAAGTATGACATTATAGTTGTTTTACCTTTTATTTTAAGTACACAAATTAGATATTGAAATGACGCTATGTTGTATCCATCAATGATCAATAGTAATAGTAGTATTCCATGATTATAGCTAATTACAGTAATTGGATTTTATCATGGTTAACATTGCAACTTGCCACGGGGCATTTCCCGTGGTTGTTACTTAATTACGGGTTTTACCTGTGATTAAAGGGGAATATCATCACGGGATATTTCCCGTGATTGATTATTTTTGGTCACAGGATATCTCGTAATGGTAGATCTTTCATCACGGGCACACTTGTCAGGGGAAAGTACCTGTGACTAATTAAATTAATCACGGGATTTGGCCATATAGTCACGGGATTTACCGTGATCAAAAGCTGATTTTCCTGTAGTGTTAGAGCTGATGTTGTAGGCATTGAATCCAAACCCATGAGTCTTGCAACTTCACTGGCAGGGCTAGTATTATGTATAGATCATAGTAATCCCAAACAATGAAATATTCTTTCACTCTTCGGTTAACATTCAAAATGTTAATCTTTAAAATATCATATTCTCGCTAACACGTGAAGCAGTAGCGAGCGGGGATATACTAATAATCTATCATATTTCGATTTGTAACTAAAGATTGTTCTTCATTCTGTTTTGCCTTGCTTATCTCGTGAAAGATACTAATATATTTTTGCGGATGTATGGTATACTAAACTACGTTACTAGTGATCGTATCCTAAAAAGTGTTCTTCATTTTGTTTCTCCATATTAGCAGCGTAACCAATGTGTACATCCTTCTTTTTGTTATGACGAAAAACTCTTATCCACAATCGCTATTTGAGTGACATCGTAGACAAATTAAATCTGGGGTTACAGGCCTAACACAACCTGTTATAAGACTATGATGACGTTTGATGTTCTAGGCACGAAGACCATGATCCCCATGAATACAAGGGCCTCCCTGACAGGATTGCTACCATTTTTTTTTTTTTTTGACAATGGAACATCTTCTATTATACCAAACCAGACAAGCAGAACCAAAAGGCTACAACAAGGGTGAAATCAAATTTGCAATGACAATCCAATCTTGTGGTAAGAGATCAAGTCGGGCATTCCTAGCAACCCAATCCGCAAGAGAATTAAATCGCCGAGGAACGAAGGACAACTTGATCCAAGGAGCCCCCTGAAGAAGAGACACAATCCGGGCCACGGTTGCACGACATTGCCAAGGCCAATCGCAGGGGTCTTGAATAAGAGCCACAATCAAACGTTGGCAGTCGCTTTTGATACACGTCGGACATGACACTTGGGCCGCCAACACCACAGCACCCAGAAAAGCAAATGCTTCTGCCTGAATCGGGTAGGAACAATAGAACCTCTCAGCCTTGCCGTCAATCACCTGACCGTGGGCATCAGCAATGGTAATCCCACAAGCCGCCAACTGAGACTCCGAAACAAAGGAGCCGTCACAGTGCACAATTCGTTCAAAAGGGCCAGGCGGTGGTGAGGGGTTTCGACGGGATCCCCTAGGCTGAGAATGACAACTAGCTGATCTCAGGATCGAGGACAGTGAGGTTGTCTCTCGAGCTTCGTTGATGTTCATGAATTCACGATTAGCTAAAGTCGCCGTGATGGCTGGGGAAATAGCCCTGCTCTCAAAGATGAAACCATTTCGAGCCTTCCAAATACTCCATAAACAGCAGACAAGGCGGGCAATCTGCTCATCCGACATTTGATCCTTGAGGCTAAAGAACCACTCTGCAAAGGACATATAAGGATCAGGAAAGGTTGTCAGTAGACAGGATTGCTACCAAATGATGCACACTACTACCACAAATAGAACCAAGATTTCTCATATCTCGAACAGATGACGCACATTGCCATTAATCTGCATCCTCGTTCGCAATGTGTTTGTCATTCTAACGTCGCTGAAAGGTATTTCATACAAAGTCACATTGCCATCATAAAATCAGAGTTTGATAAATCTCTGCATTGCACGTTATACCAGCTTTGGTAATTTCCATGCTGATTAAACTCATTCCTCTATTTTTTTTCCTTGGTATTTGGAGCAACTAAAACCCATTATAGATGACATTTCATCTATCCAGTTCTCTTCAAACCAACCAATTTTGCTTCGTTTGGAATTCTCCTTAAATTACACTTCTGCGATAGATTTACTTTTTGTAGTTAGATGTTTTATAAGAATTTGAACTTGTGATTTTCATATTCACCACTAGTGGTATTCGAATATAGATCTTCCTATTTTGATCTCAACTTTGACTCTCGTATTTATAATTGAGCTTCAAAATTGACGTTCTGTGTGTAAGTCAGCAATCAGCATCGATGCCGAGGTGGTTCCAATGTGGTTTCAAAGTAATTTATTAAAAAAACAACAAAAAATTAAAAGAAAACCCTTCTAGTGTTAATAGTTCATATATTTAATCATCACTAAAAAAACTTTAGGTCCTATGGGTTAAGCATGTAATCTACCCACGGATTTTAAGATTACTTGATATATGAGATTTCACTGTTTTTTTGTTTTATTTTTGGACAGATATCATGATATTGGTGCACCATGTAATTCTAGAATTCATGTGACCATGATATCTCAAATGCTTTGGGTTTACCCAAAGTATTTGAGATTTCATGCCAAATTATGTGGGTTCTACCATAAACTCATGCAAGCCAAACAATGCATTATAATATTACACAAGTTCTCACAACTCAACCTACAATATACATGAATTCTTCAAATACTGAAATGTGGAATATATTACTAAATTGTTCTTCCACAAAAATCCATTACACATTAAACTACCAGTCCATTGGATTGAACTTCAAAGACAAGTGAATTGGCTTGTGACTAATGAAACTATCAATTCATACACATTTGAAGTTAATTGCCGAATTCATATGCATGGATTAATACATATAACTCAATCCAAATGCAATTCAGGCTGATTCAGGCCCATGATTAGATTACAAATGACCAGGGAGGTAGAGATTTATATCATATATGATCAATCGAATAATTCCCAAGATGATGCAGCCGGCGGAGGAGGGTTCAAATCAGGAGGATCGAAAATCTCCCATTTGGTAGTTGCTACAACCACCGGCGCCGGCGCCGGCGGCTTCTCCACCTTCCCATTCGACATCTTCACCATGTCCAGCGCCTCCACGCATTTCTGCACTCGCTTGCTCTACAACACACATAAAACCCAAAACTACCCACATAAACCAACTATCTACCTTACCCAATCGAAAGAATCAAAATTACCATCAATTACCTGAATGATTTTCCGTGAAGAAGCCTCCCCTTCTGCAGCCATGGCGTCCAACTTAACCGCCTGCCTCATCAGCACCTCAATCAGCGTTGTGATCTGCAATTCCGGCACTCTGTTTCCGCTCGCCACCGACTTCTCCATCGCACCCACCTGTTCGGCGAGCTTGTCGATCTCCATTGAAATGTCGGAGATGGCGCGGAGCGATTTGTGGACGGCGGCGGATTTGCGCATCTGGATGTACCGGCGCTCGATGCTGGCCGGGTCCTCCGTCACCACCACTTTCGACCGGTCTCTGACGCCGCAAATGTCTAGATACTCTCCGTTTTGCCTCTCTTTCCCTCTGAACGCAACCCGCTGCTCCCCTGGCTCTAGCCCCGTCTCCGCCGTCACCAGCTTCTTTAGCTCCCCTGTTTTCGTCGCCGGAAACAGAGTATTCCTTTGTCAGCAAAATTACTGTTTTCACTTTTTAAGTTTTAACTCCCTCCCCCAATTTTTCATATAGTAAAAAAAATACTTAGGGGTTGTTTGGATGGGTTAATTATCAATGTGGTATTTGTAGAGTCAAATAACTCATTTATTATTCATGTGATATTTCAGTATTATTTCAATGGTAATTGAAATAAAGTATCTTGTTTGGTTGGACCATGCAAATGTGGTATTCGACATGTGGTATTTGGTAAAAGCAGAGTGATAAAAACGAGTTATTTCGAAATAACACATGAGTATAAGTTATTTCAAATAACTCGTTTTGATTTATTTGTAAATAACCCACTGTTCAAATAAATCATTTCAGCAAAACGTTACTAAACGAGTTATTTGTGCCCAAATAACTCAATGTAAGTTATTTGAACCCAAATAACTCATACAAATACTCCATTCAAACGACCCCTTAACCTGATTGGGTCAAACTACATTTTGTTACCAATGTACGCGGCCAACGGCTTTCCACGTAAAATTGAAGGATAAAAAAAAAATGAACTGAAAGGGCGAGAAAAATTGAAAAATGAAAGCGCGTAAGAACTGGCAAGCGAAACAGGAAAAGTCGGATCTTTACCAAAAGTGGCCTGAGAGTTCACGGAGATCTCGTAGCGGAGGGCACCGTAAGCAATGCGAACCCGTAAATTGTGCGCCGGAGCTTCGTTCTTCTCCGTCCGCTTCTGGACCAACATCCCGCCTGGTCTCATCTCCCACTCTACGTCGGCCTCGTCTTCCTTCGCCGTCGAGCTAATAATAGGCTCGTGCTTTACTTTACCGTACCCATTACTGGGCCTTTTGCTTTTTATCATCTTCGCCGATTGACGGCGGACTGATTCAGACGGAAGTACAAGAGGAAGTTGAATATAATTCAGAGGGACAATTATAGGCGGTGAGGGGAGGCCTGGAGAGGGATTTTTTTATTTATAATTTGGGCGACAAAAACAGAGGGTGTCATATGCCGGGGAGGTTGCAAGAGAAATTAAATGTTTGATGAGAGTTGAGAAGAAGAGTGGAGGGTATTAATAGGATGGAAATGACGAGGTTGATGACCCAAAAGTTTTTTTTTTTTTAATGTTGATGACCCAAAAGTTGTGCATGTCATATAGAAATTATATACCCATATATCTAACCCCGTTTATTATACTTGGCGACTTCAATCTCTCATATATTTATTTCGTAAGTATTGTGTAAAAAAGTCGGATAATATTAAACTTGATATTTTTGAATATAGAAATTTATATACCATTTTACACAATGTCAGATTAATGATATCACCATTTCAGTTCTACCATCGTGGCAGGAAAGTGGAGAAATTATATTATGCAGTCTTATCATAGTGGTATGACATGTGTATGACAAAATATGAGATAACAAAGATCATCAATTCATCATAGTATAACACTAAAATTGAAAGATTACCTCTATTTTTATATATTTTTGTAGCAGTAAAATTTGTTTGCCATCTTGCCACTATCATTTCATGATATTGGAAAAAAGTAAGAAGACAATAAGTAAAGTAAGTGAAGATTAACAATATAAATGAATTTACATATTATAATAGTAGTAATAGAGATGTCTAGTTGAACTCGTCGAGATGACTAGTTGTAAATAATCCAAAGGGGTTGATTTCATGTCATAATTAAAAAGGGGGGAAGTGGGGGATGGCTGAGTCAACCCATCATGTAAGGTAAGGGGCTCATTTTTTTTTAATGGCCTGTAGTAGTACGTAAAAATTAGTGTTAAATGTTTTTCATATTTTATATTTGTTATAACTTCAATTTGATTTTGTTTTAAAACCATATGAATTGCGCTCATTTTGACATGTGTTAGAAAGAAGTATTTCAGTCAGTTTATGATCATCCGCAAAGGCAATCTTGTTACTACCTAAACCAATATTTAGTACATTTTGCATAACTTTGGATCATGTACGAAACCCGCACTTGGTAGGATTACTTAATACAATGGTTCATAAGGTTTAATTATTAACATTATTCCCCGGGGAGTTCGATTAAAAAAATAAAAACACATGGTCGGGAAATTGACGCGAACAAGGGTGGACCAATGGTAAACATGCCACGTGTTCTCTTGCCAGGCAGCTTGGTTGCAGTGACAGCTAATTAAGCTGGAGTGTGTAGTAGATAGATAAGATAGTTGCCGACAGTTTAAGCTAACGGAAAGTGAAGTCCAAAACCAAGAAAGACAAAGTTAACATAAAGCTTGACGTGGGTTACAAAATTGTCCTTTTAGGAGCATCAATTTGGACCGTTTGATGATTACCTTTTCCGGGGTGGTTGATTCCAACTGCCATATGCCGGGTTTGATGATGATGATGATCTATGAAGACGGTGGAATGGTTGCTTGAAGTTGTTCATTGGCCTGAGTTGGTTAGAGATTACGAAGGACTAACAACTTGAACCCAAATTCATTGGCTTAAGCATATCAGATTTATTCATGACTAAAACAATATTGTGCCCCAAATGGGATACAAAATTACCAATAACAGTGCCTTGGATGTGCAGCTATGGGCAATTAGCACTTAGATACACATTAACGTGGCCTGGTAATTTTGTTTCTATGTCAAAAGTAACGAAAACGGTGGATCTAATTCATATTATCAAAGGATATTGTTGAAGCCACTTTATTCTGAACCCACCTTTTGGTCTCTGGCATGAGCGTTCACCTCGTCAGGCGCACAGACCCTGCACAGGCAAACGCCTAGTGGGCTTTGGACTGCCCGTTAGCACTCCGACGCCCAAGTCAGAGTAGGGTTTAGAGAAATAAGTAATCTGAGAGTTTTTAGTGAGAGAAGCCCACCTTCTTAAATGCTACCTACCGGGTACTATTTATACTCGTCAAGGTCCCGACCAGACTCGTAGAATTCAGCTCCACGTCAGCGCGTCATTAAATGCTTGGTACGGCCCAACGGTCGGACATCTACACGTGGCAGCTCCTGGACCCCGGTGCCCAGGCGCCTGGCAGGACCACACTTCCAGGTGGCACGCTCTCAGCTTCCTGGTCTCGAAGCTGCGCGGTCCCCGCATCCACTTTTGTCGTTATGCGCCCGCTCCTCCTTGTATGGGCCCAACTCCTTCTTTGTTCCTCACTCATGCTCTCAATTGGGCTTGGGTCCAACCAAGCCTCCTGGGCTTGTATGGGCCCAACTCCTGGTTTGTTCCTCACTCATGCTCTTAGATGGACTTGGGTCCAACCAAGCCTCCTGGGCCCATGTCCCCCATTGGTTCACTCATGCTCACCCAACAATTGTCCCTCAGTTAGGCGCTCATGGTTGATAATGAGTGCCTAACTATATGTAGCACATGAGTGGTCGTTTCGACGAAGGTTACTGTCCTTTGAACGGAAGGTGAGGATGAAAGGACTTGATGGCGCGCATCCCTATATCTGACCGTTGGGATTCCTTCTCCTATAAATATTGTCCGCCGCCTCCCTCCATAGTTCATTCGCCTCAAATCTTTCTCTCTCAAAACTTCTCTCTCTAAGTGAGTTTGCCAAATTCAATTGTTGCCCCCCCCCCCCCTTTTTAGGCGCCCTTAGCTATCTAAGATAGTGGAATTGATCCTGCCCCGTTTGCGTCAACATTATAGGCCATGCGCTTGGATCTCCACAACCGTCCTAGTTGGAGATGTCCCCCATATCGACTAACTCAGGCGCCTCGGAAGATGGGTCGGTAAAAATTAAAAATTGGGCGGACACATGGCCAGCAGGGGAAGCACCCCTTGAGACCTGCCACTTGACCGTTGCGAAAGAGTCCTTCTACGAGAGTGGTGCTTCGTTCACCAGAGGTGCTAGAGCTTTTTTCTTCATTAAAGCGTGTAAAGAGTCCTTCTACGAGAGTGGTGCTTCGTTCACAAGAGGTTGGGCAGTTGGCAACGCAGAGGCGTTTAATGTTGAGGCGCCCTTGACCACATACGAGGAAATTGAAAGCGCTCGCCTTTTATCATTGCACCCAGTGGACTTAAGTTCTACGGCCGCTAGGACGCCTGTTCTACACGAGTACTATCGTGATGGTGGGAGCCTATTATGTCACATCCCGATTTCTAAAACACTTAAATAACAATTTTGCTCCAGAGCATATTTAAAATTTTGAAAGAAAGAAACAATAATGTGCTCGAAATACCAATACTGAAAATACACCTTATAATTTAAAAGCAAAGCCCTAACATTTGGGCAAACCTCAATCCATAAAGTCTTATCCTTTTAAATCTCCAGCCATGACTCATAATCATAAATCAAATAACTAAAGATACAAATGCGGCTTACTCCGATCCGTGGTCAGACATCTTCAGAAGTGCTCACGTGGTCCTCCTCGGGTAGCCTGCTCTCTCACTGGATGCTCCTCGACTGGATGCTCCCTAGCCCCTCCTCTACGACCTGGTGAGTGGGTTGGGGTCAGTCTACGCCATTACTTAAACTTGAAGCACTTACGGGTATTCCCTTAAGTGTTCACCTCAAAAACCCGTGGAAGTTATTTATACTTCCACCCTTTAAACTTTAACCCTTAAAAACGTGGGAGTTGTTGTTACTCGCCACCCTCAAAAATCTTAAACCTTTGACTGACACTGGGATCCCCTCACTAACTAGTCCAGCCGCCCAGCTCATACGTATGAGGGCCAACATAGGCCTTTCCTTAAACCTGTTTATGGGAGTAATCGATTCAACCCCATAAACCTTAAGAGTATATCATACTCTTCCTTTAAACTTCATGTGATGTCTAAGTGATTCATCCACATGTTCCTTAAGAGCAAACTCGCTCTTCCTTTAAACTTTCACTGGGGCGGGGGACTGGCGTTAGTGAACTACTTTTAAATCTTTTCACCCTAATTTAATTAGGAGTGAGACACCTATTAAATGCTAATCCTTAAAGATCAAACAACCTTCATTAAATGAACATAATATAAAAGATTCAAGTAAATAATGAAAGCTCAAATAATCATATACTTCACAATCATAACTCAAATAGAGCATCTCAGGTAATATCTCAAATAAAACACGATTTATCAATCACGACATAAATCAATCACTGGCATACAATTCACATAAAAACACACACACTTAAAACTCGTAAGTCAGATACTTGAAAATATGTAAGGCGTAGAATTTACCCCCTTAAACCACTCACCTCTCAAATGACGATTCTTAGTTCCCTTGACGTGAAATCTTTAATCTGATTGCTCCCTTAATCCTATAAACCGAAATATCTTCCCTTAGTCGGTAATCATAATATTTTAGTCACTTTGGCGTATTGGGGAAAATTTCCCTCATTGATTACTTAGTCCCAAAATCCTTTAAAAATGACCCTCAATCTCTTTTAAATCATTTCTTCAAAACTAAACTTTTCAACCTCTTTAATCAAGAATTAATTCATCTCAAGCAATTCAATATTTCTTAAAATAATTCTCATACAATTCTCATAAACTTCTCAAAATATATTTTCCACTTAAAACTCCACATTCTGACCTTGGTTAACTCAAATCATTAATCCCAATTAATAAACATAAGCCCCTCTTTTAAATAACCTCTTTTTCCTATTAAAATTAATCATATATATAATTTTTAAACCGAGTCACGAAAACTAATAATTCTGATTCATAATTTTATAACATCAATAAATAATCCTAGTTTCATGGAAAATTATCAAATCACCAAAAAGACGTCGTACAGTATTTTAATTAATTAAAACCAACATTCGTTCAATTTTTATAAATACAAATACAGATCCAAAAATTCTAAAATTCATACACGAGCATCATACAATTAATTTCAAATTTATAAAATTATCAACTAATGAAAATACCCACGAAAAAGTGTCGGAAATTAACATAACCATGAAAATTACGATTTTCGGGCCAAATTATCAAAACTTAAAACTCAGAGGGACTAAACTGTTCATACTGAACACTTGAGGGACTGGTCTGGGAATTTGCACATCAGTCTTTAGCGACGGTCATCTTTGTCACTAAAAGACTGTAAGTTTCGTTGCTAAAACCCAGAACTTGCATATACATTAATAACTCGAATTAATCTTCCAGAGTCGGATCCATTACCTTTAGGTAGACCCAAAAACTGGATTAAATTATTCTGGACGTCGTTCCTCCTCGTCGATCGTTGTTCATGTCCCCGGCGTCTTGTCGCAAAGCTATGGTTTAATACGTGGGCGAGTTGGTTAGCTATAACATAACTCGAGTATGAAGGATACTTGGACTCAAGATTCTTACCGAACCCGGATCGTGTTGGCTTGTCAAGAGAAGGTGGTACCAAGGAGGGTCGTGCTCTTGGTCGGCGGTCGAGACGTGTTGCTGCTTGTGTGAAAACGAGAGGAAGTCGGGGTGACGGACGGACGACAGTTCTTGTTTGACCTAACGGAAGAGCTGCTGCTTGCTGGGGAACCCGGAGAGTCAGATGGTGATGACCAAGGTCACGTGGGGAGATGGATGAAGTGACGATGTCACTTTGAAGAACAATCGGCCGGTGATGCGTGGGAGGAAATGGTCGGGAGAAGAGTTGGGTCGTTAGTGAAAGGAAGGGGAACTTCAACTTAATGTAGATAGCACCGACAATGGCGGCGGGCAGGGAGAGTTGAGTTGGGGTTGAGTGGCATCAATCTCCCTCTGCTCTTGGCCATATAATTGTATACATTGAACATGGCCTCCTTGCTCTTTATTAGTCCCGTGACTCACTTCCTCTCCCACCTACCGTGATCCCAATAGTGAAGCACATTCACTCTTTAATGATAATGATGGCGTGTACAGAATTGGATGAGGGGAAATAATTGGATCCTTGGAGTTTTACTGGGTTGGGTTAATTGGAATCAAGAGGGAAGGGGAATTATTTGGGTTGGGGTTGACGTGGAGGGGGGTTTCCCCATCTGCTTTCCCTTTTTTTTTTAATAATAATAATAATAAAGATGATGATGATTAAAGATGGTGATGATTAAAGATAATAATTATAATTACTATTATTATTATTGGTCTACTGATGTAACCATTCGTACGTAACCGTCTATCCAATCGTTTATGAAATATGGTTGAACTCGATCCAAAACATCGGGATGTTACATATTACACCTTTGAACATTTCCTTTTGCCCCCTTGAACATTGGACTTGTGCATTTAGGCATACTATTACCAGGCACATTGTATTTTTAACTTTACTAACATTTACTCTGCTATGTGTTTTTGTGTAGGTGCGGACTTCACCTCCATGGCCTCCTTGATGAAGAGCCAATTTGCGAAGATGGGGATGACGGCCAAGGTGGCGCCCAGCTCGAGGAAAGGTCGGTCAAAGGGCGCCAACACCTAAAGGGAAATACTTCTAAGACAGCTAAGGGTGTTGCTGGTGAATCGCAGTCGCCTGAGCCCGAGGCCGAGAAAGGAAAGGGGCGTGTGAGCAGAAAAGGGAAATCCCCCAAAAGAATTAAGCCCGACAAAGTTCCAAGCGCCCCCTTGACCGATGCCGGGATTGGCTTCGTGGAAGTATGGGAGGATCAGGCGCCTGTTGCCACGATGCCCCAAGAAACTTCGACGCCTGTCGACCTTCTATAAGAAACCGAAGTTGCGGAAGATGACATTCCATTGATCAAAAAGCTGAAGAGGAAGTCCGAGGGCGCCCAGGACGGGTCGGGAAAGAAACCACGGCTGGATGACGAGGCGCCATTTCCGGAGTCTATCGAAAAGTGGCTTCAACCTCCGAAGCACAAGGTGACATTGGAATGCTCGGACAGATCTGCCCTGGAGCGTGGCCCTGCTATTCACATGGCTTTGACCTCGGGCGATATGCTCAGGGCGCCTCTTGACCTGGACGGCGCTGATCCTTGGGGCAAAATGTGCCGAATAAGTGCCAATGTAAGCATGCGCCTGATGCAAAAACAATTTATCATTTTGTCTTCATCTTCTCCAATTGATATATGACCATCTTCTTTGCTTCATTTTGTAGATGATGGTTGTGGCCAAGAAGGGAATATTGGAGCGGGAGGCCCTACGCGCCTCGGCCAACGAGGCGTCCACATCTCTTGGTGTTGCGCAAGACAACCTCGCAACGGCTCAGAAGCGCCAAGAAGAACTAATAAAAATGTTCGAGGATGCCCAGTTCGAGGCGGCCAAGAGCGCCTCTCTTGTTCAAGAAAAGGTCGATGAAGAGAAGAGGAAGTTGCAGGAGGATTATGAAGTGCGGATGGAGACCGAGAAGAGGGCGCACCATGAACTAGTGACAAATTTGGATAAGGAAAAGCAAACTCTCGAAAATGAAGCTGGCGCCTATACGAGTGAGATTGACCTTTTGACCCAAGAGAAGGGTGATCTTAAGAAGGAGAATAAGTGTTTGGCCAGGGAAAATAAGAAGTTGGCGCTGGAGATAAAGGCACTTGATGAGGAAAAATAGGCGCTTACTGCCGAGAAGGGGGCGCTCGAAGCGCAGTTAGTGGAGTTCGCCAAGTCCGACGTAGGCCAGGCTCTTAAGGCTGAGGCTGCCTTGAATGGCATCTTGATTCTGCAAAGGAAGCTATCAGCCGAGCATCCCGTCATCGATTGGGATGTCAAGTCCTGGTGGAGTTTGTCATTTCCTTTATGAAAAGCGGGCGCCCCGTGGTCGACGAGGCGCCTGGTGTCGGGGACAATGGTGACGAGAATAATGATGGCGGTGAGGACTCTGCCTCTGACTCCGGGAGTGGATCAGCTAAGTAGTTCCCAGCTTATATGCATGTTATCCCTCCTAATGTGGCGCCCAATAAACCTCTCTATTTTATTTTTGGTAAGGATGATGTATGATTAGGGCGCCTGCCCATAAATTTTTGGTCTTGAATTTGAGCATGGCTATATTTGTCGTTTTCTCTTTGCTTGATTAGAATTTGACTCTCTAAGTTGAGGCGCCAGCTGGGGTGCTTATTTGCCGGTGGAGTTTATAAAATTTTTCCTTCCATAAGCAATCAGATAGTTTATTGACAATCATGGGCGCATGCAATAAGTTGGGCGCTATAGTCTGGGCGCTATAGGGTGGCTGCTGACTCACTCCTACTGTCACTCTAGAAAATGGTCAAGTGTAACCACTTCCTAAAGCGTAGAATAGCGGGTTTGGGTTTTAATGTCATCCCGGGTCTTAGATGTGATGACTACTCAGCGAATTCTTATAATTTAGCGGTGAAACTTAGATGTGATCACTACCTTCAATTAAGGGTGCTCTATTAACCTAGGCAGATATTCTCTTTCTAGGCTAAAGCAGAAATAACAGGAATTTGATCAGGATTCAAGTCATTCAATCATTCAAGCCTCAATTGAATATAATCAAATCATAAAATCTGTACTTGGGTTCATACAATCAGACCTAACATACAAATCTAGGGTTCTCCATACCCAGATGAATAAGAAAACTACTCCATAGAGAGAGATAGAAAATCTAGCTCAGATGCGGAAACCATACTGTGAAGGATGATAATCTGCTTCTGGCGCTCAATCGGATCTTGATGGACCAATAATTACACCTGTTTTTACCCCTATTCTCGATCCGTTTGAGAGGTTGATTCTCGTGTTTTAAGCCGATCTCACGTTAGGTTGTGCGTTTATGTCATATTTCAGGGCTTAGCGTTGGCATCGAAGCGAAGGAACGTGTTTCGGGTCGAAAGGAGCAAGTTTGGGTCGAAGTGTGCTGCAGCAGACCGGGGGTTTTCCCCTGTTCCTAAACGCGCGTTTTGTATATACCCGGTCGACACACAAAATACCCGATCGGGGATCGCGACAGACAGCTTCTTAAGGGAAAAGAATGCGAAAAATCAGGGGTTCCGAGTTTTAGTGAGACAGAGCGATTCCTAGAGAGAGAAAGCGACGAACGAGAGTTGCAAAGTGCCATAGCTTGATCTTCATCACCATTGGAGCCCGGCTTGAGCTTGGAGAAGTGCCGATCGACAACCAGGAGCAGAAATCCATCCTTCACAGTATGGTTTCCGCATCTGAATCTGCTTTTCCTTCTTTCTCCATGGAGTAGTTCTCCCATTCATCTGGGTATGGAGAACCCTAGATTTGTATGTTAGGACTGATTGTATGAACCCAAGTACAGATTCTATGATTTGATTATATTCAGTTGAGGTTTTGAATGATTGAATGGCATGAATCCTGATCAAATTCCTGTTGTTTCTGCTTTAGCCTAGAATGAGAATATATGCCTAGGTTAATAGAGCACCCTTAATTGACGGTAGTGAATTGGCGACTTTAGTCGAGGAGTCCATTCACTATTCTGTACCGAATTTGTTTCGGTAGTGGAGGTTTGGTTCGTTAGGGCCTCAATCTGTTTACTCCGGTGGAGGTTAGTCGCCCGCTGGGGACTTAGATTGAGAGGGTTTGGAGACCTTTAGTCGAGACTTCAGACTGTTTAAGAACCTTCCGCAGTATAACTTTCATAGAAACTGAACTTGGTAATTGCAATCCGGCTTAACTGCAGTCTATGGGGAACCATATCCGGGTGACCTCTCTCGACTTGAAACAACCGTTTAACTTGCTTTGTGTTTTTGCTTGTTTGAACCTGCACTTAAGTTTCACCGCTAGATAATAAGAATTCACTGAGTAGTCATCACATCTAGGACCCGGGTTGACATTAAAACTCAAACCCGCTATACTACGCTTTAGGAAGTGGTTTCACTTGGCCATTTTCTAGAGTGACAGTAGGAGTGAGTCAGATCTTCTCCAAGCTCAAGCCGAGCTCCAATGGTGATGAAGATCAAGCTATGGCACTTGGGAACTCTGGTTCGTCACTTTCTCTCTCTAGGAATCGCTCTGTCTCTCTAAAACTCGGAACTCCTTTTCCTTTGGCTCAAATCTGCCTAAAAGGCCAACCCTGGGCAAAACACGGTCGAGGGCACGGTCGTGTTTTGCTTTAGGCAAGCCCGTGCTTTGCTTTTCCATTAGTTCAACTCTCGGCAATAAAAACACTGGCGTGCCTGTTTGTGTACACGACCGTGTTTTGGTTTAGGCCAGCCCGTGCTTTGGCCCCAGCTCGACCGAATGACTTCCAAATGCCCTGAAATTCGTGCTTAGCCTTTCCTTCGACGTCTGTGACCTGAAATATGACAAAGTAGCACAACCCAGCGTAAAACGGGCCAAAAATACACGACTAATCGCCGCAAACAGATAAGAACTAAGGGTGCAAACATGTGCAAATACATCGCTATCAAATTCCCCCACACTTAACCTTTTGCTTGTCCCCAAGCAAACCTAACTCAAACCAATGCAACTCTCCAGACCTCTATAGCAAGAAACAACCCCGATCGTCGGTAGAGGATTTTCTAGATCATAACGCAGCTTACGAGGTCAACTGGTCTTCTAAGACGTCCCCTATTTCTCTCAATGCCAGTACTAGACTCAAGCCAGGATCATGAGAAGAAGTAGAAGTAAGATAGTTAGTTCATGGATAAAGGGAATCACACCATTCACAATCAAGGACTCGCGATACCGGGGTGTTCTTTCACTTCATTTCACTGTTGGAACCCCTTTTTCACTTCCATTTTACTTTTTTTTCCCATTCACTTAGCGGGGGTTACAACTGTAGTCTTTCGCACGGTCGACCTTTATTAGTCGAGCAAGAGCAATTTCTGTACATCTGGCGCTCGCCAGAGTACTTCTTTTAACTCCTTTTCCTCAACTCGTGTGGAGGGTCAATGAAATTAAGGGGGGTCGGAAGCTCTATCCGTGCCCATAAAAACACATCCTCAAGTAGGCAAACCGTTCAACGGGTGGAAGTTTTAATTGTACTAGAGACGGCTTAACTTCACCTTGTAGGAGTACCCCACTAAGGATCACTAAAATCTCTTCCAAAACCCAATTTTTGTGCAATGAACGGTGCCGCACACGTTGGGCTTACCCCATGTTTAAGATTTAAAGATTTTGACATGGAGGACCAACTGCATTTCATTTTTCACATGAGCACCCTGTTCGATACACGAGTCCATAACACAATCCAAATAGAGTCACCATTATCACATGAATTCAACGGTCATAGCTCCACTAATTCACAAAATCAACTGGCACAACAAAGAGCTAGATAGGAAAAATCTTATACTTCAACATCCTCCATAGTGCTACACTACCTCCCTAGGTTGCACATTACTATAGAGACTGTCAATTCAAAGTATACTGAGCAGGCAATTTGCAAGGAAACACGTACTTGGAGCCCTCAAATTAAAAAATTTCAACAGAGGACTAGGCTCCAAGCACACAAACAGATCTTATGCAGTCAAAAGAGAAACGTCCCCCCCCCCCCCCCCCCCCACACTTAAGATCGACATTGCCCTTAATGGATAAGAGGGAAGGATAAAGGGGAACGATGTTACCGGTGTGCACGGACTACATAAGACTGGAAGCAGACCAGTCTGTGTTAAGAGGACTGGAGAGGGGACCAGTCAGGGACAAAGCACAACTAAAGGGAACAGAAGAACTCAAACACAATCCGTTAGGTCCAATTGTCAGCCCAATAATACATCATCCAAACCAAAAGAAATTAAACCAAAACCAAACAAGTTTACAATCCGACCCAAAACAAAAGGAACAAACGAAAACCGTGGTGGGGTTGCCTCCCCACAAGCGCTTCTTTACCATCTTTTAGCTGGACGCCCATGGTGGATACTCAGCGGGGTGCAGGAACAGGTGCCTCCAAGAGCAGATCCACATCGCTCTTGAGGTACAGCTTCAGATTGCGGCCATGCACTAGACGGGTGCGACCACCAGCATTGGTCAGCTCGACCTGGCCATCCGGCAAGATGCAGGCGAGTGAGTACTCGGATGGCCAGGGTGGTCATGGTGCAGGAGGTGGAACTAGCTCATAGTGGGCTCCACCTTTCTTCCGTGCAGGCTTAGCCACCCGCTGCTTCGATCGCCACTCCTCTTTGATCCTTTGGTTTGGTGGTTACGTTGAAGGGAGTGGCGGCGCAGGCGTGAGAGGGGGATCCTGCAAAACGAGACGCACAGGGGGTTACACGACAGGCTCGTGCACCTGGTGAGAAATAACATGCATAGGTTTGACAGCAAGCATATCACAATGATCAGGGTCAGCCACAGAAAAAGTAGCCTGTTCATTTCCAGCACGCAAGATCAGTTTACCACTATGCACATCAATAAGTGCTTTGGCGGTGGCAAGAAATGGTCTACCCCAGAATCAAAGGCACATCCACTGAAGAAAGGAGGGTGCCGTTCCCATAAAGCTATCTAAACGGTGGCGTTTTGTACAGCTAAAACGCCACCATGATCACACGACGTCATCTGGACAGCAACAACACAAAAGCAAAGAATCATCCTTCCAAGTCTTCGTCGAAAGATGAAGATCATCGAGCTGCTCAAACCTAGCCACCCACCTACACATTTCCAAGGCTGTTCTTGGCGATTCTTCCTCAAGATATCACCGAATCCAGAAGGGCAATGATGAAATCGCCAAAGGAGCGTCTATGTTTCCACCAACGGTCATCCCTTCCATTTTAGTATAAATCATCATTCCCTCTTCAATTGTCGAGTGACCGAGCTTAGCAGAAGAAAATAGCAGAGAGCTTTTTGTCTTCCATAGGTCCGTGTTTTATCTCTTCAAGTTGCTTAATTCACAGTGTGATGTACTGGGTGAATTAAGCTTGGGAAGAGAGGTGTTCTTTTGAGTGTTTTTAAAGTGCCAACATAGTTTGGCATGACTTAGGATTTCTGTGTAAACCATTCCACTTTGTGATTTTCTTTCTTAATTAATAAACGATCCTTTATACATAGAGATTGAGAGCAAGAGTGATTGAGTGATTTTCTTCTCGCTCGGAGTCAACAATTGGTATCAGAGCTAGGTCTTTGAAGGATTAAAGCTTCGCCAAAGACGATCACAAAAATGGCAGGAACACTACCTGCTTCTGGATCCTACTCAGCAAACACAAATCCGCCATGGTTTGATGGCACAGACTACACTGTGTGGAAGAAAAGAATGAGGATATATCTTCGAGGAATTGATGGCGGGTTGTGGGCTATTGTCAAAAAGGGACCAATCCCCATGGATGATGAAGAAGAAGAAAAATGGAAAGATGACCAAAAGCTTTCCTCCCAGCAGGACTCAAGGGCAATGCACATCTTATTCTCTGCACTCAGTCCAGAAGAAAGGAGCCAAGTTGCACAGTGTGAGACAGCCAAGGAGATTTGGGAGTCTCTTGAAACCACCCACGAAGGTACGTCAGAGGTAAAGGAAATTAGAATAGATGTTTTGCTTAATGAATATGAATCCTTTGAAATGTGTTCAGGTGAAACTATCACTAGCATGTATAAAAGGTTTAATGACTTGATAAATAGATTAAAAGGCTTAGGAAAAACCTTTGCTACTAAGGATCTTGTTAGAAAAATCTTGAGGAGTCTACCCAGAGAATGGCTTCCAAAACGAACAGCTATAGAAGAAGCAAAAGATTTAAATGTTCTGTCAATTGAAAGATTAGTGGGGTCTCTACTTAGTCATGAAGAAGTAATTGTTCAGATGAACAAGGAGGACAATAAACGAAAGAAAGTCATAGCTTTTAAAGCACAAGACTATGAGAGTGAATCTGAATATGAAATAGGAGAAGAATTTGAAAGAGAATTTGCATTGGTCAGCAGGAAATTCCATAGAATGTTGAAAATGAAAAGAGACTTCGAAGATAGGAAGAACTATGGAAATCCTAGACAGTTTAACAGTCGGCCCTATGAGTCTAGGAGAAATAAAGAAGGAACAGATAAGACATTTGGTCGATATCCTGATAAGACCAGTACTCAGAGTGATAAGAATTTGTTCAGAAAGATAGACAAACCAGCTGAAGAGCGTGAAAAGAATGTCCAGGAGATTAAGGAAGACCATAGGTCTTCTAGTGAAAAGGATTTAACTATTTGCTTTAAGTGTGGAAAGTCAGGACATATGAGATCCTGATGTCCCTTAAATCTAAAGAAGCAGGAGAAAGCAATGGTAGCTTCCTAGAGTGACTATAGCTCTAAGGAAGAGATGGAAAACAAGGAATCTAGCCTACATGGCCTTTGCAACCAAAGACGACAATGATTCAACCTCATAGATAAGCAGTGATCAAGGACATCCCTCCAGCTATCAGGTAACCTTTGACTCAGAATCTGAGAGGAGTGAGTATCCTGAATCGAAGTCAGAATTTTTGCATGCCCTGAAGAACCTTCAAGAAGAATGTAACAGACTTAGGAGTAAATACCGCCTGCTGATGACTGAAAATCACAACATGGCTAAGAAATTAAGTGAATTAAAAGAATAGTTGCAGTTCAGCATGAAAGTGAAAACAAGCTTAAGAAACAGATTTTTGAACTAATAGATGAAAATCATAAGTTAAAGCAACATTCACACAATAAACTCCAAATAACTCCTATAGACGCCACTAGCAGAACCAGAATTTGCATGCCACCTAAGAAAACTTTTGGATTGTCTGATAGGAAGAAAGAGCATCCAAAGGAGTACAGAAAGTATACATAAATATATGTATGTTCTTACTGCAAACGCAGAGGCCATCTAACAAAATTTTGTTATGATCTGCTGAAACAAAGAAAACCTGTTGCATACAAAACATTTTGGGTACCAAAATGTGCTAACCAATGACTGATTGCATAATCTGGGAGAAAAGAAAAACATTTGGTACCTGGACAGTGGGTGCTCCCACCACATGACAGGTAGAAAAGAACTATTTTCCTCGTTAAAATATAAAAGAGGAGGTAAGGTTGTGTTTGGAGATGACAGAGTTGGTAGAATCTTAGGAAATGGGACCATTGGTAAGGGTCCTCTTACTGTTATAAAAGATATTTTATTTGTTGAAGGACTGAAACATAATCTCCTATCTATTAGTCAGTTGTGTAGCTCTGAGAACAGAGTAGTTTTTGAAGCAAATTCTTGCCAAATCTCTAGGATTTGTGATGACAAATTATTGTTTAGTGGATTAAAGAAAAACAATATGTATGTGGTTAACTTAAATAACTTAGACACATTTAATGAAACATGTTTTCATGCTGCATCAAACGAACTGGAAATTCTTTGGCAAAGAAAATTGGGACACATATGCATGTCTAAATTATCTGAGCTGTCAAAACTGGAGTCTGCACGAGGCATTCCCATGTTAAAAGAAAAGCCTAATTTTTTCTGTGATGCCTGTGCAAGTGGTAAGTTAACAAAGAAAAGTTTCAAGTTGAAAAAGGATATAACCACCTCTCAGGTATATGAACTGATACATATGGATTTATTTGGACCAACAAATGTGGTAAGTCTCGGAGGTAAATCCTATGCTTTAGTTCTTGTTGATGATTTTTCTTGCTTTACCTGGGTGTATCTTTTGGCGTCAAAAGATGAAGCTTTTGCAATGTTTAAAACATTTGTTTCTAAAGTGTCAAATGAATCAAAAACTGGTATTAAGTCAATAAGAAGTGACAATGGGGGAGAATTTATCTCGGAACAGTTTAGTGCTTTATGTAATGACAAAGGTATAAATCATACTTTTTCTGCACCTAGAACACCACAACAGAATGGTGTTGTAGAAAGGAAAAATAGAACTATAATAGAGACTGCCAGAACTATGTTATTAGAATATGGAAGTCCTAAGTTCCTATAGGGAGAAGCTGTTATGACGGCATTCTATGTAATAAATCGGGTACTAATCAGGAAACATTTGGGAAAAACTCCATATGAGATTCTAAAACATAAGACTCCAAACTTAAGCTACTTTCATCCTTTTGGATGCAAATGCTATATATTGAATACGAGAGATCACTTATATAAGTTTGATGCCAAAGCTGAAAGAGCAATTTTTCTTGGATACTCTATAAAAGGACAAGCTTATAGAGTGTACAATGTAAGAACTAGGAGAGTAGAAGAATCAGTTTTTGTAAAATTTGATGAATCTGCCTGTTCTGAGAAAGTTGCTGCAGAAAATATAGAACTCTTGTTTCCTTTACCAAGTGAGGATGAGGTAAAGCCAGAGGATGAGGAGACAAGTGTCAAGCAGGACAGAGAGATCACAGAAGAACCACCCAGTCAAACAGAAGAAAAAATGGCGCCTGCCTACATACAGAAACGACATACCTGCATCACAAATCATTGGAAATCTAAATGAAGGAATACACACCCGAGGTAAGTACTACCCAGGTCAGTATGCATTTGTCTCACTTCTTGAACCAAAGAACTATAAAGAGGCTTTAACTGATGATGAGTGGCTGCATGCAATGCAAGAAGAACTTGTACAATTTGCAAGACTGCATGTTTGGGAATTAGTACCGAGACCTTTTAACAAGTTAATCATAGGAACAAAATGGGCTTTAGAAATAAAACAGACGAGCTAGGGGAAATAACAAAAAACAAGGCTAGATTAGTCGCCCAAGGATACTTACAAGAAGAAGGAATAGACTTTGAAGACTCATTTGCACCTGTTGCCAGGATTGAGTCTACCAGAATGATGTGTGCCTATGCATGCTATATGAAAATTCCCCTATATCAAATGGATGTTAAGAGTGCATTCTTAAATAGAGAGATTAATGAAGAATTCTATGTAAGCCAGCTTCCTGGCTTTGTAGATCATGAATTTCCTGATCACGTTTATAAGCTATCAAAGGCATTATATGGCTTAAAACAAGCTCCCAGAGCATGGTTTGAAAAATTATCTTCATTCCTAAAAACTGAAGGGTTTGCCCAAGGAAACGTGGACAAAACATTATTTATCAAAAGAAAAAACGAAGATACACTAGTAGTACAAATATATGTCGATGACATTATATTTGGTTCAACCAGTCCAACTATGTGCACAAGCTTCTGTGAACTAATGAAATCTAAGTTTGAAATGAGCATGATGGGAGAACTATCACATTTCTTGGGTCTGCAAATCAAACAGACAAATTCAGGAATGTTTATAAGCCAAACCAACTACATAAAATCTATGCTCAAGAAATTAACATGGAAACAGTGAACTCATGTCAAACACCAATGGCTACAAACTTAAAACTAGATAAAGATGTATCTGGTGTGCCTGTATGTGAGAAGAAGTATAGGGGAATGATAGGATCACTTCTGTACTTAACCGCAAGTAGGCCAGATATTCAATTCAGTGTTGGGGTATGTGCTAGATTTCAATCCAATCCTAAAGAAAGTCACTTAAAAGCAGTAAAGCGAATTTTTAGATATCTCAAAGGAACTATGGAGGTGGGACTATGGTATCCATTCTCTAATTCCTTTGAACTCACAGGATACAGTGATTCAGATTTTGGAGGGAGTTTAGTCGATAGGAAGAGCACTTCTGGGAGTATTCAATTTCTAGGACCTGCTCTTGTCTCTTGGTTTAGCAAAAAACAAGGAGCAGTTGCACTATCGACCGCTGAAGCGGAATATCTCGCAGCTGGAAGCTGTTGTGCACAGATTATGTGGATGAAACACAGTTATCAGAATATGGATTTAAACATCAAAGCATCCCTGTCTGGTGTGATAACACAAGTGCAATTTGTATGACAAAAAACCCAGTACAACACTCTAGAACTAAACACATACAAATAAAATACCACTTCATAAGAGACCTAGTTCTAGCAGGCCATGTATGCCTACAATTCATACCTACTGAACAACAATTAGCCGACCTATTCACAAAACCCCTATCTAGTGAACGTTTTACTCATCTCTGCACAGAGCTGGGGCTAAAATCTTTTAACCAAATCAAAGATCTAAAAAGATAAACACTTCATTGGGTGTGTTGCAATCTAGGTATTTTGTTTATCTTGATTTACTTAATGAAATCCTCTTTTCGGCTCATGCGTGTCTCTTTCATCTTTCTTTTTAATCATTACTCTTGATTAAGACAAAATAGACTCTTCGTATTCCTCCCTCTCCCGCTCCTTTTCAGTTCGTCTAGTCTATTTAAACCAGTTTCCTGTTCACAACACTTCACCCTCTTACCACAAACAAGCAAAAACCTTCAAACAAACCAAAATGAGTGATCAATTGCCACGACCCTTTCGTTTTGATGGGTTGGTCCACACTTACCCAGGCTATATGTTTCATGAGCCTGTGGTAATAAACCATCACCGCCACCTTCAGCACTTCAAAAATAGAAGGTTGCACCACATAATTCAACTCGGCCCCTATGAGTTCAACCTCTATAAGTACGATATCATGTCCCTTATAGAAGCTCTGGGGTGGGACTACCTTCTCCGCCAGCCACTCCATCCAGCCTGTCCCGGAGCAGTCAAGTATTTCTATTCGAACCTTCGTTGCCAAGGGGTTAGCACCAGAAGTTTTTCCACAGTTGTCTATGGTCATCTCTTGACCATTCCAGTAGGGGCTCTCAATGGGATTCTTGGGTTTCCATCTCAAGGAATCGACATAGCTCACCCATCAGAATTCTGGAAGCAAGATTTCATCCTACCCACTAAGTACTCCAACTTCTCCACTGAACCCACAGGAGGAAAAGACGTGCCAATTCCTATCAGCTGGTTGACTCCACGTTTAAGGATCTTCCATCACTTTATCACTCATGTTTTCTTCCCTCGAACTTATAATCTTGATGTGGTTCTGCCACTTGACCTGTGGATCATTGCGAGCGCCACTGCAGGGCGAAAGCTAGATTATTCCAGCCTGCTGTTTGCAAATCTCCTTCCAGCAGGAGACGAGCACTATCAAGGACTATTACCATTCGGGTCCATCATAACTCGACTGCTTATCAATCTAGGGATTGACCTGTCTGACTATCGAAGCATATCACACACCATGTATGTGGGTGCTCTCAATGTGCTAATGATCCTAGACCTTCCCACAGACATTGCTCCTCCACCTCCTCCTCTCCCATCATCTTCCATCCTAGGAGCTCGACCAAAAAATGCTGGAGCAAACAAAGGGAAGTCTGTTGCTGGAGAGTCCAGCAAAAATGCCAACCTAGTGTTCGCTGTCTCTGATGGAAATTCTTCCTCAGAAGACTCAGTTGCCTCTGCCCCAGAAGCCTCTACTTCTCCTGCCTCCTAATCTCCCAGCTGTTTCTAAGGGGGGAATCTTTCTCTAGCTTTAGATTTCCTTATGTTTGTTAAGTAGTAACTTTAGTTAAGTAGTGTCTTTTGCTTGCTTCAAGTTAGGTGTATGCATGGTCCCAGGGGGAATTGTTTGTCAAAGGAGTTGGCTCCTCTATTTTGTAATCCCCCTGCTAATTTCGAATTAATATGATAGTAGCTCCTTTTCTCTCGAGTGCTGCTGTGTTCTGTGTGTTATTTTTGCAGAAATCGCCAGACTTCTCGGACGAAGGGGGAAATTGAAGAAAGGAGGGTGCCGTTCCCATAAAGCTATCTAAACGGTGGCGTTTTGTACAGCTAAAACGCCACCATGATCACACGACGTCGTCTGGATAGCAACGGCACAAAAGCAAAGAATCGTCCTTCCAAGTCTTCATCGAAAGATGAAGATCATCGAGCTGCTCAAACCTAGCCACCCACCTACACATTTCCAAGGCTGTTCTTGGCGATTCTTCCTCAAGATATCACCGAATCCAGAAGGGCAATGATGAAATTGCCAGAGGAGCGTCTATGTTTCCACCAACGGTCATCCCTTCCATTTTAGTATAAATCATCATTCTCCCTCTTCAATTGTCGGGTGACCGAGCTTAGCAGAAGAAAACAGCAAAGAGCTTTTTGTCTTCCATAGGTCCGTGTTTTATCTCTTCAAGTTGCTTAATTCACAGTGTGATGTACTGGGTGAATTAAGCTTGGGAAGAGAGGTGTTCTTTTGAGTGTTTTCAAAGTGACAACATAGTTTGGCATGACTTAGGATTTCTGTGGAAACCATTCCACTTTGTGATTTTCTTTCTTAATTAATAAACTATCCTTTCTACATAGAGATTGAGAGCAAGAGTGATTGAGTGATTTTCTTCTCGCTCGGAGTCAACATCCACATCCTCATTTATATCCAGAACAACAAAATCAACAAGATACGTGAATGTGCCCACTTTAACAAGCAGATCCTCTATGATACCCATAGGATGCACAATAGAGCGATAAGCTAACTGAATGCTCATCCTAGCAGGTTTAAGTTCACCTAGGTCTAGCTTTTTAAACAGATTGTATGGCATGACATTTATGCTAGCGCCTAGGTCCGCCAAGGACTTCCCTACATGCATGCTACCAATATTAAGAGGGATAGTGAAACTCCCTGGGTCTTGGCGCTTTTCGGGCAGCTTGTTCTGCAAGATGGCAGAACATTCTTCGCTCAGCATCACTGTCGAAAGATCCCGAAGTTTCTTCTTGTTGCTGAGGAGATCCTTCATGAACTTGGTGTACTTGGGCATCTTCGACAGTGCCTCCATGAAAGGTATGCTGATGTTGAGCTGCTTCAACATTGCCATGAACTTGGCAAACTCAGTCTCCAGCTTATCTTTTTGTAGTCGAGTGGAGAAGGGAAGCTGGGGTACATGCTCTTTAACCACTGGTTGTGGCTTGGGAGCAGGGGCTTCCTTCTCCACCCTCACTCTACATCATCGGCTGGAAGTGCTGAAGCAGGCAGTGGCTCTTCCTCCCTAGCCTAGGAAGGTACCGCCGATGTGGACTTGCCACTCCTGGTGGTGATGGCATTCGGCTGCTGGTGTGGCTCCCGTGGATTGGGGATGGTAGTGGCAAGTAGAGATCCCGGGGCCCGGGTATTAATTTGGCGAGCCATGCTACCCATCTGGTTCTGTAAATCTTGAAAAACAGCACCTTGGTTCCTCTGGCCTGCCTCCAGTGAGGCTATGCTCTGGTCCATCCTCGTGAAAGTTGCCTGGGTGGTAGTCATGAATGCCGCTAGAATGTTTTTCAGCTCCGTCATCTGATTATCTGGAGCCGGAGCTGCTACTGGCTCGGCATACTAATGTTGAGGCTGCTGCTGAGGAACTGGCCCATGTCTAGCCTGGAAAGGCTGCCTCTGCTGAAAACCACCTGCTGGTTCTGGGAAACTAGGTGGCTTAGTGGTGTTGCTATTCCAAGTGAAGTTGGGATGCTGGTGCCACCCCTCATTGTATGTATTGTTGTAGGGGTCAAAGCGCCGAGCATTGGCGATGAAGTCCAACTGCTCTTGGGGAGTAGTTGACTCCCGCATAGCCTGGCAGTCTTCCACCAGATGATTTGAGCTCTCACACCACTGACATTGAGCTACTGGAGGTGTAGCCAAACCTCTGCCCGGAATAAGACTGTTGGGCTGCTTCAATGTCTGCACTAACTCGGCCACCTACTGCTCGAGCCCGGACCTGGCCTCCATGGCGTGCACACCACTGTCCCGGAAATTCCTGCCTCTAGTTCTCTGCCCCCATGAATGATCTATGGCAGCCAAGGTATTGATCATCTGGTTCAGTTCAGGTGGAGTCTTAGTAAGAATATCCCCTCCTGGGCATAGAGACTCAATCACCCTCTGGCTGTCCGGAGAGAGAGCACTGTAGAAGTTCCCCGCTGTGAATGCATCACTCAAGCCATGATTGGGACACAACCAAAAATATCCGATGTACCGCTCCCATGCATCACGAAGTGACTCGTCTGGCTCTTGGCGGAAGTGAGTGATCTCCCGCTGGATCTCTGTGGTCTTCGATGATGGAAAGTACCTGTGCACGAACTTGTTGGCCAGATCGTCCCAAGAAGTGATGGACAATGGGGGCTGGGTCTCCAACCACCTCTTAGCATTACCCGCCAGAGAATGGGGGAAGAGGTGAAGGCGGATTGCGTCATCAGGGACACCGTTTAGCTTGAACCCGTTCGTCAGCTGCAGAAAACGGGAAAGATGCACCCTTGCCTCCTCATCCTTCAAGCCATGGAACTGGATAGAGGATGTAATGAGTTGAATCCAGCATGGCTTGATCTCGAAGTTGTTCGCTGGAATAGGCGGGTAGAGGATGACAGGGCGGATGTCAGCAATCCGTGGAGTGTGGTAGTACTCCAAGGTGGGACTCGAATGCGGTGGATGATGATGACCCCCATCTGCCTGGGGTATGGGGTTGTTCCCCAAGATCTGATTCACTGGGGGAACCTGGTGAGGATTCCCCTGGTGTGGATTGTGATCTCCTTCCATCTTGTACTCGTCCTCGGACTCGCTGCTCAAATGGCTGTATGCGCTCCTCCGTAGCCAGTCTAGCTCGTTGTTGTCTCCTAAGTTGGTGACAGGTGCGTTCAAGCTCCAGATCCAATGACAGTAAACCTCCTGACTGGATACGGGTCATGCACTACCTGCACACAGTCAAGCAGCAAACCCGTGAAGGCACAAGTGGGACAAAGTAAACAATGCAAAAAGAAAAGCTAAATTAACAGAATTCACGTGTCTTCAACAACCTAGCCGTCCCCGGCAACGGCGCCAAAAACTTGACTCACTCCTACTGTCATTCTAGAAAATGTCCAAGTGTAACCACTTCCTAAAGCGTAGTATAGCGGGTTTGGGTTTTAATGTCAACCGGGGTCCTAGATGTGATGACTACTCAGCGAATTCTTATTATTTAGCGGTGAAACTTTAGTGCAGGTTCAAACAAGCAAACCAAGCAAAACAAGCAAAGCAATTAAACGGTTGTTTTCATGTCGAGAGAGGTCACCCAGATATGGTTCCCCCTAGACCGCAGTAAAGCCGGATTGCAATTTACCAAGTTCAGTTTCTATGATAGTTATACTGCGGGAGGTTCTTAAACAGTCTGAAGTCTCGACTAAACAGTCTGAACTCTCAAACTGAGTCCCCAGCGGGCGACTAACCTCCACCGGAGTAAACAGATTGAGGCCCTAACGAACCAAACCTCCACTACCGAAGTAAATTCGGTACAGAATAGTGAATTGGCTCCTCGACTAAAGTCGCCAATTCACTACCTTCAATTAAGGGTGCTCTATTAACCTAGGCAGATATTCTTTTTCTAGGCTAAAGCAGAAATAACAGGAATTTGATCAGTATTCAAGTCATTCAATCATTCAAGCCTCAATTTAATATAATCAAATCATAAAATCTGTACTTGGGTTCATACAATCAGACCTAACATACAAATCTAGGGTTCTCCATACCCAGATGAATAAGAAAACTACTCCATAGATAGAGATGGAAAATCTAGCTCAAATGCGGAAACCATACTGTGAAGGATGATAATCTGCTTCTGGCGCTCAATCGGATCTTCTCCAAGCTCAAGTCGGGCTCCAATGGTGATGAAGATCATGCTAGGGCACTTGGGAACTCTGGTTCGTCACTTTCTCTCTCTAGGAATCTCTCTATCTCTCTAAAACTCGGAACTCCTTTTCCTTTGGCTCAAATCTTCCTAAAAGGCCAACCCTGGGCAAAACCGTGTTTTGCTTTTCCATCAGTTCAGCTCTTGGCAATAAAAACACTGGCGTGCCTGTTTGTGTACACGGTCGTGTTTTGGTTTAGGCCAGCCCGTGCTTTGGCCCCAGCTCGACCGAATGACTTCCAAATGCCCTGAAACTCATGCTTAGCCTTTCCTTCGACGTCTAGGACCTGAAATATGACAAAGTAGCACAACCCGATGTAAAACGGGCAAAAAATACACGACTACTCACCGCAAACAGATAAGAACTAAGGGTGCAAACATGTGCAAATACATCGCTATCAGCCGCTTTGCTTTGCGCGAATGATAGGGCGCTTTGTTCATACTTGCACACTTGTGAGTACTTTGTTCACGCTTGCACACTTCCCCAACATCATATTTCATATATAATTAATTCGATTATGCAAAAGTATGGGCGCAAAAGAAGGGCACTTTACATGGAGCGGGCGCGAGTGGACATTTTACAAAATAAAGGGCGCAACAAAAAAGGGCGCTTTGATTCTACGGCGCATTAGGGCGCTTTTGGAGAAAAAAAACCTACTAACCACTGGAGGCCTCGACGCGGACAACTTCCCTAATGTTTCTATTCAAGATAGGGCGCCTGTTCCACTGCCCCGGGCATGGTATCCATTTCCTTTTCCCCCTCATCACCCGCCATGCTTGACTCCCCGGCCTCATACCTTCGCAAATTTTGTGTGTTCCATGTCCTCTTCACTTTCTTAACCGACATGTGCTCCAGCTTGAATGTACTTGGGTCAACGACCTCCTGAACGCGATATGATCCTTTCCATTTTGGGGCCAACTTTCCCTCGGTGACTTTTGGGCGAAAATCGCGCTTTAACACCAGGCTTCCCCTCACAATGTTGTGTGCCCGCATTTTGTTGTTGTAATACCCCGCCACCTTCCCTTTCATTGCCTCCAAACGTAGGGCCGCCGCCTCTCGGCGCTCATCTAACAGGTCTAACTCATCAATTTGCTCCCGAGCATTCATTGACTCGTCTCGGTGGGTCATTCTGAAGGTCGGAACCCGCATTTCCACCGGCAGGACAGCTTCACTTCCGTAAGTCAATGCAAAGGGTGTTTCACCCGATACCACCTTGAAGTTAGTCCTATGCGCCCATAAGACACTTGGTAGCTCCTCAACCCACCTGCCTTTTGCCTCCTCCAACCTCGTGTGCAAACCGTGCAATATACTCTTGTTGGCTGCCTCAACTTGCCCGTTGGACAGAGGGTAGGCTACGGACGAAAACCGCAAGATCACTCCATTTTCATCACAAAATTCGATGAATTTTTTGCAATCAAACTTCTTTCCATGGTCGGTGATGATGGATTCCGGGAGTCCAAATCGTGCAAAGATGTTTTTCCTTCTGAACTTCCGCACTTGCGCCTCCGTGATTGACGCCAATGGTTCTGCTTCAATCCACTTGGTGAAGTAATCCACCGCGACAATTAAGTACTTGAACTGCCCAGGCGCTTTCGGGAATGGCCGCTATAGTCTGGGCGCTATAGGGTGGCCGCTGACTCACTCCTACTGTCACTCTAGAAAATGGCCAAGTGTAACCACTTCCTAAAGCATAGTATAACGGGTTTGGGTTTTAATGTCAACCCGGGTCCTAGATGTGATGACTACTCAGCGAATTCTTATTATTTAACCGTGAAACTTTAGTGCAGGTTCAAACAAGCAAAACAAGCAAAGCAATTAAACGGTTGTTTTCAAGTCGAGAGAGGTCACCCGGATATGGTTCCCCCAAAAGGTCCATACCCCATTAGGCGAAAGGCCAGGCGCCCACATTTTCTTGTATGGGTGCCGCCGCAACATGTTTTCGGGCATCCGCCCGTATTGTTGGCCAATAATATCTCTGGAGGAGCAAGATCTTCTCAAGACTTCGGGCGCCGGCATGCATACCACAAGTCCCTTGGTGCACCTCGTTGATTGCTTATAATCCCTCGGTGTAGGTGAGGCATCTCAGATAGGCGCTCGAGTGTGACCTTTTGTATAACACTCCATCCACTATGGTGTGCCGAGCTGCCTTCCGCTGCAGGCGCCAGGCTTCCTTTGGGTCCTCCGAAACTACTCCTTGCGTGAGAAAGAGCCAAATTGGTGTCATCCATTCTTCCCCAACCCCTAATGATTTGTACGCCATCATCGCGTCCTCGTGTCGCACCTCCTTTGTCACGATCACCGTTCGATTCTCCTCAAAATCCAAAGCCGTGACCAACTTAGATAAGGAGTCTGCATGGGCGTTCTCTTCCTTTGGGACATGTGTGAATGTGACTTCACGAAACCGGGCGCATTTCTTGCGAACAGAGTGCACATAGGCGCCTAGCGATTCCTCCTTTACTTCATAAATTTTGTTCAATTGGTTGACCACTAGCGCTGAATCAGATTTGATGTTCACCTTCTAGGTGCCTAACTCCCTCGCAATGTGGAACCCCACCAGGACGGCTTCATATTCTGCCGCGTTATTTGTTTTGAGGGCCGAAAAGTGCAACGCTACTTCATGTAGGGCGCCCAAGGGACTCACAAGGACAACTCCTGCCCCCGCGCCTGCTCGACTTGCTGCTCCGTCTACATGCACTTGCCAACATTCTTCGACTCCCGTTCCTCCATTCGCAATACCTTTCGCCATGAAATCTGCCAAGACCTACGCTTTGATAGCAGGACGGGGCGCGTAGCTTACTCCAAATTCGCTTAGTTGGACAACCCATTTCACCAGGCACCCAGACACGTCCATGGATCCAAGGACAGTTGTGAGAGGAAGGTTCGTGATCACCACAACGCTATGAGCCTGGAAATAGGGTCTGAGTTTGTTTGCCACCATCACCACCGCCAGCGCTGCCTTTTCTATAGGCGCATATCGTGTCTCGTGGCCTACCATGGTGCGGCTGAAATAATATACTGGCCTTTCTTCATTCGTCTGCGAGTCCCTGGATATGAGAATCGCGCTCACGGCGATGCGAGACACGACTATATACAAGTACAACACTTCTTTTGCCTTGGGCGCTGTCATTACCGTAGGTGCCGTGAGCAACTTCTTCAAGTCTTCGAAGGCTTTGTTACACTCTTCTGTCCATCTAAACTTGGAAGTTTTTTTTTAAGACCTTGAAAAAGGGGGCACCTTGGTCCGAAGACCTGGGGATGAAGCGCCCAAGTGCTGTCAATCTTCCCGTTAACCCCTGCACCTATTTCGGCATCCGAGGGGGCGCCAAGCTCATTATCGCCTCGACTTGTTTGGGGTTAGCCTCAATCCCCCTCCTTATTATTATGAATCCCAAGAACATCCACGCTTCTGCTAAAAAAGCGCACTTCTTGGGATTAAGCCTCAACTTGAAAAGGCGCATGGTCTCGAAAGTTTCTCGCAGGTCCATGATGTGGTCCTAGCGCCTCTTACTCTTTATAATCAAATCGTCCACATACGCCTCCACGTTCCTCCCTAGTTGCTTGCGAAAGACTTGATTTACCATTCGCTGATAAGTGGCTCCTGCATTCTTCAAACCAAATGCCATCACTCTGTAATAGAAGTTACCATAGGGTGTCATAAAAGCCATCTTTGCCCTATCTTCCTCCACCATGGGGATTTGATGGTAACCCGAGAACATGTCGAGGAAGCTAAGCGCCTCATGATAAGCTGTCGCGTCTACAAGCAAATCGATGTGTGGCATAGGGTAAGCATCTGTGGGGCATGCTCGGTTAAGGTTGGTAAAATCCATGCACATCCTCCAATCTCCTGACGGCTTTGGGACAAACACGACTTTCGAAAGCCATGTGATGTACCTTGCTTCCTCCACAAACCCCGCCTCGAGTAGCCTGTCAACTTCACGACGAAGTGCCTCTTCTTTTTCAGGGGTCAAATTCCACCGCTTTTGTTGGACTGGCCTTTTGCCTTCCTCCACGGTTAGCCTATGCGCTGTCATATCTAGAGACACGCCGGGCATGTATTGCGCGCTCCATGCGAATAACTCTCCAAACTCACGCAACAATTATATCAAGGGCGCTCTCATGTCCTCAGGGGCCTGCTCAGATATTGTCACTTGCCGATCTGGGCGCATCTCATCAATCGCTATAACCAACTCCCCATCCACAGATTCGGCTCTGGGAGCCTCCTCGGGACGAATATCGATGGTGTTCAGCCTGTGCTTTTGGATGTGACACCCCCGTTCCACCGCTCGTGCATAGCGTGGAGCATTCCTTCCTCGCGAGATGCCTATGCCTTGTGGCGCCACGAACTTCAATGTTTGGTGACAAGTGGAAGCCACTCCATTAAATTGTGCCAAGAGGGGTCGGCCAAGTATCACATTGTATGGTGAAGGGAAATCCACAATTCCAAACTCTACCGCATACGTCACACAATGCGCCCCATCACCTAGAGTCACAGGAAGTCGCACCCGCCCGATGACTTGTGCGGGCACCCCCGAGAACCCTATTAGCATAGAGCTCGAGGGACTTACCAATTCTGGCGCCAACTGTATGCGTTCGAACGTACTCTTGAACATGACATCCATTGAACTACCAGTGTCCACCAGGATTCTCTTCACCTTGCATCCCGCTATCACCCCTTGTATCTCCAATGCCTCTTCTGACGGGACTTGGCATGCCTCATCCGGTTCTTGGTTGAAGTGTATTTGCACCGCCTCCTTTGCTTCCACCGATGCGGCTCTTAGGCGCCTCGTTCTCTCCAACTTATCCCTCAGGTCAAGGGTGCCGGTAATTGATTCCACCGTGAGCCTCACGCGGTTGGGGTCGCCATCTTGGTCCACTTCAAAGGGAGGTGGGGGTATCTCGAGCGCCTGCTGCATCTCCGTCACCTCTGTAGCTTCTTGAACCTTGTGCGCAACAGGCGTCCCAGATGCCTTCTGTGCTATGGGTATGACAGGCGCCTGCCTTACGACTCTTGCCGCATAGGTGCGATGGGTTTTATCCTCCCTCTCCTAATGAAATCGTTGAGCATCCCTTTGTCTGTCAAGGTTTGAAGTTCGGCCTTCAGTTGATAGCAATCGGCTGTGAAATGCCCTTTGTACCGATGGAAATCACAATACCGGTCAAGATTTTTCTCGTTTGGCTGCCCGCGCATAGGCCCTGGCCATCGTATGTGATACCCCCTCTCTTTTACATATTGCTAAACATTCTTCAGCGTATCATTGTATTCCGTGAAGTTTCCCACTGCTCTTAGTGATGGACGCTGCATGTCTGGCCTCCTTTGTGGCACGCCGCTTCCCATCATAGGCCTCGGCGCCTGCCTTCCTTCCACCTCTTTGTCTTTAAGGCGCCTCTTCTCGGCTCTTTGCGCAACCAACGTTTCTTCTAGAATGATCACTTTTTGCACCCTCCGATCCATATCTTCAGTGGACACCACATCCCGCTTCGAGAGGATTCGACACAACTCTTCACTGGTCGTGCATGCGTCTAAGCAAACTCCCAGCACCACTAGCTGCACATCCTTGACCGCCATGGCGACCAAAATCCACCGGTCTTAGAACTCCCTAAGCGCTTCTCCTTCCCTCTGTTCGACTTTGAACAAGGCGCCTATGGTCAAAGTTCGACGCTTTCGGCTCACGAACTTGGACAAGAACATCTCAGCAAATTGTTCGAAGCACTCGATGCGCCCTTCCTCTATTTGGTGGTACCAGTCCAAGACCACCCCCGCGAACGTGGATGGGAACACCTTACACAATGTAGCGTTTGAGCTGTTGTACAGCTGCATCTTCGTGAAATAGCTATTCAAATGGTCCTCTGGATCTGCCACCCCATCGTAACTAGACAATGGGGGGATCGTTGTTCCCGCCGGCTCCACTAAGATACTTCGTGCAAGCGGCAGTCTGAGGCCAAAGCGCCTAGCTAGACGCCTAGGTGCCCATGCGTTGGGCAATTCAAGGCCGTTCATTGGAAGCTCGGTCGACGACCTCCAGGCACGCGGGAGCCCAGGAAATTGTGCGCCCTGCTCATTGTAATGCGGAAATTCGTACTGCATGGACTCCGAGTCTTTGCCCGTTCTCTCCCGCTTTCTCATCCCCGGACTATAAGCCATCACGTCTTCACTTCTTCTCCCTTCTAACTCCCTCCTGAGCGCTGCAATGGCCCTATCTTGATCGGCAATGATTCAGAACAACTCCCTTTTTGACAAGGACTCATCTTCCCCCGTCAATAGGCGCCCGTGGCTAGCCTCTCCTTCCACGTCCATAGGCATCTCTTGACTCGACTGATGCTCACCCTCTCCCGAGTTAGAATTCTCATATCTAGGGTCATCCTCCCCTCCATTCCCCTCATTTATGTTCTCCATGCGCCTGGAATCTTCCCCTATCTGGCTCGCCAATTGTTGAAGCCACTTTACTCCGAACCCACCTTCTGGTCTCTAGCAGGAGCGTTCACCTCGTCAGGCGCACAGACCCTGCATAGGCAAACGCCTAGTGGGCTTTGGACTACCCGTTAGCACTCCGACGCCCAAGTTAGAGTAGGTTTTAGAGAGATAAGTAATCCGAGAGTTTTTAGTAAGAGAAGCCCACTTTCTTAAATGCTACATAACGGGTACTATTTATACTCGTCGAGGTCCCGACCAGGCTCCTAGAATTCAGCTCCACGTCAGCATGTTATTAAATGCTTGGTACGGCCCAACAATCGGGCATCTACACGTGGCAGCTCCTGGACCCCGGCGCCCAGGCGCCTGGCAGGACCACACTACCAGGTGGCACGCTCTCAGCCTCCTGGTCCCGAAGCTACGCGGTCCCCGCATCCACTTTTGTCGTTACGCGCCCGCTCCTCCTTGTATGGGCCCAACTCCTGCTTTGTTCCTCACTCATGCTCTCAATTGGGCTTGGGTCCAACCAAGCCTCCTAGGCTTGTATGGGCCCAACTCCTGGTTTGTTCCTCACTCATGCTCTTAGATGGACTTGGGTCCAACCAAGCCTCCTGGGTCATGTCCCCCATTGGTTCACTCATGCTCACCCAACATATATATATATATGGTGGCGTATTCGGTGCACTCATTTTTTTTGGGTGCACCCGCCTCATAATTGTCATTCTGAGCATGCGATTCATGTCAAAACGTTATCAATTGTTGCTTATGATATTATGAACAAGAAGCACATGAATTTGAAAAAAAAAACATTCAAAATTTACGTTAATTCGAAAGATTTAGGACTTAGGGATTTAGGGTTAGGGTTTAGGTTTACAATTTGGGATTTTGGGTTGGGATTCAAAATTGAAGATTAAGGGGTTAGGGTAATATACTGATTTGTTATAATTCTATGTCATATCATCATATTAGATTGAGAGTACTAATTAAAATTCAAAATTTAATGTATTATAGACACTTTTAGAGTTAGATACACTGAGTGCACCCAAAAAAGTGTGCACGCCGAAGTAGCCACCTATAAATATTCTATCATGATTGATCCAACTACAAGAATTATGAAATACTCATTCTTACGGATTCAGTGGGGATTGATCCCCCTTGTTAGTAAGTAATTTGTACATTATTTTTGTGTGCAATAAGGATGAATTACTTGACTAGTACTTGCCGTTGCCGAGGGTGTTTTTGCAACCGGGTCGATGTACAAGCTTGCTGCAGACCAATCAAATTGGATTTATACCTTCTGCGCTTCATGTTTCAAGGCTACCCCCAAATCATCTAAAACGCCTCATGATTTTTACCACAACTTTGGTTAATTTCACGTAATTTGCAACAACGTTTCATGAACTTTTATCGAGTAAATTTCTAAAGACACAATATGCTATTTATGCTTTAAATGTTCGTCATGACCAATTCTGTTTGCGGGCATGTATGCAAGTGTACATGGTCGCGGGGCCGTGGTTGGGCCGGCACGGGCACGGTTCGGGCCTATTTATTTCGTGCTGTGCTTGGCATGGCTCGTCAGTTTTCGTGTCGTGTTATGCAAGTCCATTTGTTAACTTTGTTAGGCCCGGCCCAGGTCCGGGCACGGTTCGAATTGTGTCGTGCCTATTCGTGATCGTGTCATACTCGTATTCGTGTTTAATGAAAATGACGAAAACGAAAGAGAGAATGAAAAAGAAGGTGAAAATTGGACAGGGAAGATAGTATTAACCTATAATGTTTGAGAAAAGTAATAAATAAGGGGAAAAGAAAATTGGAAGTATAGCGAGTGTGATTTGACTTTGTTTAATTCTTTGTCCATTTTTACTTATGTTAGTAATTACGTATATATCTTTATGACACTTCTAACAACAACAAATAATTATTTTTCTACTTGTGTTTAGGCCTAATATTTGAACCTATATTTTTTTATATTTATTTTCTATCAAATAAATATTATATTCGTGTCATGTCCGTTCTTATACTCAATAAAGTCTCGAAAATATTAGGCTCGACACGGCCCTCTTATATACCGTGATGTGCTCGTGCCTGTGCCCATGAAGTTTATGCCCGACATTGACCCATAAATTATTCGTGCTCGTGCCGGAATGACCCATTTATTTTGTGCCCGTGCTCGTGCTGTGCTCTAACAGTGCCATGCTAGTGAGCGGCACAGCCCGGTGCCCACGTACATATGCAACACAGCTGGTGTGACTTGTGAGGTTGGCATAGAGTGAGTTAACAAACATGATCAAGACTTGCAGATGAAATATTTGGAAAAAGAAACAGTGTATTCATTTACTACAAAGCTTAATCGAATGATTAATTTGTCACCATTTACATATAGCTACCGGCTACCAATTAACGTGATTGGGGAGTTTCCTATAAAAATTTCCAATGGATATTAAAAAAGAGCCAGGTAAAAAGCTTGAATAACCTGCTGCTCAATCATTGATTCTTCGCGGCCCACAATCATGAGTAATGTCCAAGACCAGACGACGCTACCTTTTTCTCAGCCCATCCCGGCCCGGCCCGGCCCATCCCTCTTCATTGTACCCTTAGTTATGACCTGGGAACTATGAAGCAAGCATGAAGCAGCAAGCTTTCTATCTCGGCCGGCCATTCCCACTTCCGACTTTGGAGCCAGTTCCCCTTGCCGCCGTCCCAAATGCTTCAGCTGGCACTGGTTAGTGGTAAACAACGCGAGGAGCTCCTCTAGAATCACCGCCGCCGCCACATTCCAAGCATTCTTCGCGGTCTGAGATCTGCGGAAAAGTGTGCGGCTGGATAGCTACTGGCTGCGCGATGCGCTAATTCACACCCATTGGATTTTAAGCGGCGGCTGTTTCTACTTTCTACTGCTTCCTTCTATTCCGCTATCTGTTTTCACTACTATATACTGGAATTCCTGATGCTAGATGTCTGATTTTTGTCGATTGGAGGAGTTGGGAAGTGAGTAAGATGCTTACTTCTGCCGCGTCACTTATTGATCATACAACAAGTCGCATTAAATTCGATTCTTCACCTTTTATTTGATTGATTTTTGCCCTTTGTGGGTTCATTTGACAATGTGAGAATCACTGCATCAGAGCCTCACGGCGTGGATGTTGTCGTCTGAGGCTTAAACACAGTGAAATAGAAATAATTTTGGGGGGTGGAATCACCATGAAACCGGGGTGATCTGTAGGTTGGTCAATCCGGAGGAAAGATCATCCACACACCCATACAAATGGCTGAATGCCTACTACTAATTAGGTTGGGATGCTGTTCTTCATTTCCTTTTATGATGGGGTGGACTATGATACTGGAACTGGATACATACATACATCCAATGCTATCGGGGTCTATGAGTACTTGGTAATAGGAGAGGGTTGAGTCAGGCTTCGAACTGGTTTCGCCCATGTTCACAAATGATTTCTGAAGTTTTTCCTTTGCTCAAGTTAGGGGGTGTTTGTTTTCATCCTACAACAGGAGAAGCCATTGAGAAAGATTTAGCCTTTTGCTCAATAGGAGGTGTGCACACATCCTTTCAAATCTGGTTGGCACTTTGTAGTATTATGTTGAACACTTGAACATATTACTTTTGATGAGCTTATAGATAACCAGAGAGTGAGTAGCTCTAGGAATATAATGACTCCATTTGCTTTTTGGCCATTGAGAACTCTACTTTTTTCTACTGATAAGGTGATCCTCCTCCTGCAAAAAGAGGGGGCGGTATGATTTTTATCTGCTGCAGTTATGAGGTCCAATGGTAGATACAAGATTGGAATTTAAAGTGTGGAGAAGGAGTACGACAGCAGTTGCAAGGGCCAACGGTCCTAAACTCTATACCCAAAAGCTCGAAGCTCTGAGCTGAATCCGAGGAGTTGACGCAGAATCTGATGGTTAGGAAGAAAAAAAAAAAGGAGCTAAAGGTAAGACCTTTCAACCTATTTTCATGTAAGATGACATTTGTTGGGTGAAGATGCTATGTTTTGGTTATATGTCTGAACGACTAGTTGTACAATGAAGAAGAGTTTTGGGAGAAACACCGAATTTTTCTATTCACCTCAATTGATTTGCCTGCTTATTTCGTGGTATGCATTTGACACCGTAAACACCTCTTTATGGCTTCTTTCAAACAGACACGCCTTTGAGCTTGAAAAATGCATTTTTTCCCATCATGGGGTGGTTTTGACTTTTGATTTTTCATACCCTTTCACTGTACAGTGCTTGTCCGTGCCCAACACGCATGGAAACTCATTGCGCTTGTTCTACCAGAAAGGACTCGGAAAGTAATCTTCTTGAAAATATATCCTGTTTCAACTGACATATTCAACTTCAGGAAATGCGTTGGGCTAGTCGGTGATGTAAGCTTAAATTCAAGGTGCAAGCCACATATTCTCCCCTCATTTTATCACAAATGTAATTGAAAGGGAGCTAGATACTATCACGAGTTGGATCGTATCAAGTAAAGTATGATGTGGGAAACTACGTATGCAATTGGTTTTATAATTGCATTGAGGTAGATGCTCTAATCACGGACATTTATCTCATCCTATCAAATGTGTAGCCATTGAATCATTTCAGGGTTCGTTTTGTCTATTATAACAGGATGTCCACCTTTGAGAATTATCACTAACTTAATTGTCACGGGTGATCGCTTGGAGAAGTAAATGACTAGTGACGAAGTGAATTATGCTCTCATAGGTAGAGTTCGAACCTCTATTCTTCATAATTAAAAAAACACAGAATGAGTAACCATAATTTCATATCGATTATCGAAATTTTTAAGGATTACTAAATTATACCGTACTGGCAAAGTCAAATCGTAAAAATTGTTTATTGCCATCCAAGCTAGTATAATACACAAATATTATGAAAATATTATTCTAGTTGGTTTTGGGCAGTTTAATTGACTCTTTCCAGCGACCCCATCTGGTGGTTTTGGAGGTATAATGTTGGTTGGCTATTTTATACCATTCAAATACCTTATTTCTATTTTGCTCTGTTAGGACATTCGGTACTATTTTATATACTCGTACATTGCCCAAGTTAACGGAATAATAACTGATTGGGGTTTAAAGGTTAAATGCAGACATTGGAATGGAAGTTGAATGCTTTAAATGAAAGCCGGCAGACTATATATATATAGTGGTTACTTCGGTGCACTCACTTTTTCGGTTGCATTTAGTGCACTCAATTCTAAAAGTGTCAATAATACATCAAATTTTGAACTTTAATTAGTACTTCCAATCTAATATGATGATATGACATAGAATCATAACAAATCAATCTATTACCCTAACTCCTTAACCTTCAATTTTGAATCCCGACCCAAAATCCCAAATTGTAATCCTAAATAGGGGTGGGCATTCAGTCGGTTCGGTTTCGACCGAACCGAAATTATGAATTCCGGGTCCCCGAATTCTCCTAAATCTCAAACCGAATTCGAACCGAATTATAATTCGGTTCGGTCGGTTTAAACCGAATTATAGTTAGGTTTGGTTTTTCACACAAAACCGAATTTGTGAAGCTACTTGTATTTTCTCACTTTTAAATTATTTTCACCCCTAATATAAACAATAAATATCAATTATATGCATCATCAATGATAAAACCAAACTTTTCAACACATAAGTCATAAAACATTTCAAATATTTAAGTCTAAAAACAACTACAAACATAAAAATCCACCATTTGGAGCTTGCAATTATAGTATTTCGGTTTTTCGGTCGGAAATTCGAAAATTCGGTTCGGTTGAAAGAACCCTGATTTCCGAACTATCCATATTTTCCTTACGAATTCTGAACCGAATAACATTAATTCGGTTTTGATTCGGTTTAATTCGGTTTCGATTCAGTTCGGTTCGGGTTTACCGAACCTTTTGCCCACCCCTAATCCTAAACCCTAACCCTAAATCCCTAAATCCTAAGTCCTTCGAATTAAAGTAAATTTTGAATGAATTTTTTTTCAAATTCATGTGCTTCTTGTTCGTAATATCATAAGCAACAATTGATACCGTTTTGACATGAATCGCATGCTCAGAATGGCAATTATGAGGCGGGTGCACTGAGACTGATTGCACCCGAAAAAGTGGGTGCACAGAATACACCACCATATATATATTGTCATTAGATACCTTCATTAGAGAGAGTGAACAAAGATCAACAGTGTACGAGTACAAATAACCTACTGGCAGGACCAAGGTTGTCAACCCGCGGGTTGGCCCGGACCCAGCCTTAAAAACGGGTTAAAATAGCCCATTTGAGAGTTAGTTCGGAAATGGTCAAACCCGGGAAAGCCAGGTCAGACTCGGGAAAACCCGGGCGGTTGGCCCGTCCGAGCAGGTCAGTGGGCTGCTCGTTCTAAAGTGTCGTTGAATTTTTACTATGTTGAATTTAAGTCGATGTTATTTAAGTGTGTTGTTGTTTAAGTACGATTGATTTTTATGTTGGATTCAAAAATAAGTACAATATAATGACTTTTTCATATTTTTAGAGTAAACCGGATTAAAACGAGTGACCCATTAACCCTTGACTCACTATCTCAACCGGGTCCGGATCGACCCGCGGGTTGAGAGCCTTGCACAAATTCAGAACCTTGCGAACAAACATTCAAAGGAGCAATGGCCCATGACCAAGAGGCCCAAACCTCAAACTGTGGGATCCAATGAACGGGCCACACGAATCACTTAATAGCAATTGACCCTTCCAACGCTTACCACCAGACCAGTCCAGCCCAGCGAATTCTACGCTCCCAGTCGCCTCGACTTGTCCATTCTAAGTTCTAACCCCAACCGATTAGCTTCTGAATTCTCTTTTTTCCACGCAAACCTCTGTCTACGTCATAGAGACACCTGAGGCCTGAGGGTAGGTAACTTCTCTGCAATCTCCCACAGAAAATTCTGCCTCTGACTCTTTCACTCCCCCAACAATGTTGCCGACGATCTCAGTCCCTCCCTATATATATTTCTAAATCCAGCCCCTCCCCTCCATCAAACATTCCATTTCCTATATCCAATTCCTCCGCTTCCTGCATTATCAATCAATTGCAAGCTAACTTCAGCGACCTCTGTTTCCCGCTATGGACGCCACAACGTTGGCGATTCGAAGACAAACCACCGCCCAATTGCCGCCCTCCCCACTCCAGCCCAGGACAAGAATCAGGGCATGGAAATTGAACCTCCGCGCCACCTGGCGCTCCCTCAAAACCACATTCTCCCGCAACCTTCTCAAACGGCTCCACCACAACCGCACAACATCATCATCATCCGCCAAAAAACAGAGTCGAATCACCCCCGCCAAAAGACAGAGCAACGCCGGTGGCGGAGGCGACATCCGCCCCCACAAACCACTCGCCCATCTCCTCCAAGCTCCCTACACGGCCTCCGATTTCATCGACTGGGGCGACCGCATGACCCCCACGTTCTCCCCCAAGCGCGACATCTCCGCGCGGTGGCGCGACCTCCACGGCGCCGGCGACTGGGCCGGCCTCCTCGACCCAATCGACCCGGCCCTCCGCGCCGAGATCATCAAGTACGGCGAATTCGCCTCCGCCACCTACGACGCCTTCGACTTCGACCCGCTCTCCGAGTTCTGCGGTAGCTGCAGGTACAACCGCCACAAGATGCTCCACGAGCTCGGCCTCGCCGCCAAGCACGGCTACACCACCGCCACCCGCTACATCTACGCAATGTCCCACGTCGACGTCCCCAATTGGCTCGCCCGCACCTCCACAACCTGGAGCAGAGACTCCAACTGGATGGGGTACGTCGCCGTCAGCGACGACGCGGAATCGAAGCGAATCGGCCGGCGCGACATCGTAGTGGTCTGGCGGGGGACGGTGGCGCCGTCCGAGTGGTTCAGCGACCTCAAGGCCAGGCTGGTCCGGGTCAACGACGCCGTCAGAGTCGTCAAGGTACAAGAAGGGTTCCTCTCTGTTTACAAATCGAAAGCAGAGCACACTCGGTACAACAAATCCAGCGCTTCAGAACAGGTAATTGAAGAGCTAATCAAGCTGGTGAGAACTTACAGAGAAAAGGGTGAGGAAGAAATCAGCATCACGATAACAGGACACAGCTTGGGAGGCGCGTTGTCTCTGTTAACAGCTTACGAAGCTGCGTGTTTAATTCCTGACGTTTACATCAGCGCAATCACATTCGGCGCGCCCAGAGTTGGGAATTTGGCATTCAGGGAGAAGATGAAGGAATTGGGGGTGAAAGTTCTGAGAATCGAAGTGGAAGAAGATATCGTACCGAATCTGCCTGGAATTGTGATGAACACGGTGCTGAGGAAGCTGTCGATTACGAGGAGGTGGAATTGGATTTACAGGCACGTCGGGAGGAAGTTGGAGCTGCACGTTTCGAGCTCGCCGTACTTGAAGAAGGAGTTTGAGATAGCTGGGAGCCATAACTTGGAGGTGTATCTTCACCTGGTGGATGGATATGTGAGTAAAGGGGCCAAGTTTAGGTGGAATGCGAGGAGGGATTTGGCGCTGGTGAATAAGAGTACTGATATGTTGATACCGGAGCTCAAGATTCCTGAGTTTTGGTATCATTTGCCTTATAAGGGATTGGTGCTGAACAAGTATGGAAGATGGGTGAAGCCAGGGAGAAAGCTTGAAGACATTCCTTCTCCATTTTCCTCTGAGTTATCGAGTCACGAGCCTATACTCGAACTCGTGGAATCTTAATGGAGACATAACATAAAGGATTTTTCTCAAATGTTGTGGGGAGAGTTAATTGTAGTCTAGATCACAAAATAAGGGGTAGTTTGTTTAGTGTATTTTGCAAATGTAGTATTTGCTAAGGATTTTTTTTTTATAAAAGATAATCATATATTTGTTAAGGGTAGATATTTGACAATTTAAACATTTTTAAATTAGGTTGTTTGCTGAAAAAAAAATTTAGATGAGTTCGTTTGTATAATGTATTGTTTTGCCATTATATGTAATATGTTTTATTTTCTAGTTTTTTATTTTAATAAAGTTAACCATAAAAATAAAATTTATTTTGAAAACGACATGTAATATATCATTTTTCAACCCAAACATAACCTATATTTGAAACCGGTCTTCAAAATAGCTAGTAACGATTATTTTATTAGAAATAATTGAAAAGTATTAATGGAAAATAATTGGAGAGAATTATTTTGAGTAATTGGAAAGTACTGAGTTTATGAAGACAAAATAGAGAAAGGTTAATATTGGGTATATTTAAAAGGATAGACGAAAGATTGAAAAGTGGTAACCGAAAATGAGTCATTTGCAAAATAATAGGGACAATCATTTTAATGAATGAATTGAATAATTAAATAATAATTTTATGTTATAAACCAAACTGCTCCAGATGTCTCAAATTGATGCTAATAACAAAGGATCATATAAAATTCCCTGTAAATGGTGATGTTTGTAAGTGGAAAGGATGCACCGCTAAGTAGATGATCAGTGAGAGCGAGGTGCCAATATGCGAAGATGTTATTCAGTTGTTAACGATAGAGAAGAGAGATCCGATGCTTGTGGAGAGTGGCAACTCATTCTTGAAGGCGAAAACTTTGGTGACATGACGAGTCGGAGTGAAGAGATTTTGGTAGAGACGAAAAGATTGATAATTTTCTTTTTCTCTTGTGAAATTAGGCGAAAGTAAAAGAGTTTCGAGAGGAGAAGAAGCAACGACAGAGGGCAAATTCTGTGGTACCATGACGGTATGGTGCCGTCATATTTTTCTAACCGGTTCAAGTAGCATAGTTGTGATTTAGAATGGTTGATACAAGCTGGTGGGTTATGAGTTATGATTTTTGGGTGGCGGAGCCAATGCCAACAGCCAGAATCCCCGATGAGATCCTTCACCCTCGATTCTCCCAAGTTCACAATTGGGCGTTCGAATGTCAGCCGCCGAACTAATCCTGGGAATCAAAATCGAAGTTGGATGCAGGAATTTGGCCCGGTTCATCTTCGACCGGCTGGAAAGAGACCAACAAATCCTTCCATTTCGTTCTTGCGCTATTAGAATATGACGGAAGATCTCGTTGCTGGACTTCGTCTACATTGCCGCAGCCTGATGAGTAGTGATGGTGGTTGACGGAGGCGGTCGTGCGGCGGAAGAGGAGCATGCAGAGGGCTTGTGGGGGTCGAGGTGGATGACCGGGCTGGTGGTGGGGCTCCCCGACGACGCTCCGCACTTTGAAGCAAAATGTATAAATCTTCACAGCGTCACCATTTTTTTTCTTCTTCGTTGAATCAGTTCCCTGATAGACATTTAGTACTTTTCTGTTTATGAGGATTTGATTGTTAAGAATTATTTATGTGGGTTTGAATTGGGGATGGGTTAAGATGAATAAGTCAGGGTAGTGATAGGTACTTGTGTTTTAGTACTTAAACTATGATGCTACGTAGAAATGGGTAAGCAGAAATTAGAAATCCTAAACCTATTTTGATCACTCTCTCTCTCTCTCTCTCTCTCTCTCTCTATCCCTTGGCCGCCGAGCCTCCTCCCTCCTTCTCCCCTGCTGCCGCTCGGCAATTCTCTTTCTCCCTCTCTTCCTTCGTGCAACCCCCAAATTCCCCTTTCTTCCATCTCTCAATTCCTAAGATCAACCCCTAGTTGATCCCAATAACCTAATCCCTAGATAGAGCTCTGATCTCAGAGTTCTATCATTTCGTATCAGAGCCTCGTTTGTGGGTTCGTGAGCAAGTGAAGAACGACGATTGAGATGGTGTCAACGAAGTCCATGCAAGCTGCTGAGAAGGCTGCTCTGGCCAAACAAACCGCGGAGACTGCCGCGGGACTGCCGGATGGTACCAAGGAGACGGCGGCGAAGGCGCCACCCCCACCGAAGGCTGCACATGGGCGGCCGCCACTTCCGTCGCCGAGGGTGCAGGTGGACGGCGAGCTGGAAGACCTGACTGAGCAGGAGACGACGCCGGTCAGCCTCGGGGATCTCATGACCATGATCGCGGAGGAGCGCTAGGCAAGGTTGGTGGAGACTAGGCGGATGGAGCGCAGGCTCGATGATTTTCAGGCCATGCTGGTGGTGATGCACGGCGAGAGGCGGCCGGGGCCACGGGGCGCGAATGGCGAGGAGGGGGCGCGCCAGGAGGAAACCGCGCCGGCGATGTCAAGAACGGCGGCATTAACGGCGGCCGGCGGGGCACGACGCGGCGAGCGGCGCGGGTCTGAGCGCGATGGTGAGGGTTGCCTCGGTCGTGGAGCTGGAGGCGTCGCTGTTGCTGGAAGGCACGGAGGACCCAACGGCCAATCGGGAACGGCCGGCCCACGGGCCACTAGGTCGGGTGGCGGGACTGGGTTTTTGCCCACGCCGACGAAGACGACCCAAGAAATGGCAGCCCGCAAGGGAAATGCCAAGGTGACAGGCTACGGCAGTGGGCCGTATGGCTCGATGAGTCGGTCCGATCCAGTGGGACAATTTAACGAACCGCATGGGCTGGGCTGGCTCAACATGGATCAGGAGCAGCTCGAGGAGGAGCTCAGATTGGCGAACCAGGATGCATCATGGGCCGATCCGGCCCTAGAGGGAGTTTACATGGGCCAGAACCAAAATTCGGGCCAAGCTACACGCGTCGGGCCACGCCAAGAGGAGCGGGCCGGGGTTGGCGGAGCTGGGCAGGGCCGAGGCAGCGGCCTGGCGGGGCGGATCCATCATGGACCGACCGAACCGCACGGGACCAGACCGAGTTGAGTTGCCGATTGGGCCGGTTCGGCTCGGAGCAAACCGGGTCGAGGCGGACCGGTCCGGGTCACGCCGAGATGGACTGATTCTGGTCGGATCGGGTCTGGTTGGGCCGGGCGGGGGTCAAACCGATTCGATCTGTCACACGGGGAGTAGGTAACGTTGGCCCAAATTGATGGCAAGGGCTGTATGGGCCTGGAGGAGCGAGTGGGCCACCAGTTCGAGGGGCCTCGAGTAGCTTTGGACATGGAAGGGGCTCCCAGTTCTATCAGAATCACCCAGGCGGGGACCCCGACTATGACATGTATGGTTCGTACCACCCTGTTACGATGGAGCTTATGGAATGGTCTTCCGAGCCAAACCCCCTACCATTGAATTTCCAAAATTCAAGGGCCAGGAGGATGCCGGGCTATGGTTGTATGCAGCTGAGCGGTGGTTTCGAAATCACCCAATATCGGAAGAGCGAAAAGCGCATCTGGCGTCTTTCTATTTGGAAGGGGAGGCATTACAGTGGTGGGAATGGATGGAGAGGTCCTACGCGGCGGCAGAGAAATTGATCACATGGCCGATGTTCCAGGAGGAGCTCCGCTACCAGTTCGGTAAGGCGGAGGGATGGGCCCCAGAGACGCTGGCCAAGTTGAAGCAGACGGGATCAGTGGCGGATTACCGCGCAGAGTTCTTCAAGCTGGGCAATCAATGCCGTGGAGTGCCCGAGGATACATTGATAGGCCTGTGTATGGCAGGCCTGAAGCCGGAGATCGCTGCTGCAGTTCGGGTCTTTGAACCGGATTCCTTGAAGTCTGCCTTTCGACTTGCAAGTTACAAGGAAGAAGAGCTCGCTAGTTGGAGGAACACCGTAGGTCGTTACCAGCGGCCGAGCGGGGCCAGTAGTAGCAGTGGAGCAGGAGGAGGAGGAGCCGGGACAGGCGCGACACCTTTGGGCCTGCGGGAACGGCGACAGTCAGGGGAGGGGTGCGGCCACCGCCCAAGGGATTTGTACGTCTTTCCCCGGCCGAGATTGAACAGAATATGCGTGAAGGCAAATGCTTCAATTGCGACGAACGCTTCACCATAGGGCACAAGTGTGCTCGACCAGATTTGATAATGCTCGTCGGAAGGTGGGAGGACAAGGCGGAAGATGTGGCAAGTGCGGCGGACGACAAGGTGGAAGACTAGCAACCTTGAGGACAAGGTTGTTTTGAAGGGGAAGGGAATGATAGACATTTAATACTTTTCTGTTTACGAGGATTTGATTGTTAAGAATTATTTATGTGGGTTTGAATTGGGGATGGGTTAAGATGAATAAGTCAGGGTAGTGATAGGTAATTGTGTTTTAGTACTTAAACTATGATGCTACGTAGAAATGGGTAAGCATAAATTACAAACCCTAAACCAATTTTGATCACTCTCTCTCCCTTGGCCGCTGAGCCTCCTCCCTCCTTCTCCACTGCTGCCGCTCGGCAGTTCTCTTTCTCCCACTCTTACTTCGTGCAACCCCCAAATTCCCCTTTCTTCCATCTCTCAATTCCAAGGATCAACCCCTAGTTGATCCCAATAACCTAATCACTAGATAGAGCTATGATCTCGGAGTTCTATCATTCCCTCCTTTTATTTAGGAAACGAGATGTGTAAGGATTAAATAATCCTACACCTGATACAACGAAAGCAGGATCCTCAAAGAAAGGCATCCTGTAGAATAAGAACATGAGATAACGCAAACCTCTACTACTACAGCTGTCCGCTCTACTATAATTTCAACTATGCTATACTAGCCTAGTCAGAAACCAAAGTGGGATGATATTAAATTTCAAAATAGAAGTCTCTACTCCAAAGCTTTCCTACTGCTGCAGCACTCCTTGGGATCTCACCATGGCCACGTCGACACCTTTCCTACCAGATGAAGGAAATCAATGAGCACCAAATCATTACAATACATCGCCCCAACGCTGAAGATTTTGTTGCTAGGTCCCCAGCTGATGCAAGCATGTTATCCCAAGAGTCTCCACGTATTAAAATGCCCCACCTACCACATACTTCTTTAGAAAACTCACACTAAAAAAATAAGTGATTTCTGGAGTAAATTCCATGACCACATAGCAAACAGGAAGCATCATTGATCTTCCCCCATTTCTACAATTTCTCCTTAGGGTCGTTTGGAAGTTGCGATTGTTTTGTTGAGATTGTCATTATACATGTATTGTTTACAATGCATCGTTTTTTGTTTTGTTTTTTTTAGCAGAATCAATACATGGATTGTTTCTGTGATGTGACAGAAACTATCACTCATTTTGAGTGATTGTTATATCTTAACTTTTAGTTGTGATTATTGAGATAGTTGAGTTGAGATAGTTGAGTTGAGATTGTTTTGTCTCAGCTTTTAGCTGATGCGACATACACAATCACACATACCAAACGTTGTATTCTACAATGCATCAAATTCGACAATACATGTATAACATTATACATGCATTCTCAACAATACATCTATTTAATAATCGCAACTTCCAAACGACCCCTAGTCACACATGCATCCATGATCATAATCCACACAATCATGCTCCATCGAGACACACTAAACTTACTCCAAATGAGTTTAAACCAACGAACTTGAATGCACGGTGTGTGAATTGTATTCCACACAGTGCTCACAGAATGTATGTGGAATGGGCGTTGCCATTTTTGGGGGTAAAGTAATGAGATGAAAGGCAGAAGAAGATGAGGGGATTGAGTTTTTGGTTAAGGGAGAGATCTGATTGCCGGAGATTGCAGCTATCATGTGAAGGATTTAAATGTAAAATAAAATAGGTTTAACCAAATATAATAGGTTCAATACACTAGTGGTGGTTGATAATAAATAGAACTCATTAAATACACTAAATCCAACGGCTGAAATCAGGTGACACTAGTGTCGTGCCTGCATCACAGAATCAACCATGACAGAGAAAACAAATAATAGAAAGGGAATGAAAGAAATGAGTTAAAAAAAGGCAAGGACATATTCAATTAGAAATGACTCAAGGAAAGAGAAGACATTTGAAAATGATTCGGTAGAGTCATTTGAGTGAACGAAATAACTCATGCGTTTTAATCTTTAGCAAACAAGTCATTTTGATAATGAATGACTCACAAATTATTCCCGAGTTTCTGTATAATATGCCTTACGAGGGACATGCACTCAACAAATATGACTCATGGTAGTCTTAAGTCTTAACCAACATAAATGATTTTTCTTGTTTCATTATTTTGTTCTCATTTTTCACATCCCTTTCATTTTTTTCTCCACATTTTCACATCACTCTTTTAGAGAGAGAGTAGAGAGAGTCAATTAATACTTTTATATTAGAAAATAAGAGAGATTTGGAGGTGTTATTTGGATACTAAATTTGGCTGTGAAATGTGACTTATTTTTCATTGAGCTTTACATTTGTTGTTTTTTGGTATATTGCAAGTTTGGTCAAGGGAATTACTAATAGAATTCATGTTTGTCACTACAAATATTTTATTCCACTTGTGGTCACTTAGATGAGTGCAACCGCCCTTAGAAATCATGTGTCGTTTGTCTCTGTTTATGTTTTGTTTAACATACTGTAGTTACCCTAATTTCCTTGATAATTGAGTTAACATGAGAATAACGGAAGGGGTTTTAACACCTTAACCCATCCCATACAATAGGGGATTGTTATCATAATTTTTATATTTTCTTTCTTCGTCGTGCCTTGTCGGTAAGGAGGTTTAGGAGCAGTGATTCTGCTTCAACACTGCTCCATTTTGGTATCATCTAAATCAAAATCAAAATCAATCAAAAGAATATAATAAGCGGTTTCTCGAAAATGGCTTCACCGATTCAAATTTCTCCTCCTCTCACGCGTCCACGTCAGCATAGCCTAATAAGTCTGCTCTCCTGGAAATTTAGACATCCACGTCAGCCCGCCAAACAAAATCTCTTCGACTCTCTTTCCAGTCTTCCTGCAGAGGAAATCCTTGGCTCCTCTGACTCCACCTTCGGAGCCCTAACCACAATCTCCCTCTTCTTGTTATTCATGCATTGCTGATCTATCTCCCGAAATCTTCACCATTCATCTTCTCCAGCGAGAGCCCTAACCGAATCTTGCTTTTCAGGTTTTGTCCCCTTTCTAATATATAGTTCCCGCTGAATCATTCTTCCCAATCTGCGTCAATTTCACTACCACAGGAGACCATCTCTGCAATCTAGCACCTTCGTCTTGCCCTCCCTCAATATCCATGTCCCCGATATTTGGTTAGTTGGCACTCTCCCTTCTCATGCTTTTCCCCTTCGTCTTTTGGATTCTACTTTTAATCCGATTTCTCGAAAATGGCTTCACCGATTCAAATTTCTCCTCCTCTCATGCGTCCACGTCAGCATAGTCTAATAAGTCTGCTCTTCTGGAAATTTAGACATCCACGTCAGCCCGCCAAACAAAATCTCTTCGACTCTCTTTCCAGTCTTCCTGCAGAGGAAATCCTTGGCTCCTCTGAATCCACCTTCGGAGCCCTAACCACAATCTCCCTCTTCTTGTTATTCATGCATTGCTGATCTATCTCCCGAAATCTTCACCATTCATCTTCTCCAGGGAGAGCCCTAACCGAATCTTGCTTTTCAGGTTTTGTACCCTTTCTAATATATAGTTCCCGCTGAATCATTCTTCCCAATCTGCGTCAATTTCACTACCACAGGAGACCATCTCTGCAATCTAGCACCTTCGGCTTGCCCTCCCTCAATATCCATGTCCCCGATATTTGGTTAGTTGGCACTCTCCCTTCTCATGCTTTTCCCCTTCGTCTTTTGGATTCTACTTTTAATCCGATTTTGATTCTACTACAAGCGCCCTTTTTTGTAGAGAATCATATGGAAGAAGTAGAAAAAAATCCATCAACCATCTTTCTGCTTGAATCTCTGAATGTATCACATTTACTAAGATGAAACGTACTAATTTGACTTCGGTTGGTAATCGCCATTTGTAGAGGGAACTTGATTAAACTAAGCAGGGGTTGCTATCGTTTATAGGCATTGCAACTATTAACCCATTTTCTTAGGGCGATTTGTTATACATATATCATGCAACGAAATCTGGGGTAGTTCAACATTATACATGTAAGGAAGTGATTAAGTACCATACATGGAACTGTATAAGATCCAACATAATCTTCTCCCAACAACTCGAGTTATTTGGACCAACTGGTTTGGTTTATGACAATACAAGCTCAGCCAATCGAGATACTCCTAAGTCTTACTTAATTCTCTCTTTTGTTCCCTTAGGTTGCATATTTGGAATTTCTGGGTAACTTAATTTCTACAATTCCAGTAGCAAGTTGGTTGTTCTTTCTTTCTTCAGTGATCCCACCATCCATCATACTTATTTCATACTGTTGCATTCCTTTTCCAACCCCAAATGCATAAATTCCCAGTGCATATTTTACCTTCACCATAGAGAGGAGAGTCCCGTGATAGCTCCAATTCATCTAGCACCATAAGTCGCTTGTCGTAGTGGCTCTTCGGGACACCAACTGTTGGCAGGGCAGATCGGAGCGAAAGTAGAAAGGTGCTCCCAAACCCATAGTTGGAGGATGAACATGGCACCACCCGCTTGCTTTGTTTTCGGGTCCGTACACTTGCACAGCTCCACATATATCATCGCCAAACAAGCAGATCCCCAACCTTTTCTCCCAATCTCGTCCCAATCTTCCAAAGAACTCGGAGCCACATACAATGCATATTTCCACAAGACTTGTTCGGAAACAAAAATCCTCCAACCAAACGAATCAGGTAGATGCGAGCATACCTCTCTATCTGAGAATCTGTGGCATCCTCCGGTAACTCTCCAGCGATTCTCACTAGTCAAGGGATCGATAACATAGACTTGTGTAGAGGTGGTATACGACGACCTTGTGGTGCTTCCTCGGAGATGTTGATGCCTAAACGTTCGCTTATAAATTGGACCCAACCATTCAATGGTTTCTTTGAACTCTTTAGCATGGCATAACCATTGATTGGAAGCTCTGTCAACATGGTCACGTTCTTCAGCGTACTCGTCATCTCTCCCTCCAGAAGGTGGAATGTATGCGTTTCTTTTCTCCATCTTTCCACCACTGTCGTAAGAAGGTTGTTGTCCATCTCCATCCCCACAAAGTTTCGCACCCTTAGCAATCACGCTCTTTCAATGAAGGGCTCGATCCGAACATCCCATGCAGGCAAGCGAGATAGCAACCGATGAGTGATTACGTCAAGTTGTTCCTATAGAAAAACCCTTAATTATTATATGAAAAAATTAAAGAGTTAATATTTTAGTATGGCCTGAACTTTGACCAAAAGAAACATCCTGGCCAATCTTTTCGATCTATAACATCCTGGCCCGAACTATACACCAAAATAAACAATTTGGCCATATCCGACTTTTGACCGTTAACTTGGACGGTCATACACGTTGACCGTTAGTCAACGCGCAATGTCATTGCCAAGTCAGCATAAAATATTTAAAATAATTCACAATTTCCACACATTCCCTCATTTTAAATTATTATAAATTAAAAAAATCATCTAATACCTTAGTTAAACCAAAAATAAAAAAACGAAAAAAATTAAATATTTATCAGATCTTCTGATTGGCAGTGACGTGGCGCGTTGACCGTTAGTCAACGCGTTTGACCGTCCAAGTTAACGGCCAAACATCGGGTTTGGCCAAATTGTTTATTTTGGTGTATAGTTCGGGCCAGGATGTATTAGATCGAAAAGATTGGCCAGGATGTTTATTTTGGTCAAAGTTCAGGCAATACGAAAATATTAACCCAAAATTAAAAGAATACTATTGCATTTAAAAAAAGAAAAGTACATGAGGAAATGCTTACCGGGTCTGCCGCCCAAACACTCGGTCTATACCGATGGTAAGGTTGCTCATCCAACAAATCGGTTTCTCGCGGTCCGCCTTAAATGTATAATCTAGGATCGTAAATACTCTGGTCCACCTCGGCAATTTTGAGTGATAGAACTACCAAACTAAAGAAAAAATTGATGAGGAAGATCGGGCTTAGCCGCACCAACAAAGCATTTTTTTTTTCTTCAAGAGTGGTGGGAGGAAGAGAGGAAGAAGAATGGAGTGGTGTGAGTTTGGCGGAGTGGATGGGGTGAATTTATAGGAGTGGATCAAGTTTAGGACACTCGAACCATTGGATCGAGTTTTGTGCCGTCGATCCGCGTCAACAGCTATTCGAGGGAAGGCAGATCGAACGACCCGGATCGCGTTTTGAATATTCGATCTACGATGGAGCATTTCTGACGTCATCGATATGCGTCAAGGAGATCGATTCCCAAGGAGTCGATCTGCGTAGATCGAGTTCCACCCACTCGATCCGCGTCACTACTACTTCGCGGCAGTGGCCATCGAACGGGCTAGATCGATTTTCTGAAACACGATCTAGGGTGGAACGCTTCCTATGTCATCGTTCCACGTCACTTTGATCGAGCCTCCCCTCATCGATCTATGTAGATCGAATTTTCTAAACCCGATCCGCTCCATCCTGTTCCAGCTAATTGCGGCCCTTTAACTTGATGCACGTGGATCGATGGTCTGACAAACTATCTGGTTCTAGTTTGAGTTTGTGGAACTCGATCTTTACCCAACTTGGATATTTTGGTAAATTTTTTTAAAAGTTATGTACTGTAGGAATGTTTTTTAATTATTACTGTATTTAGGGGAAAATCCCATTTGAAACTGGTCTTGAAAATAATAATGATTCTTTTACTATAAATAACTGAAAAGTATTAGTGAAAAATAATTGGAGAAGTATGGTATGAATAATTGGAAAGTATTGAATTTATGTAGACAAAATATAGAGAATGATTTGTATTGAGTATATGAAAGATTTAGAGGTGTTATTTGATGGTTAATTTGATTGTGGAATGTGCATGTTCATACAATTGTTTGTATGTGTCATTTACTAAAGGTTTAATTCACCCACATAGCCATAACTTTCACGGTTTTGACAAATATAGCCAATTTTTGAATAACACATAGATGTAGCCACACTTTTCAAACATCTTTTATGAATGTAGTCATTTTCATGAAAACATTTGACGGAGTTAACGTCACTGTCAGTTAAGTGGACGTTTTGCTGATCTGTCCGCCAAATGGATGACACATCATCGCCAACCGGATGGACATAGCCACATGGACGCCACATAAGATAATAAAAATTAATATTAAAATTATTTGACTCTCTCTCTCCTTCATCGTCGTCGTTTTCATTCCCTTCCTCACTTATTTTTTAGGGTTTGGAACTCTCCACCCCGTCGAACACATTTTCAATCCCTTCCATTCCGTCGATACCTCCTCTCCACCCCAACTCTTCTCTGCCGACGACACCTCCTGCTTAGCCTACCAATATCGCCTCTCCGTCGCCTCCCCTACTACTGTCCCCTGCTACTCTCCCGATTCCAATATCGCCTAAATACACCCATATCCCAGTCGTTGCTTCATCTCCTTTTCCAGCAGTTGAATCCATGTCGAATAGGTCTGGAAAGAAGGTGGATTTCAATGTTGTCGATTCCGGATCAGCAAGCACCAATAGTAGGATTGTCGTTCGATGCGAGCACAACGTTCCAGGTGTTCTTAAAACTTCGGGTACTTATACGAACCCAGGGCGGCAATTCTACGGTTTTCCTTATTGGAAGGTAAGCAATACAGTCTTTGTGTGACCCAATTGGTTTTTACCTGTAGTTTTGACAGTCATGCTTATTATTTTGCTGCAGGATAGGAAAAAAAAATTGTCGATTTATTCGGTGGGTGGAATCAAACGATGATGAAACTGGCTCATGGACTAATGAAGTGGGTTCTATTCAGAATTTGGAAGAGAGTCTGATGCTAGCAGAAAGGAAGGCAGAAAAGATGAAGAATGAAAAAGAACTGTTGGCCGAAGAACTAAGCAGATCGATGCTTGCTCATGAGGTTATGGCAATGCGTGTTAGGAGATTGGATGATGATATCCGTATCATTCGATATCTTTTTATTGGTGTTTTATTGATGAATGCTATTTTTGTTGGTGTTCTTTGGAGGCCAGAATCTGGTCTGTAGTTGTTGGCATTCTGTGGAAGTTTAGGCAATTTGTAGGTGTTTCTGTTTGAGTAAGAAACTTAGCAAATGTAAGCAAGCTCTAAATGTAATATAAGGATCTTTGCTTATTAATGTAACATGTGGTCTCTTTATTTCCTTAAAGCAACATAGTCTTGGTTTTTTTTCCAGATACTATATTAAGCAAGTGCAAAAGGGTGCACATCAAAATGGTGTTCATTAGAGTACATCATACTCCTGCAGTTAACAATCTGTCTGCATCCATAAAATGGTGTTCATTTGTATCCCTAACTTCAGTACTTGCTACCTAATCTGCTAAGAACTGCTTCATGAGTCATGTAATCGTTGTTACATTGCACCATGCACATAAGAGTCTACTATCGACATTACACAAAAGAACTCAATATCATATTCCTTCCTAAATCTAAGGCTGACTAGGTGGTGGCTGACTTCCATGCAGGTCCACGACAGTTGGCTGAGGTCCCCGAACTGGCCTGCCAGCAGCTCCATTAAGCTTAAATGAGTAACAAACAGAATATTATTCAATGTCCATTACATTAAATCGACTTAGTACAATTAGAAGACAGGTTGGAAGCACACCCTAACATACTGGTTCCTCGTCCTCTCACTAACAGAAACGCCAACTCCAGATGTTGCAATTCGCCATTCCCTTTCAATTGTTCTTCTATCATCCACATTGAGTATCACGTCCTACATATATGCAAACTAAGTTCAGCAAATTTGCCTCATTCAAACACATTCCAGCATTAGTTTAAAATCACTTACTTGTACACCATTTCCTCTATTCAGATGACAAGTCCTTGCGTTATGAGTGGAACTCTGACATTTGGAACAATGAATTGCCCTCTTCCTTCTAGGTTCTTGGCCTAAGTCTCGCGCCGCTGGTGGCTGTGTATTTCTCTGTGGACTTCTCTCCTGCCAAGTAGCAAACTATTTAAAGCAGAGGACATTATCAGTCTAAGAAACAAATCAAAGTCGAATCTTACCATCACAACTTCGGCAACAAGGGGTGCCTTGCAAGATCTGGCATTGTGCCCCTCGCCGCCACACTTGGAGCAGTGGATTAGATTACCTCTTCTTGTAACCTCTTCACCAACCTCGTTTCTTTGTGCCCTAGTCTCCTCCACCTCATTTGCAGCCCTTCTTCTTTTCTTTTTTTGCCTGCCAGGCATTGATATACTCTTGGGAGGATGCATAGGTGTTCCCTCATGTGCAGGCCATGCTTGCCTACCATCAAGGCAAGGTATCTCATAGTTGTATGCGAATTAGACATGTACACATGATAGTATGAATTGACATAATCATCCACGTCTCTTCTTAGATGGCTAATTGCTGAAACCGCGTGGCAGCAAGGAATGCCAATAAGTTGCCAGTAACCACAAGAGCAACTACATTCTGTGAGATCCACTATAAACCCTTCACTCCCCTTCTTTACCTCACACCTTGCATTGAGAGTTTGCTTAGCTACACATAACATAGCCTCTTCCTTTTCCCTTTTCACCTCGTTTTCTAATCCTTGGAGGCAATGTATCTATACACTTGGAAAACATTTCTGACTTAAGCACTACCCTTTCCATCATGTACTGCCTTATACCTTCCAGCATGTCTACAATTCTAAAACCCCTATACTTAACAATACAACCATTCCATGTCTCACATACATTGCTCTCAACCGAGTCACACTTCGAATAACATGATAGGAAGGCACGACAGAAACGACGAGGTTCAGTAGCCATAAAGTCTGTATATGGGGTAGAACCATCACCTGGCTTTTCAATGGCCTCCCGCTCAGCAGTTGTGCGGTTCCAATGTATATCATTGCAAGCATAAACGACATACCAAAAGAGCTTCCTAACACGATCTTTCTTGTTCTTGGCCTTCCAGTTGGCATATACATGTCTTGCACATTTACGGTGCTCAACATCAGGAAGAATGGTGTGAATTGCCTCAACTAAACCCTGAAGCTGGCAAAGTTTAAAGTCAGCAATAAGTAGGAAACTAAGTGGATATGAAATAAAGTAAGCTTTATTTGACATTACCTTCTGTTGATCAGAAATAATAGTCCATCCCCTTCCGTCAACTAGTGTTAAGTCTTCAGCTAGTGCTTGCACGAACCAACACCATGAGTTGCTGTTTTCACCTTCCACCACAACCCAACATATTGGAAACATTTGATTATTTCCATCTTTCCCAACCGTTATCAGTATCATCCCTTTAACCTCTCCTTTTCTGAAAACATCCATCCAAAGCGATCATTGGTCTGCAACCTTCTTGAAATCCCTTTTCTCAAACTTGAGAACCCGATGTACATACGTTGAAACAAAACCTTGTCGCCATTAGGATGCGGGTCTACCTCCAAGATGAAATGTCCTTCACGATATCGTTTCTTCAATTCAGCCATATAGCTTCCGAGCTTCATGTACTCATCCACCAATGAACCACTGAGCAGCTTGATAGCCTCCACTTTAGCCCTATAACAAGTTCTATACTTACCTCCATATTATGCTTTAGCTTAACCTCAACCGTTATCTGATTCGGAGCCCATTCAGGATTTATCTCGAATCTTTCTAACATGTCACTTGCTATCCACTTAGCAGTGGCTTGATTCACTCTAAGCTGCCTTGAACAAGAATGTGGCAGCCCTACTTTTGTGATCAGGAAGCTCTTGTCCTTTCTGAACCAACTGGCATACAACTTCCACTTACAATTCGGAGCCTTACACTTCACCTCCCTCCTATTAGGGTTAGTCCTAGTCCACCTCAGACATGCACCTGCTGCAAAAGAATGTCTAATAACAGCCTCCTTGAATTGTTCTAGACTCGCGAACTTCATCCGACACACGAATTGCAAACTCTTATGATCACATTTTGGATCATAGTGTGGAGCATCATCGTACATTTCCCTAGCCTCTTCATCAGATAAGTTCAGACGAACATGATCTGAATCTTCAGACAATCTTTAAAACGAGTCATTCGAATTATCACCAACGACTTGTTCGGAAACAGGGGGAGGATGGTTGGATAAAGAATGATTGGAAGCCTTAATCTTTGGTTCCTCTCCCCCTGCATCCTCTCCATGTTCACCATCCCCATTCTCTGCTCCTCTCCACTTTCATGTTCAACATCTTCAAATTCGTCCAACTGGTCCACCTCTTCCCCATCAACAACCCGCTTTGACTGCACCTCCCTCCTCCTCCTCGTCTCGCCATATGCTCTTAAGTTGTCACGTGCTTCGTGATATTTATCATCCGAAGTATCAACATCATCCGAATCGTAAACGTGGTAAACCTCCTTTGCAACAGAAGCTGCTACCCCATCTTCCACTAACAAGAAATCATCTTCTTCCCCAAGCTGGTTTGTGACATTCTCACCATTACCTTCCTCCCGCGAATCTGCCATCTCTCTGCATAAATTCATTGTTTATTCCATTAACTATTAATTAATGTTTAATCTCTAATAAACAAGTCAGACACACATATCCAAAAAGAGATTAAACAAATTGGGAAACTCCATATACAGCCAAGAGAAGCACGAGAAGTGAAAGCTTTTATAGTAAATGACGATTATAACCAGAGGTTCCAGGTGTTCACCGTCTTTGCAGGGACAATCTCGTGACAAAAAACTTCTTCTGGTCCCTCAAAGAAGATGGGATGTCGCTTTCCACCTTTGAACCTATAAATACACAACACCCACTTCCCGTTAACAAAGCATTCATTCATTCATTCAAACCAAAGAAGAAACCAAAGCAGTTCATAAGGACTCACAAGTCACACAATTTAGGGTTTCCAAGCAACGCGAAATTTAGGGTTTCCTCCGCCGATATATCAGAGCTGCCGTCAGCCGAACCACCGAAGTCCGTACGGCCGTCGAAAGAACGACCATCTGATGCTACTCGCCGGCCGAATCCATGGCTACTCTTTGTCAACGATCGCGAACAGATGGGGTAAGTCGAGAGAGAAAGAGCTGAGGTTGGTGGGAACAGATGAACGAAAAGGGGGAAAGTGATCTCAATCCCTTTTTGGCTTCTTTTTGTCGTTTAACTTTACTTATTAATTAAAATAAAATTGTTTTCCACGTGACAATGACGCAAAAAAGAAAACACGCCACATCAGCAGCGGTCGTAGTCCAGTCAGCGAGTTAAGTGAACCGTCAAATAATTGGACGGAAATGGCTACATCTGTGTATTATTCAAAAAGTGGCTATATTTATTAAAATCGTGAAAGTTATGGCTATGCAGGTGAATTAAACCCTTACTAAATGATTCATTTGCTCAAATGAATACATCTTAGAAATATAGTCATTTGGGAGTATTTATATTTTCAAATATATTGTTTGTTTAAGAAAAAATTAGATGAGTCATTTTCATAATGTATCATTTTTTCTTACATTTAATATGTTTCATTATCTTGTATATTTTTCTCCAAGAACAAAAAGGAGGTAGATGAGAAGAAGATCAACGATTATCTTGGGATCAAAGCTACCAATAACTTAGGCAGATATCTGAGAGTGCCTTTTAATCCATGGGAGAGTCACAAGAGACGCTTACAAAATTGTCCTTGAAAAGATTGATCGTAGACTCTTCGAGTGGAAAGCTCACACCCTCTCTTTAGTAGGTCGAGTATCTTTTGCCCCCTCTATGCTCAACACGTTGCAGTGATGCAAACGACGGTCTCTCTCTCTCTGACGATTTGCGATATCATAGACAGTAAAATAAGAATTTTTATCTGGAGGGAGGGCAATTCGAAGATCCACCTTGTTCCTTGGAAAACCATTTGTAAGTTCAAAGATCAGGGCGACTTTAACCTCAAATCTGTCGGGAGTTGAACTTTGGCTATATGATCAAACTTGCTTGGCTATATGATCCTAATGACTATGGTCTCCAGATTTTGAACCATGTATGATTGTATGTGCATCACCCAAATTCGTTTAATATAATTAAAGGCGTCTTTTAGCGTCTTTTTTTTGTCATTAGATCACTCATAAATAAGAGGAACAAACAAAGATTCGTAGGTTTACAACAGAATCATGCCCATTGCTATACAAAGAAACAAAATCGAACCTCAAACTAATGTCGGCGATAAGAACAGAGCCTAAGTGGCCTCCAAATGAGCCACTCCGCAGCCATGAACACACCAATCGAACCCAGAAAAAGTACAAACTATAGCATCCGAAAAACAACCCGACAACCTAACCATGCAATGAGCAAAGTCCACCATAGTAGCTCAAGTTGCAAAAGCCTTCCAATGATCCAATTGAAAACCCGAATAATCAACCAGTGAAGCCATAATCCATTATCCAAAGCCGCCACAGCAAGTATACTACCCGTAGAAGAAAAAAACCTTTCCATCCTACAAGTGAAGAACAAAAACATATAGGATTTGGAAGGAAGAAATCCGCCCGTCAAAATTGGTCACCACCCATCAACAGGAGGGGAGTGTGCGTGGGGGACACCCACTACTTTTTTAGAATCATCAATCATGATTACGATCGAAATCCCCAATTCTTGAGCGTTGAAGATACAATGCTACCAAAAAACGAAGTAAGGCAGAAGAAACAAACCTCCATCCGCTCCTCATACTCATTTACCAAAAAAAATATTAAAGCAAACCCATTATATGTGTAGCTACTAGATCCGATGGCTCATGACCACCACGAGGCCCAAACCTCAGTCCACAAGAACTTAGCGAATCCAATAGTCGGCCCCCAAGACTACACAAGTCACCTAATAGCAAATTGACCCTTCCAAAGCTACCAGTCCAGTCCAACAAATTCTCGTCCCGCTGACTTGTCCAGTCGCCCCGATTAGGTTCAGAACTTCCATCTTTTCAAGTTTTAACACAAACTGCTATACGCATCGCGACGGCCTGCGGGTAACTTCTCCGCAGCCTCCCACAAAATCTCAGAAAAGTCTGCCTCCGACTCTTTGACTCTGACTCTCTCTCACTCCCAGCAACGCGACGATTTCGTTTGAACCACTCCCCTCTCCCACCTTCCCATCGCCATGGCAGTCCACTCTGACGCCTCTTTCATCCTCTCTATATATCCATCCCCGTCCTCTTCATCAACATTCCATTTCCTCTCAACATCCCATTTCTCCCCTCCCTCAATTGACCATTCTCAAGTCAATTTCACCCGCCATGGATGCCTCGCCGTTAGCATTGAGAAGACAAACCACCCTCCAGCTACCCGCTTCCCCATTCCAACCCAGAAGACGAATCAGGGCATGGAAATTGAAGCTCCGCTCCACCTGGCGATCCGTCAAAACCACCTTCTCCCGCAACCTCCTCAAACGATTCCACCACCGGCACCGCGCATCATCCTCCTCCGTCGCCGCCGCCAAAAAACTGAGCCGAATCGCCCCCTCCAATCCCAATAACCCCCAAACCGTCGCCGCCAAGAGGAACAGCAGCCGCCCGCACAAATCACTGGCGCGTCTCCTCGAGGTTCCCTACACGGCCTCCGATTTCATCGATTGGGGCGACCACATGACTCCCACACTGTCCCCCAAGCGGGACATCTCCGGGCGGTGGCGCGAGCTCCACGGAATCGACGATTGGGACGGCCTCCTCGACCCAATCGACCCAACCCTCCGCTGCGAGATCCTCAAGTACGGCGAGTTCGCCTCCGCGACCTACGACGCCTTCGACTTCGACCCGCTCTCCGAGTTCTGCGGCAGCTGCAGATACAACCGCCACAAGATGCTCCACGAATTGGGCCTCGCCGGCAAGCACGGCTACACCACCACACGCTACATCTACGCCATGTCTCACGTCGACGTCCCCCAATGGCTCTCCCGCGCCTACACCACCTGGAGCAGAGACTCCAACTGGATGGGCTACGTCGCCGTCAGCGACGACGCCGAATCGAAGCGAATCGGCCGGCGGGACATCGTCGTCGCCTGGCGGGGGACGGTGGCGCCGTCGGAGTGGTTCAGCGACCTCAATGCCCGGCTGGTCCGGGTTAACGACGCCGTCAGAGTCGTCAAGGTTCAAAAGGGTTTCCTCTCTGTTTACAAATCGAAAGCAGAGTCCACACGGTACAGCAAAGCCAGCGCTTCGGAACAGGTGACGGAGGAATTGCTCCGGTTAGTGAGATCTTACAGAGAGAAGGGGGAAGCAGAAATCAGCATCACCGTAACTGGTCACAGCTTGGGAGGAGCATTGTCTCTGTTAACAGCTTACGAGGCTGCAAGTCTGATTCCTGATGTTTACATTAGTGTGATCTCCTTCGGCGCGCCCAGAGTTGGGAACTTGGCCTTCAGGGAGAAGATGAAGGAATTGGGGGTAAAAGTTCTGAGAGTCGAAGTCGAAGAGGATATAGTCAGGAACCTGCCTGGAATCGTTATGAACACGGTCCTGAAGAAGCTGTCAATTACGAAGCGATTGAATTGGATTTACAGGCACGTCGGGAAGCAGTTGAAGCTGCACGTTTCGAGCTCGCCGTACCTGAAGAAGGAGTCTGACATGGTTGGGAGCCATAACTTGGAGGTGTATCTTCACCTTGTGGATGGGTTCGTGAGCAGAGGGGCCAAATATAGGTGGAATGCGAGGAGGGATTTGGCGCTGGTGAATAAGAACAGCGATATGTTGATACCGGAGCTCAAGATTCCCCAGTTCTGGTACCATATGCCTTACAAGGGACTGGTGCGGAACAGATATGGGAGATGGGTGAAACCAGGTAGAGAACCTGAAGATATTCCGTCTCCATTTTCGTCCGAGTTATCTTGTCGCGAACCTATACTTGAACTCGTTGAATGTTAACGAACATAAAAGATTCGTCTTTTTTCTTTCTTTCTTCCTTCACATTACATTTGTTCTCACTTGGATGATTTTTACGGATATAATTACATTCAATCAATTGTTCCAATGTTAGTTTGAAGAATGCTTATGAGATTGCACAATTTCATGAATAAATTCAAGAACGAACAACCATTACGGGAGACGTTACAAACCTCACATTCCATCATACGAATAAGTGTATCAACACGATGAAATGTACAAACATTTGACTGTCATTACATTTCCCAGAATAGTAACATCCCATCCCATGTAATTCAAGTTTGCAGTCACCCCAAACCCAAAAGACTCCCTACTATTACACACAACAATAATTAACTACTGCAATGTCATATCTGCACAACGCCGGGGATATAGAAATGTGGAAGGGAAATTCCTTAATCTACATCCCAATTAAGCGAAAGATCCCAACCGCGAGATTGCGTCTTCGTAGTGATCATCGTCGACCTTCTCGGAGCTCAAGCTTGGTGGGACGTAAGTCCTGTAGATCTGTTCCATGTTGGGGTGGTCCTTCAGTTCACCGGCAGCAACTTCAAGAGCTGTGCTGCTGAATGCACGGTAGAACTTCTTCCTGCAGACGAAGGCGAAGATCAAGGTGATGATGGGGAGCGGGATCAGGATTGGCGCGTATACGAATTTCTTCACCCCGAAGTAACCGAACATCAGGACTTGGTACAGCAGCAGAGAAGCTAGGATTCTTGTATGAATGTGTGGCCACATCCTTCCGTAGCTCTCGAATGAAGGGACGTAGACTTTCAGTGCCTGTCATGGATAGCGACAACCATAGAAAATGAAACACACCACACTCGGCTAGTTAAAAGATAGCAGCAGCACAGCTGAGGTCGAAAGACGCCATACCTGATTGCGAAGAACAAGCCATCCGAGGCCAAAGTAAATGACGCCAAATGGGATGATGAGAGGAGCGATCACAGAGTAGCACATCACAAGCGTGACGACCAGCATGTCGCTGGGAATTCTAGATACATATCCAAGATCACCTGGAGCCCAAGCGGCTTTGATCTCATTCTCTGTCTTGCAAAGATACTTCTTCTTTACATGGAAGATGATCAGTGGCACAATCCGGGACAGCTCGAGCCCATATCCAATGAAGAACCTTCAAGTAAAAGCCATTCCATCTCTACCATGTAAGTAAATAGTATGCAAGGAAAAGAAGTGATGCAACCATAAGGTGTTATTGTTATCTTACTTAAGAGCCACGTAAGTGAGGAAGAATGTAGCACTCCCAGGAAGGCTAGTGGCTAGAATGTCGACAGCAGAGTTGGGATCATTTTCAATGTCCTTGAACGTGTTGAACAAGGTGTTACCAATCGTGACACCAATGAAAACATTCAACACGGTGAAGTAGAAGTACTTTCCTGAGGCGGCTCTAATTGCATGGCTCAGGGAAGGAATCCCTTCCGCCTTGGAGAGGAACAGCAGCAACTTGGACAGCATGGCAAGGAATACAATGAGGGCAATCTGAGGGAGGTAAGCTTCCAAAACTGTCCTCACTGCGCCAATGTTCAGAACCGGTTTTAAGAAAGGGAGGAGCTTCTTCAGGTTGCCCAGAGTGGTGAAGGCCGAGATCAAACCGATTGGGATAAGGTAAAATAATATGGTCAATGCCACGATGACGTACACAATGTACTGCCTGATCTCCCTCATGAAGAACTTCATGGTGAGATTAGTCCATATCACCTGACGAGGCTCGGGAGCATCCGTGACAGTCCACTTGTTCACCATCTGAGCATGGAGACTCTGTGCAGCTGAAGCAGCAACCACCCTGCTGGTGAAGAACACAATGGCTGCAGACTGGTGCTTCTCCAAGAGAGTCAACTTCTGTTCTGCTTCCAGTTTGGAGACAAGCTCATTGATCTTCTCGTTGAAATACTCAATGCTATCCACTTTCTTACCAAGAAGACCCATACAACCGGTTTTGGTCGTGGGTCGAACCCCTTCCGGCTTACCCCCAGTTTCCTTGGACAAAGCAAACACAGCTTCAGCACGCTCCAGCTTCTTCTTGTACCCCTCCAGTTCCTCGTGGATTTTGTTCACCTATGAGCAGACATAAAGATTTTGATAACCTTCTCTATAACGATCCTAATTAATGTACAGTATAAGATACTATCTTGTTCAGTATTTACCATTTTGTTGTCAGTGACGATCATGGATCTGTAGAAGGTATCAGGGTAGATCGCCTTGAAGTAGGAATCAACATGTTGCTTCATGGTTTCCCCTGAAGGGGGAGGAGGGATGTCTCTAACCAGAATAGCGAATTGCTCAGATTTCACTTCAGGGGACATGAGAGCAGCCGCTCTAAGTGCTGAAACATGGTTGTAAGCCTTCCACAACGAGTAGTAAGTAACCAGAGAAACCCAGTAAGTGGCGATTAGGAATGCCCATAGCCTCGAGCTCTTCTCCTGGGAATTCATTTTCACCACACCATTACTACAACAACTACACAGGGCCAACAAAACGAAACCCTAACAACAAGGTGGGTTGAGAGCAAGCACACAAGTTTGAGAACTGACCGTAACGTTGCCCATGGAGAGCATGTCGAGCTCGTCGAAGGTGTTGTTGCTGACATCGGACTTGCTGCCTTTGATATTGTTGTCCGTTGCCGCAATTGGCAGCAGAACAGGGAGCAGGAGCAACCCGGACAACACGAATATCGCCAAAACTGCAGCAGCACCAGCAGAAGGTAACCAAAAAAAAAAAAAAAAGAGGGTAAATCTGAAGAGCTCAGTAAACAGATAGGAACCCATAACCAGAAACAAATTGAAACCCCCAAATTGAAGTAAATTCCACAAGGAAATCGACAAACAGAGAGTGAGATATTTTTTTGCTGAAGCAAGAAAGGCCAAATTGGGAAGGGGGTTGGAATTGTACCGGTGCCGAGGAAGACGAAGTAGACGGCGGTGTCGAGGCCGGAGATGTTGATGATGTCCTGCTCGGTGGAGGACAAGGCTTCCCGGATCCAGGAGAAGGGGTTTCGGGTCCTGGAGGGTCCGCCTTCAAGAGGGTCCATCCCTTTCAAGATCCGGTTTGGGTAGTAGATGACGGAGTTGCCCGGCCGGCGGGAGAGCCAGGCGAAGAGGAGCATTAGGATGATGAAGATGATGAAGGACGTCCCTAAGGACGTCAGGAACGAACTGAAATCCATGGAGTGGTCGCCGGAGAACTCCTCGGCGGTTGTCTACTCAAGCGAGAGGAGGTAGTTGGTTCTTGCTTTTTTTTTACAGAAGAGGAAAGAAGGAAGCAGATTGGGCGTTGAGGGAAGGGAAAGGCATATGGAAATGGAAAGTAACCGTTGCGACGGTACAGGGGAGAAGGAAACTTGAGGAGCGGAGTGTCTTTATGACGGCAAGCATCCATCGCTTTATATGATGGGTGGTGTATTTAAGGGGAGAAGTTAAGAAATGAAAATGACAGCGACTTACCGTTGCCTTACTAGGGTAAAAAAAGCCACAGCAAAGGTCATTGAAGTTTATATGCTTTACCTTTAGGTTGTCTTAATTGAACTTATGAAAGATAAGGATGACAATTTATGAAACGAAGCGAATTAATCAATCAATAAATAAATAAGTCCATATCATAATTATAGGGTGTATAAACTTTGTAAGTAGCATATGCGAATAATTAGACTAAACTAGAGTTTAATTAATATATCAACACCATGTGTGTTCTTTTTGACATAACAGGGATGACAAAGTTAATGAAAAGGTAGATATGGTCCAGATTTTTAAATCCATAATAGTTTAGAGGCTGGGCTGTTTTAAAAGTGTACAGTTAGCATGCTTTTGAGGATTGTCAATTTTGCCGTGACTAATGAGTCTTCTCTTATAAAATTTATTTGGGTTGGGTATGTGTTTGAGCCTAACTGGGTGTAGGAGTGAGACTCGGGAAGATGAGTCAAGGAGAGTAAGCAATGAGAGAACAACCGTCAATGAAAGAACTCAGGAAACTACGAATAGAGTTGAGAGGGTAATATCTTAGAGAGAGAAGTTGATAATCTTAGAGATAGAAAAATCCGATCACCTCACCCACCGGAGTAAATGCCTTATGTATAGGCTACATGGTGGTGGGTGAGTTACATGGTGACATGACCACTGACATGTCAGAAGACTAGACCATACCTCTACCTAGGACAAGTACATTTAGCCTTTCATTATACCTAGGACTAGGACTGCGATGTGACCACTTGGTAGGTGGGACGCGGCGTCGTTTTCCCATAGCCTTTCATTATACCTAGGACTAGGGCTGCCCTTGGACGCGCCGGTGCTGATGCGCCCGTCTCTAGGTATTGGAGCTCGCCGGTGTGTTCGCTCGCGCCGGTGCTGGTGCGCCCGTCTCTTGGTATTGGCGCTCGACGGTGTGTTCGCTCGCACCGGTATAACGGCCAACTCTTCTGATGTCGGTGTTTCTTTGGCGCGGCGGAATCCGAGTCACATGCCCAACAATTGCCCCCCATCAGGGGGTGTTCCGCGAACGCCACCTGTTTGACCTCCGCGCGATTGACTCGGGTCCGCGTGATCTTCGTGGGCGGTCCAATCCTCTGATTTCTGCGCGATCTTCGTGAGTTGAGGGATGGTGGGTTTTTTATTGTTGCGCGCGATCGACTCGTCTGCGCGTGACGCTTTCTACTAAGCTTGGACTTTTGAGGGTGTGTCGTGCCCCCTGGTGTTTTTAGGGCTGACGCCATTCGGTTTCCGGGCGATTGACTCGGTCTGCTTGGTTTTTTGCGCGCGATTGACTTGACTGCGCGTGACGCTTTCTACTGAGCTTGGGCTTTGGGGGTGTTTTTTCTCTCCGCGGGTGTGCCATGCCCCCCAGGCGATGCGCGGAGCTTGTGACATCATCGGCTAGTGCCTATGCCTATCTTAGGTGTCCACGTGTCCTTGTGTGGTTGGTTCGTTTTGGCGGCCGTTTTGAATTCCGAAAAGGCTCTGACGGTTGCGTTTTTCGAAACAACTTTAACCTTTCAGCTTCCTTCTCTCACTTATAAATAGTTAGCCATCAGAGGAGTTGGAAACCATTCTGCCTCTTCCAACTCTGTTTCTTATTCTCTCTGCCTCGGGTGTGTTCGAGATTCCTCTCCTTCTTCTACAACCTCTCTTCTCAACCTATTGTTGCCAAAACTCCAGAGTCTGCCATGGCTAACATCAACGTCAACGAGATCGAGGTCGTACAAGGCGAAGAAGGCAATCTCTCCTCTCCCTCGCATGTTTCTACTGATCCTTCGTTGGATCTGGCTGATTCCGACAACGGGGGCGACGGCGGTGCTGGCGGCGATGGGGTTCCGGCGACGCCGTCTTACGACGTCGATTCGGAACAGGACTGTCGTGGCTCGTCCGATGTGGATGCGACGGTGTCTGAGAGTGGGCCGTCCGGCACCGGTGCTCGTGGTGTGCTGATAATCCGGCGTGACCGTGCGGGTGCGTCTGGGAGTGCAAATCGTGAGTCTGACACGCAATCAGAGCCGCGCTGTATCGCGCGCGTATTCGAGGCGATAAGCCGCCTAGAGTTCCGCGATGTGGGCGCGGCGTACAAGATAATAGATTGGGCGGAGATGTGGGGCGATCAACTAGCGCCGCAAGACAGTCTATTAAGGGGGTCCGATCACGCGTCAATCTACGGGCGGAGGGAAGTGACGGAGATTGTGCGCGGGTTGGGTTTGCCCCCCCCCCCCCCCCCCCCCCCCACATTGGGAGTACGCGATTCCTTCCACGCGGAGTACTGTTGGTAATTGCCCCCCAGGGTGGATCGGGGTGTATACCGAGTACTGGGTGATGGGGTTCAAGTTCCCCATTGACCCGCTGTTATGCACGATCTACAGGCGGCTCAAATGCTCGGTTGGTCGCCTTTCCCCTTCAATTATTATGCACGCGAGTTGCCTCCGCCTCGCGTGCAAGAGGCTCAATATCCCGCCGTCCTACGGGTTGTTCCGTAAGATGTACAAGATCAAGGAGCCGACAAGAAGGAGTGATTGTCTCTCCATCAGACGGCGCGACAAGAGGCCCGATGGTTTTGTGTATGGGTCTCCCAAGTTGAAGAAGACTTGGTTCGAGTGCTTCTTCTACGTTAAGCCCACGCCGGGGGAGTGGGCGAGTGAGCACATGGAGGAGCCGACGGTATGGAAGAAGGGTAGCACGCACGGCTACGAGCGTGACCTGGGCAAATATGACAGACTCGACGCTGAATATGAAGCGTGCCTGAATCAGAAGTTTAACCTATATTTGGGCGGGGTCCGCGAAGCTTGTTTGGCGGAGCTCTTTGCTGATGGTTAGTTGCGTTTCTTTCCTTATGCATTCTATCATATTAACCGCTCTCTTACAATTTATTGGCGCAGGTGTTGACTTCTCCAGCCTAGTCAGCATGATGCCAGTGGACGACGTGGTCGGCAAAGCTCCGCGAGCTTCGCGTGGCGGAAAGAGGAAGTCGAAGGAGACCGCGCCGTCTGAGCGCGTGAAGAGGAAGGGGGTTGAGCAGCCATCGGTGGCGGAGAAACCACGCAAGGAGGCTCGGGTTAACCCTCAACGTGAACGGGTGGTTGAGCAGGCGGCTCAACCTGAGCAGGTGGCTGAGTGGGCGGCACAATAGTTGCCGCTCATGATTGTGGATGGGGACGCGCCCGGTGCGCGAGTGGATGCGGCTTCGCGTCCAGAAAAATCAGCGGCGGGAAGCTCGTCTGGTGCGACGCTTCAGCAGAAGCTGCCCGAGATGGCTTCTGCGATCAACTACTTTCGCGACGTGCGGATCCACACCGGCGCGGCGTGCAATAGCATAGCAGCAAATACCGCGCTCCGCGCGTTGGGGCCTCACCTGAGTACCCCTGCGCGGATGGAGAAGTCTGATCAGCTGCAAGACCTGGCTCAGATTCATTTCGCGGTGAGGTTATTTTTGATTGCTTCGACGTAATGTGAAATCCTTGCTAATTTTTGCTAAGTCTTGGGGCGCTTGTGAATGTAGGGTTTGCTGGCGGCCTTCCGGGCCCAAAAGGAACGGGGTTCGCACCACGCGAAGATGCAGGCGGAGCAATTGAAGATTGTTCAGCTGGAGGGCAAGCTTGCGGGTGCTCAGAATCGCGCCGAGGTGGCAACAACCAAGGCCAACGAGGCCATGGAGGAGCTCGGCGTTCTGCAGAGCAAGCTGGCGTCAGATATGGAGGCCGCCACGGCGCGCGTTCGGGCGGAGTTGGAAGCAGATCATGCTGAGAAGCTCAAGCAAGCCCGCGAGGAGTTTCAGAAGGAGAAGGACGACCTGGTTCGCCTTCATAACGTCCCGAAGGCAGAAGCTGTGCGCGCCGCTGAGGTCGCTGCCGTCCGTTAATACAAGTCTTCACCGGCCTTCGGGAAGATTTTGGCGGACGCCATGACTAAGACCGTGATTTCTATTCGCAAAAAGGTGCGTCCGGAGAACCCGGGGTCCGCCGGAACACTAGCGCGATGGTGCATCATGTTCAGACTTGGCTGGGTGAGAAGAGGTCTTTGGAGGCGGACTCAGAGCCGGAGGATGACGAGGAGGAAGAAGCATGCTCGGATGAGAGAGAGGACGAGGGCGAGGAAAGCGAAGCGGAGAAGGGCGGACAGGGCGATGTTGCGCAGGCGAATGCTGAGAATGCTTCGACGGAGCAGCAAGTGTAATCGCGCTGCAAGTGTGATCGCGCTGTTTTGAGAGATTTTTTTTTTATCAAGTGTAGTTCGTCCCTTCCTCTCTATCAAGTGTAGTTCTTCCTTTTTCCTGCTAATGAAATCTAAAACGTTCTCCTTCGAAATTTGTTGGCGCTAATAACGCATGGTTATCGCTATTGTTTTTATTCTTCTGAGCGGTGTTGGCGCGAATAACTCGTGGTTATTGTTATATGTTGTTCTTTCGAACTTTGGGGGCACGAATAACTTCTTGGTTATTGCTACTTTCTGTTCTTTCGAACTGTGTTGGCGCGAATAACTCTTAGTTATTGCTATTTTTTGTTCTTTCGAACTGTGTTGGCGCGAATAACTTCTTGGTTATTGCTACTTTTTGTTCTTTCGAACTGTGTTGGCGCAAATAACTCTTAGTTATTGTTATTTTTTGTTCTTTCGAACTGTGTTGGCGCGAATAACTTCTTGGTTATTGCTACTTTTTGTTCTTTCGAACTGTGAAGACGCGAATAACTCTTAGTTATTGCTATTTTTTGTTCTTTCGAACTGTGTACTTTTTTTTTATTTCTTTGCGACAATGCGCCATTACAAACAAGGTACACATTAAGTTGCCTGGTGGTATTTCTTGAGGTTTTGCGCATTCCACGTTCTTGGAATTTTGCTGCCCCCCCAGCTCGCTGAGCTTGAAAGTGTTGGCACCGACAACTTCGCGGATTAGGTATGGGCCCTCTCACTCCGCGGAAAGTTTTCTATGTTTGGGGCCGGGGCGGAAGTTCCGTCGCAGTACTTGGTCTCCGAGGCTTAGCTTGTGCGGGACCAGTTTCTTGTTGTGGTATTTGGCTACATGCTCCTTCATTGCGGCCAGCTTAATGGTTGCTAACTCGCGCCTTTCCTGCGCCAACTCCAAGTCCAGCAAGCGCGCCTCATCATTGGTTTCTTCGTTGTACATCGTGATTCGATAGGTCGGGGTTGTTGTCTCGATGGGGATCACCGCGTCGGTACCGTACGTGAGCGTGAAAGGAGTCTCACATGTTGCCACTTTGTACGTGGTGCGGTGTGCTCATAATACCGTGTTGAGTTCGTCAGCCCAATTACCTTTGGCCTCGCCCAGGCGGGTGTGCAAGCCATGCAAGATTGCTTTGTTGGCGGATTCGGCCTGGCCGTTGGCTTGGGGGTAAGCCACCGATGCAAACCTTGCAATGGTTCCCACTTGGTCACAGAAGTCTATTACCTCAGCGCAGTCAAATTGTTTCCCATGGTCGAAGATGAGCGCATTCGGGACTCCAAAGCGCGACAGGATATTGGTCTTCAAGAAGCGCGTTACCTGCTGCGCCGTTATCGATGCTAGTGCCTCAGCTTCGATCCATTTAGTGAAGTAGTCTATGCCACGATGATGTATTTGCGCTTTCCTTTTGCTGTTGGGAAGGGGCCCAAGAGATCCACTCCCCATTGCGCGAAAGGCCATGGGCTCAGATTGGCTTGGACCTCGGTGGACGGGAGGTGGTGCTGACGCGGGTTAACTTGGCACTTGTGGCACTGGTCCGCGTATTTCTTCGTGTCCTTTTTTATTCGCGGCCAGTAGTATCCGTGCAGCAAAATGGTGCCCTCCATGCTGCGTGGGCCGGCGTGCATTGCGCACAACCCTTCATGTAGGTCACGTATCATGTCGCGCGCTTCTTCTTGTCCGATGCACTTTAGGTAGACACCCGAGTATGACCGTCGGTACAACTCCCCTTCAATGAGTGTGCACCGGGCCGCCTTTTGTCTCAAAGTCCACGCTTCTCTAGCATCTTCCGGTATTGCACCGTCTTGCAAGTACTTCACAATTGGGGTTCTCCAGTCCTCATCAAGCATGAGTTGGGTGGTATTAATCGCCACTTCTTGGCGATTTTCCTCTTCTTCCTTCTGGACCGACACGAGACGCGTTGTCTCGAAGTCGGTGGCGGTCGCTAGCTTGGATAGCGCGTCGGCGTGCACATTTTCCTCTCTCGGTGTTTGCACGTAAGTTACCGCCTCGAAGGTGGCTGCCCGCAGCTTGACGCGCTCCATGTAATGTGCAAGTGTGTCTTCCTTTGCGTCAAAGGTTCCATTCAGTTGGTTGACTGCGAGAGAGGAGTCGGAAAGTACCCTTATCGTTCTTGCGCCCAATTCGTGAGTGGCAGTCATTCCCGCCAGGATGGCCTCGTACTCGGCCGCATTATTCGTCTTCAACGTTCTGAACCTGATTGCTATTTCGTGGACGGCGCCTGTGGGTGTGCGCACGACGACTCCCGCGCCAGCACCGTGTTTGCTTGCCGCTGCGTCGACGTAAACCTCTCATACCCCCTCTGGTGTTGTTTCGAGGGTGACTCCTTCAGCGATGAAATCTGCTAGGATTTGGGCTTTTATTGCTGGTCTCGGCGCATATTGGATATCGTATTCTGAGAGTTCGACTGCCCATTTGACCATGCGCCCCGACAATTCCATTGAAGTTAGGATCTTCTTTAGCGGGAGGTTGGTCAGGACAGTGATCTGGTGCGCTTGGAAATAGGGACGCAACTTCTGTGACGCGCTTACCAATGCCAGGGCGGCCTTCTCTATTGGGGAGTATCTTGTTTCCGCGCTGACTAGCGTACGCGAAGTATAATACACAGGTTGCTCGGTTTTGTCATTTCTTCTGGATATCAGGACTGCGCTCACGGCTCTTGTCGACACGGTGAGATACAGGAATAATTTTTCATTAAGCTTGGGAGCGGTCAAAACAGGAGGGGATACAAGATACGCTTTCAGCTCTTGGAATGCTGCTTCACATTCCTTGTCCATGCGAACTTTGTGCCGCTTTTCAGTGTTTTGAAGAAGGGCGCACACTTGTCGGCTGATCTTGGGATGAATCTCCCCAATGCCGCTATTTTGCCATTCAGAGATTGGATTTCCAATGCGCTCCTTGGTGCCCGTAGTTGTTGGACCGCGTGATTTGTTTTAGGTCAACTTCGATGCCGCGCTTGGTTATCATGAACCCAAGAAACTTCCCTGCTTCTGCTCCGAAAACACACTTTAATGGGTTCAGGCGAAGATTATGTTCGCGGAGAGCTTCAAATGTCTCACGCAGATCCTCCAGATGTGAATTGCCCGCTTTGGTCTTGACAATGAAATCATCCACATATGCTTCAATGTTCCGCCCAATCTGTCGGGAGAACACCGTGTCGATCATTCTCTGGTATGTCGCGCCTGCGTTCTTCAGTCCGAACGGCATCCCAACAAAGCAGAAGTTTCCAAATGGCGTCATGAAAGCCGTTTTTCCCTCATCTTCGCGGGACAATGGGATTCGGTGGTATCCCGAGAACATGTCAAGGAAAGACAGTGTCTCGTGGTCGGCGGTGGCGTCGATCAGTTGGTCAATGCGCGGGAGTGGGTAAGGGTCTCCCGGGCATACCTTGTTGATTGTTGTGTAGTCAACGCACATTCGCCAGGCTCCTGAAGATTTCTTCACCAGGACTACGTTTGCCAACCACTTTGGATATTTCACCGGGCGGATCAATCCCGCTGCCAATAACCGCGCGACCTCTTCCTCTATGGCTTCAATTTGTCGCCGGTAAAGCCTCTTCGAGCCTGTTGCCTTGGTTCCGCGTTGATTGGAACTGCGAGGCAATGCTGGGCTATCTCCCTTGGAACTCCCAGCATGTCTTCTGTGCACCAAGCGAACAGCTCTTTGTATTCCTTCAGCAGCGTTATCAGCGGTTCGATCGCATCATTGCGGACATGTGTTGAGATGCGTATTTTCCTAGTCGGCTCAGCTGGTCGAGCGCGACCTCGAAGTCAGAATCCATAGATTCTGGACGCGGCTCCTCTGCTCTCGTGTCCACAATGTTGGTCTGGCGCGCTTCTCCGCGCTCCTCCCATGGCGTGCCCCGCGCCTCCCCGATCCTTGTCTTGGTGGGGAATTTGAGCTTTTGGTGGCACGTTGACGGGAGAGCCATGAATTTGGCTAGGAAGGGTCGGCCAAGGATGTCGTTGTGCGCCGACTTGCAGTCGACTATTGTGAATTCAACTTGCTTGGAGACGCGCGGCTCCTGGTCTCCGACTACTACTAGAAGGGTGACCACGCCGATTACTGGAACCCTTGTTCCAAAGAACCCGACCAAGTTACCCTGTGCGCGCTTGATTAGGCGCGTGTCGATGTCCATTTGATCTACTGTGCTCTTGAAGAGGACGTCAGCCGCGCTTTCGCCATCTATCAGTAGACGGTGAATTTTACAAGCGGGAACTAGCGCAGTGATGGTGAGTGGGTCTTCCGATGGGACACCTTGTGGGAACTCTGCGTCATCGAAGCTCAAGTTGTACTTCTGCCGCGTCTCGACCGCCGCGCATTCCGCTGCGCGCTCGCGCTTGGTTTTCTTTTTGGGGCGATCTCCCTCTACCGTCACCACCCCTATCTCCTTTCGCACTACATACACGCCAGTGGCCTCGTTGTAGTCGGCTTGCCGCGGTGGTGGCGGGTTCTGGGGACGTGCTACTTGTTCCTCTTTCTCGTGGGTGAACTCGGTCAGTACTCCTCGTCGTATGAGGCCTTCTATTTCGTAACGCAGCTCTCTGCAATCTTCTGTCCAATGCCCCGTTGCTCTATGGAAGTCACAGTATTTCTTGGGATCGCGCATGTGTGGTAAGGACTTCAGAGGCGCGGGCCAATTGATCTTGTATCCTTTCTCGGAGAGGACGTGAAACACATTCTTCACGGAGTCATTGAGTGGCGTGTAAGCGCTCGTCATGCGCCTGTCTGGCGATCGCCCTCGTTGTGCTTGCTCTTGCGAGGGAGGAAGGTGGCGTTTCGGCTCGCTGTGTAGTTGCACCAATTGTTCTCGCGGTGGCACCGGAAGCTGCCTCCTGCCCTGGTCCTCTTGGGACGCTCTTGCCGGTTCGAAACGTCTGACAGATCCCGCTCCGAGGGTTTCCTCTAGCGTGATAGCTTTCTCAATTTTCATCTCCAACTCTGTCGATAGCGTGACAGGTCTTTTTGCTAACGCCCGCTTGAGCTCCATGTTGGTGGTGGCTTCCATAAGGTGATGGGCGGCGGTCTCGGGGGTAAGATCGCGCACGGCCATTGCCACCCTGGACCATCTAGCGTAGAACGCTCGTAGGCTATCTCCTTCCTTTTGCCTGATGTCTATCAGCGCCTTGAGGTGGAGAGGTCTTCTTTTTTGGGATGCGAATTTCGTCGTGAATAAGAGTATGAACTCTTCAAATGAGCGGATGATTCCGTTCGGCAGCCTGTTGTACCAATCGAGGCATATTCTGGCGAACGTTGACGTGAAGGTCCTGCATAGTGCCGCGTTGGAGTTGGTTTGGATTTGCATCCGCAGGCAGAAGGTGCTCACGTGGTCTTCGGGGTCGGTCGTTCCGTTGTACGTCGGGAGGACGGGTGGCATTCCGCTCAGGTGTTCCGCCATGATTTCTGCGCTTAGCGGTTGGTGGAGGGCCTTCCTGGGCGGGTTGGGACGTATTGCTGAGATAGATGTTGCTCCAAGAAGCTGAGGTCCGCCCTGCCTGGCAACTCAACTTGTTGCGTTTCGTACGCGGGCTGCGGTGGTAGGGCAGTCCCCGACGTTTCTCCTGGGGCTTGTTGGGGCGCGACTGGCGTCGCGTCTACTGTCGCCGCGTCCTCTTTGCTCATCATGAGCGCTATGACCTGGCTCATTTGTTTCTGCATGTCAGCTATGACGCTGTTCTGCTTTGCCATTAGCTGCCTCATTTCTTTGGCTGTGAGTTCGGGCTCTTCTTCTTCGAGGAGCACCGCGTTGAGATTGCTAGTTTCCGCGAATTCCCTTGGGTTGGTCATCGCTTTGATGGGCGTTGATTCGTCAGGTGAGTTGGAGTTATGCTCTGCCATTGGTCGGTTTTCTTTTGCTTCTCTACTCGGCCCCACGGTGGGCGCCAATTGTTTGAGCCTAACTGGGTGTAGGAGTGAGACTCGGGAAGATGGGCCAAGGAGAGTAAGCAATGGGAGAACAACCGTCAATGAAAGAACTCAGGAAACTACGAATAGAGTTGAGAGGGTAATATCTTAGAGAGAGAAGTTGATAATCTTAGAGATAGAGTCAGAAAATCCGATCACCTCACCCACCGGAGTAAATGCCTTATTTATAGGCTACATGGTGGTGGGTGAGTTACATGGTGACATGTCATGGTGACATGACCACTGACATGTCAGAAGACTAGACCATACCTCTACCTAGGACAAGTACATTTAGCCTTTCATTATACCTAGGACTAGGACTGCAATGTGACCACTCGGTAGGTGGGACGCGGCGTCGTTTTCCCATAGCCTTTCATTATACCTAGGACTAGGGCTGCCCTTGGACGCGTCGGTGCTGATGCGCCCGTCTCTAGGTATTGGAGCTCGCCGGTGTGTTCGCTCGCGCCGGTGCTGGTGCGCCCGTCTCTTGGTATTGGCGCTCGACGGTGTGTTCGCTCGCGCCGGTATCACGGCCAACTCTTCTGATGTCGGTGTTTCTTTGGCGCGGCGGAATCCGAGTCACATGCCCAACAGTATGAATCTCAAATACAAAATAAATGAGTAGTGTTTGATAGGTTTATATTTATATCCATTAATTTGACTTGGGTTTTTAGTTGATGAATTTGATTTTGTTCTCATACATGTACAAATGAAATGGGCGTTTTGTACATAAACTTCATACATCTTTAGATTTAGTACCTACTTTTTTTGCACAATATTCCTAAAAACATCTACGGAAATACATTTCAGTACCTAAAATTATTGTGTCATACATTTTTATACAATAAAATTTTAGAACAGTCTAAAGTAAATGGGCATCCATACCCAACCATGCCTATTTATAACATGGAAGCAATACACTTACCCTACTCAAACTCATTTACAAAATTTTGAACCTCTATAAACTTCACTCATACCATATCCATAATTAATGAGTTTACTTGAGTTTGGAAAAATATTATCCATGGGGATTAATTAATTGTCTTCCCTAGGTCAAACCACAGGGTCGACCAAGGGGTGTGTCTGGAGACCATAGGTATATTAGTTGATTCAATCATATTTTATATCATGAACTTGTGGGTAAAATTGATTGATTATGGTTATATTGATGCATTTAACCTATGAATATGTTAATTAATACTATTGTTATTCATTGGTCAATATTCATATGTATATATAAACGATGCTAAGTCTTCGATCCTATTTCTATTCTTGAGGTCAATATATTATAAAAACAAGACAAGAAATCGTTAAGACATTAAATATGGTGATGGTCGTAAATGAGTTCTCCCATAATACAAAAATTAAAGAGTTCATAAATAATTAATTTTATTTTAAATTATTGTTTAGATAACAATTCTATCATCATTTTCATTTCATTTCGTTATTCTGAAAAAGTTGTACCACAACTCAGTTCTTATATAGGGGTCTCCAGGATTCATCCATCCACTCTTCAAAAACCACAATCCACATTGTAGGGTTAATTAGAAATTAATAGCTTGAAAGAAGAAGAAAAAAACAATTATTAAAAGAGAAAGACATTAAGAACAATGGTGGTGGCCTGGGACTGGGACTGGGACTGGGGAAAAAATGATTGCGACGGAGTCTGTATGTGCTGTGGGGTTTGATTACAGTTTTTTGGTTGCTTCCTTTTTAGCCTC